TGAGTTCAAGTTCAGCCTAAGCCACTCAGTGAGACCCAGTCTAACAACAACAACAACAACAACAACAACACACACACACACACACACACACACACACACACACAAAGAAACTGTTGCCTAGCTAGGTGTGGTGATGCATTCCCCTTATGTCAGCCTGCTGGGAGGCTGAGGCAGAAGGATCATAAACTCAAATCTAGCCTGGGAGAATTTAGCAATTTAGTGAGACTCTATGTCAAAATAAAACTAAAAAACAGGTGAGGGCTGGGCATGGCAGCACACATTTATAATCCCAACACGTGGGAGGTTGAGGCAGGAGGATCATTTGCAAGTTCCAGACCAGCCTGGGCTACAAAGTGAGCCCAAGGCCAGCCTGAACTGCACAGAGAGACCCTGTCTCAAAAAGACAGGGAACAAAACTCAAAGTGGGGTGTGCAAAGCCGGTCCCCACCAAAACAAAAACAAAAACAAAAACAACAACAAAAAAACCCAAACCCAAACCCAAACCCAAGCCAAAAAAAAACTATAAAAACCATTACCTAGGTGTCTGGGGATTTAGCTCCACGGCATAAGCACCTGCCTTGCAAGCAGGTAGTTGTGAGTTCAATTCCCGGTACCGATAAAAATGAAGACAAAAAACAAAAACAAAAAACCCCATTACCTAGCCAGGCGTAAGCTCATGCCTCAGGAGCTGAGCTCCCAGCACTCAGGAGGCTGAGACAGGAGGATCATTTTGAGTTCAAGACCAGCCTAGGCTACAAAGTGAGCCCAAGGCCAGCCTGAAACTGCATAGAGACCCTGCTTCAAAAAGACAAAAACAAAACAAAACAACCATTACCTAATCCAGGGTCAAGATTTATCATATGGTAGTTTCCTAATCCTTCCCACCTTTTTTTGAGAGAGGGTCTCACTATGTAGTTCAAACTGGCCACGAACTCACTGTGTAGCTCAGGCTGGCCTCTAACTCATGTCAATCCTCTTGCCTCAACCTCCTAACTACCACATCTGGTCTGAGTACTTTTTTGTACTAGGAACTTTATCCCCATGAGCTTTTTCTTTTTTGGTGAAGTTCATTTTGGCCTGAACTCTTGGGGATGCCTCAGCCTCCCCAGTGCTGGGACTACACATGTGTACCAATATGCCTGGCTCCCTTTTTTTCTTCCTTTTGTCCTATTTGGAATCAAACTTAGGGCCTTGTGCCTGTCAGGCAAGTACTCTGAGTTACATTCCTCGCCCTCCTTGTTTTTGTTTGTGAGGCAGGGTCGCACTATGTAGTTCAGGCTGGCTTTGAACACATGGCAATCTTCCTACCTCTGCCTCCTGAGATTACAGGATGTGTGGCAACATGCCTGCCACCTTTTATGTTTTAGATGGACTTTTAAAAAACTTTTTTCAGGGCTGGGGATTTCGCTCAGCAGCATAAGTGCCTGCCTTGCAAGTGTGTAGTCTTAAATTCAATCCCTAGTACAGAAACAAAACAAAACAAAACAAAACCACCCAAAAGTTTTTTCACTTTGCAATGTTCACTGCTAAGCAAGAGATAAAACTGACTTTTGCAACCTTTCTAAACTGGTTTATCCAGGAGATTGAATCTAATCCATATCTCTCACTATGTACAAAGGTAAAATTGAAATGGGTCAAAGCCTTGATATTAAAAAGGCAAAACTACTGAAAGATAAAATAGGTAAAACTCTTGAGGACAAAGACTTTCTGAACAAAACACAACTGCGTAAGAAATAACATCAAGAATCAACAAATGTGGGGCTGGGGATTTAGCTCAGTGGCATAAGCGCCTGCCTTGAAAGCAGACAGTCGTGAGTTCGATCCCTGGTACCGATAAAAAGGAAAAAGCAAAAAAAAAAAAAAAAAAAAAAAAAAGAATCAACAAATGAGATCACACTGAGTTAAAAAGATTTGCAGTCAGGCATGGTGGCACATACCTGTAATCCTAGCATTCGGGAGGCTGAAGCAGGAGAATCACTGAGTTTGAGGCCAGCTTGGGCTACAGAGTGAGTTCAAGGCCAGACCAAACTACATAGCTGAGACGATGTCTTGAAAAGACCATAAAAAGATTTGCATAGCAAAGAAAACAACCAACAGGGTGAAGAGACAATTTACAGAATGGGAAAGTTTTGCCAGTCACTGCTCAGACAAAGGACTAGTATCTTGAATACATAAAGAACTAAAAAAAAAAAAATTAGGCCCCCCAATACATCAGACCCAACCAAAAATTTGTAACTGAAATGAATTGATATGCTATGTATATGCACCAATTTCCCACAATGAATGCAATCATTATTCTGCAAACATGCTTATAAAAATTTTAAAAACACAATAAACAAAAAAAGCCAGGCACAGTGGCATATGCTTGTAATCTCAGCACTGGGAAGCTGAGGCAAGAGGATTGCTGAGAGTTTGAGGCCACCCTAGGCTACACACTAAATTCAGTGCCAGTCTGAACTGCATAGCAAGGATCTGTCCCAGAGTCAAATGAAAAAAACTAACCAACTTTGCTGAAGTCATTTACCTGGTAAGTAGTGTGTGTGCATTCCTTAAGATTATCTGCATGCAAGTAAATTTTATCTGTGAATAGAGATAGGTTGCTTTCTTTTTTTCCCTCACAACTCTGGACAGAACCAATACTAAATACTGTTGACGAGGGAAGGTGAGAACAGTCCTGTCTTCCTTGATTTCCAACCTTAGAGAGAAAACTCTCAAGTTTTTCATTATTAAAGGGTGAGGGTTTTGTCAGACTGCGGGTTCTCTTTCACTTTTGAAGCCTGGTTTCACTGGATATAGAACAGAACTAGGTGGAATATGGCATTTTTTCCCAAATATTGTAATTTCTTCTGTTTCCACTCCTGGTTAATGGCCCTATCTCTACTTAGCCCCTCAAGCCAGAAATCTGAGTTACTTTGAATTCCTCCGTCTAAGCCTGAATATTCAGTGGTTTGAACCTGTCTCTAAAGTTTTCCCATGTTCTGTCTTCTCCATTCTTAACTCTTTGAAGCGTCCTTGCTGCGTGTCTCAGTACATTTCCTGCCCTTATAACAAAACATCTGTGCCTGCTAGTTCACAAAGAAAAGCTGTGTTGCTTACAGTGTATAAGGAAGAGCTACACTGCTTACAGTTCTGCAGAATGAGAAGTCAGGGATCAACCTGCTCACTGGTTTGGGCAGGTGAGCTGCTCTCTCAGGATGGTACCTCACTGCTACATCCTCTGGAGGCCAGGAATGCTGGCACCACAACCCTAAGGGCCCGATAGCCAAAAAGGTGCTTTGGGAACTTCCTTTAAGCAGAGCTTTAATCTATACTTAAGGGAAGAACCCTCATGGGCTAAAATATATATTTTTAAAACTTATTTGTACTTGTTACCTCTAAAACAGAATGTGACCTGGGCATGCCTAATACCCTCTTAAAGGTTCCACCTTTTAGTCATCACACTGACCAGAGTTTCAACACTTGAATGTTGCAGGGCAAAGTCAAATAGCAGTACTGTGTTGTCAAGTTATGGCAAAGGCCTCTCAGCAGGCTTTTCTCTGGTTCTGACCTCACGTCCTTTTCCCTACTTCCTCCCTTTTTCTATAGATTACCACATCTAGGCAGCTGAGTTACACAGACATTAATACAGTCAAGAGAGGCTGGGCTCTCATCAGTCAGCAGGAAATTACAGATATTAGAGTTGCAGGTGGAAGCACATCTAAAGGCAGGGCTTCAAGAGAAAGTCCCAATAGCCACACTGGGATGCTTCCCTAAAGGGTGAAGTGGAAACTTGACATTATATAGTAATTAGCACCACACAGTCCATTAAGGTTAGAAATGCATCAGACACCTTGGTGGGTGACCAGGACATCTGGACCCACCTCTTCCAAATCTGTTCCTGTTTCAGGGGTCACAGATAAGCCAAGGTAATGGTATCATCCATAAGGCCTTGCTATGTGCCTGCTTCCCTACTGATTAACATCGCTAAGCAGCTATGCTTATAATCCTATAGGCTGGTTACAGTTTGGCCCACATTGTACCCATATTGTTACTCTGCTGTATAAATTGCCTTTGAGGGCTAGGAATTTGACTCAGTGGCCTAAGTACCTGCCTGGCAAGTACGAGGTTGTGAGTTTGATACCTGATACAAAAACAAACAAACAAACAAAAACCTAAAAACCCCCAAAACCCAAAACCCAAACAAAACAAACTGCCCTCGACAAAAGGCCTCATAGCCATCCTACTTTTGGGACCATGCTTGTCTCTCAGATGCTGTTCATATTTCTCAATAAACCTTTTCCACTCTTAATCTTTGTCCTTTGGAATTCATTCTTTGATTTCAGGGTAGTACATCTGACATCTAGCACCTTGGGACTTACATTTCTCCTGTATCAAAAGTAGAAACAATAAGTGAAGTATCATTTTTGAAAACACTGAAATTTAGGCTAATTACAGATTAGGAAAAAAATAGTTTATGGTCAATAGTAGCCCTCTGAACCCAGGACTTTCACACCGAATGGCATACCTAACCTTTATTTTTTTGAGGTAGCGCCTTGTTAAACTGTCCAGGCTTGGCTCAAACATGTGATCCTCTTGTCTCAGGCTCCCAAGAATGCTGAGATTACAGGTATGCACCACCATGCCCAGGTGATGTTTTTTTGGGTGTGTGTGTCAGTATGAACAATAGTTTAAAACTACTAAATGCCACAAAGGCAAGCAGAAAACTAAACTATAATTGTTATCTATCTCAAAAAGTCCTGACAACAGCCTTGTTAGTTTTCATACACTGCTACTGTTTCTTGGTTCACTGTGTTTACTCTGGCTGGTCTCTTCCAGCTACCAAGGGTCTTCCTGCCTGAGGGGAAACCTATTACCCCTCAGTTCTCAGGCTGGGACCGCAGCTCAGGGGCGTATGTTCGCTTATCTCACTCAGGGTCCCAGGTGCCAGTCCTGACCCCACCAACACACATGGAATCTGTCACCTCTTTAGCCACACTGCACATGTGAAGGATTAAACACAATCAGGCATCAATATTTATTAACACAAAAGAAACACATTCAATGAGTTAACAGAACATTGTCAGCCAGATGTTAAATTTAAAAATGTATATCTAGTCTAATTTCAAATAAATAAAAAACTTTATACATAATTACACAGTACTATAGTCTGAATTTGACGTGGGTAAATATCTTGACAGAAAGTAAACAAAACAGCATTTAGGACTAAAAAATTATTCTTATATCTTTACAATCTTTTCCTCTGGACAAATAACATGGCCCATGTACATATACCTAAACCAGAAATGTGGTATGAATGACAAACAAAAGGCCTATTATTTGGCATACTGCAATTTCTTGCTCCAAATACTCTTGCTTTTACGTCAAAGCAGACAACAAAAATGACACTAAGGCATAGATCATGTTGGAGTTTGATGAAGAGGTGGTAACTCCTCATTGCTTTAGTCAAAAGGATTCCTGGAAATTTAAGGAAAGTAATTTATTTGGCCAAGAAATTGAGCACCATGCCTGGGGCAGAGACCTTAAAACAAACTTAAGGCCTCTGGCCCTTTGTTGATTCAAAAAAAAAAAAAAAGCATTAAAAAGCATTGCCCAGAGCATAAAGTAAGGAGGGACACTCAGATAAGACAGGTGATGGTCTTGAACAGCCTGAGGCAACACAACAGCAAAAGGAAGGGACTTAGTACTTTACAAAGAATGCCTGTAATCTCAGACACTCAGGAAGAAGGCTGAGGCAGGAAGATCACAAGTTTGAGGCCAGCCTGGGCACTTTAGTGAGACCCTGTATAAAAAAAAAAAAAAGTGGGGGGTAGTGACACAGCTCAATGCAAAGGATCTGGGCCCAACTCCCAGGACACCCCTGCTCCCATAACAAAAACAATCATGTAAATTCCCTAGTGGCAATTAATAGGAGGGACATACTAGGGTTTTACTGATGCATTTGTGTAGCTCAAAGACTCTGTAGGGCTTAGGAATTTTCCTCTGCAACCCTTTCCTGATTTGCCTCAAATGCTTCTGCTGAGGGCCAGAAAAAAGCTGAGAAACTTTCAGACCAAAAGCTTTCCCCTAACAAGATGGGGGCTTACTGTTGACTGCTTGCGTTCCTTCATGGCCTAAAAGCCCTTGTGGACTGTGTCCCAGAGGCCTACAATGGCTGCAGGGCTGCTTACCAATAATGGCCTTTCAGGCCTGCTTAAACAGTTCTAAAACACAGCTTCCACTTAGGGACAGGACAGAACATTGTGTCATCAAAAAAAATTTTTATTCTTAAGGTCTGTAATAGACCTTAAGAAAGTCCTGAAGACTTAAAATATGCAGATGCCCCATGAATACCAGCAAGGCTAAGAGAGGACTCTCCTCTCCTCCAAGATACTTTGCCAGTTACTGATGAGATTCCCCAAGGACAGCTCTCAACTTACTTCATAGCACAATGTGGCTTTGGGGCATATGCAAAACAAAACAAAACAAAGCAAATCAGCTGATTCAGAAGGAGTAAATAAAGATTGAGAGGCTTGAGGAACAAGGAAACTACTTTCTGAGATGAGTATTGTACTTAAAGGAATGTGTATAGGCCTGGGCTGTCCCAACACGATAGCCATTAGCCACATACAGACTGAAATACAGCTAATCCAAATTGAGATATGGTTAACATACATTTAATTTCTAAGACTTAATACAAAAAATGTAAAAGACTTCATTAATAATTTTGATACTGGTTTTACATTAAAACAGTATTTCTGAGGGGCTGGGGTGTTTAGCTCAGCCACATGGTACCTACCTGGCAAGTGCAAGGTATTGAGAGTTCAATTCCTGGTCCCCTCTCAAAAAAACCAAAACAAATAAAAACAGCAGTATTTCTGGTATGCTGCATTAAAGATATTAAAATGGATATAATCTTTAGTTTTTAAAATGTGGTTACTAGAATTTTTTAAATTATAGATGTGGCTCACATTATTACAGCTGTAGTGGACAATGAGTCCCTAGGTACTGATGATCTAAGTAGTGTTTGGAAGAATTATTAACTTACAGGAAAGAAGCTGCCTATAATTTTTCTTAGAACTTGTGGATTATGGAGATAAAACTATTTAATACTCAGGTTTCATTGCTTTTGTTAGTGACTTATTAAAAATTGCTTTTTTTAGTAAGTGAGTCATTTTCTCTGCAAACCAACCCACTGCTAGAGACTGGAACCTCATCTGCCCCAACGGAAGTGATTTTTCCTGTACATCCTAGACCCTCCCCTATTGAGTGTAGAGTAATTCCATCCAAAATGGTGAAAAAGAGACCTGAATTGGAAGCATCTCAAGGTCTTCCCAATGTGGAGAATGAGCTGGGAGAAGAGGATGATGTAAAAAGAAGTCAGAAAGTGGTTCTGAACCACAAGACTGTGCAAAGGCAGCCCCAGAGCACAGCCTTGTGATGGGCCTTGTCTTTGCTTTACAAACCTTATTTTCAGGGTAATTACAAGTCTTACAAATTGTTTAAAAACACATTTAGTTTACATGATGTTACAGTGGGGTAAATAATATGTATTATTAAAATAGTCTAAATAAATATTTACACAATAGATCAGAATGAGTCAAAGAGAACCATTCTGATTTAACAAGTTAATTCTTTTCACTTTTGAGATTTTCTTTAATTTTTAAAAATACTTCTGTAAGAAAAAAATAATTAAATTTAGTTATATTCAAATACACGAAGTGTCAGATCAAAGAAAGGAAGCTGAGCCGGAGGCCAAATTCAGTTCCGCACTTAGTGTGCTTGGCCTAGGCACCAATTATTTCTAAAGAGTTCTTCATATGTCAGACTTCCCTATTTCAGTGTAAGTCTGGCTATTCTGGCAACCTGAACCGGGCAGTTTTGAGATGTGCAGTTATCTGGCCTTACAGTTCATGTGATGGCCAAGCCACTTCACAAGCCTATCACTCTTGCCCTTGGCTCCCTGTCTTCACAGCCTGAGGGACAGGGCACATGCTTCACTTTTCAGTAAAGGACAAGCTCTGTATGTAAACTGCACCAACAGTTTACAAAGGACCAGAAAAAGGAAATTCTAAATTTTTTTGTAGTCACTGTAAGTGTGCAAGACACTTTCCAAGATGGGGCTAGAACGAGCTTTTGTGGTTCCTTAGGAGAGGGTGGGATCTAATGCATCTTGGCTTTCTCTTAACATTTTGATTTTAAAACTGAGATTTTCATCTCACAGAAACAGGATGAATTTTAGAAGCTTAATTTGATTCCAGGAATGCGAGCTTTAAAAACAAACATAGGCAGCTTTAGTCTATGTAATACACCAGCCAACGAAGACATAATGTGCAGCAAAACCTGCTAACAATTTGCACTTTTTAGTTATCTAATCAATTACACTACATTAAGAGAATGAAATTCTCTCACAGTAGAAGAGTTTCTACTTTGTTTTAATTACATATGCCAATTCTTCAATTCTTTAGCTGAATTGTATGTATTTACATGTCTAAACACTGGTCAAAATGTTTTACAGTCAAGAACTATATATATAAAGTAATTCGCTTATTTAGTGGGGTTATCAGTTTTGCTCATGGGTAGACTCAAAGTAAGCTACATAGTTTCATGTTAAGAAAACCTGCAGAGTATCTAGCTATGGGAAAATGGCAAAATTCAGTACAGAGTGGGGATCTGTGTAATTCAGGCCACTCTTACACATGAATTCATTAAACTCCCTTACAAAACTCTAAATTGGCATTAGATAAAAATACAAGTATGTACAACAGATGAAAAAAATGTAACATGCAAGTAACTGCATTAGTAACGTGCTGCTCACACTGCTGAAGCTCGGGTCTAACAGCCTGGTAACGCTTTTTTCATTTGCCACTGGAGATTTACCCTTCCCTATGTGCTATATGACTGCAGAACCCCACAGAATGAGATGAAGGAAGTCACACAGCTGCCTCAGCTCCCTTTGCATCATCCACGTGCTTGCTTCCAGCTGTGGGCCTTGGCCTAGTGAGTCTCGGGACGGTGCCCACACAGCCGGCTACATGTTGTAAGCCACGTAGATGGGGTCCAACTGGTCAGCTAGGAAGCTGTCTCGCAGGTGCATCCTTTGCTTCTCTCCCCGGGAGTTGATCGGAATGACACCGGGGTCCACCACAACCACAACGCCAACGATGAGGTAATGCTCTTCCAGGACCACATTGGTCACCAAAGGAACTAGATCCAGGGCTTCTTGTTCAGAACCGCACAGTTCCACAACCACCACAAGCAAGTTGGTCCATGTGAACACAGCACTGAAATTTCAATGGCATCAGTTAATTGTTGTTCCACTATTTGTCATCTTCTACATTCTCTACGGAGATTCCACCCCTTCCCCTGAGAACTGTCCTCTCTCCTGGATCCTAACTAGCTGCTATAAGACCTGCCCAGATGACCACAGCTGATAAGCTAAGCCAGCCACACCCTCCTGGGAATCAATGTGGGACAGACAGTTGTTAGCTGGTCAGTCACCTGAGCTGAGGACATGTGTATGTCAAAGTGCTGGGGTGGCCACAGGTGCAAAGTAAAGTAGCACAGAGTGCAGCCCCTCAAGGAGTGGAGAATGTAGGAAGAGAAGAGCTCCTGCTCCAGAAAAAGGGAGAGAACTTCCTGAAGCATTCTTGGCCTTTGCCCCTGCCTGTCCTCAGACCCACAGTCAAAAGTTTTTCTAGTCTTCTTTCTATTCTTTCTTTTGTTTAAGCTATTTTGAAGGCTTTTTGTTACTTGTGACAAAAGTGCTTTAACTGTGATAATGTTCTGAAACTCACCAGGAAGGGAGGCTGTCTAACTTCACAGTATGTACAAGCCCCCTGAAATACAATGTCACCTTCCATATTAGAGCATATGACCTCATCTGTGATATACAGTGTTAAATGTTTTACTTAAAGATTCTAATCATTAAAAACTATGCAATATTGCATTACAACAGTCAAATGTCTACAATTAGAAGGTGGCCATGGCACCCAGCTTCTCTACATGCTTGCCAGATTCTCTTCTGCCTATAAAACATCTATAGGCAGAGTCAGAGGCTTGCTCACATCTGGGGAGAGACTGACCAAGACAAGAACATCTGTAGACCAAGGAGTCTCTGCACAGCATCAGTGACCACCAAAAAACTGGCTGGTTAGAGGGGGAAACCTGGGGAAAGACATGGACTTGACAGGTAAGAAAGGACTTGGATGAAGCTGCATAATCTCTTATCAGGGAAAATGTGGGGGGACTCCCTCCATGACAGGGGAAGTGGGGAAGATCGAAAGACTAATCCTTTCCCTCCGTGTCCTACTGACATTTACAGAACCCACACTCACTGCTCCTTTCTGTAATCGGGACTCAGAAAAGGGCATGTCATTGAGAGGAAAGCAGTGTAAAGCGCTGACTCTAAATCATGGTTCTTCCCTCCTTACTGCACTGACTTCCTAGAGGCAGACTCCTAGCCCCTTCCAATTATGTCCTTAAAAAACGATCTCTTCCACAAAGCTCAGATCAGAAGAATGAATAAACAGTATAGTGAACCATATACCCAAGATGAGACCTGGTCTATTTATCTCCTTACGTCCCATGAAATTTTGCATTTTTATAGGTGTTTGGTATAAATGACTATCCAGATCCAGAGGTTTTTTTTTTCCCATATAGGTTATTAAACCCATGGACATACTAATCTAAGCTATATCCTAGCCCTCTGTTTATGTTTATTTGGACAGAGTTGTTAAAGTGTCCAGCCAGGACTTGAATTTGGGATCCTCCTGCTTTAGCCTCCAACAGTGCTGACATTACAGTGTGTGTCACTGGCAAGCCAGGTCATTCAAAGCAGCACTATGGCAGTCTGTGTAGGGGTAATTACCATTCAGCAATGCTCCTGTGGATCCGAGACACCGAGGTCTCAATGTCGATGGGGTGGTATCGTAATCCTCTCAGCTCCAGTGTTTCATCCAGAGCTCCCACCACATATAGTGCATCATGACGTTCTGATATAGGGGAAAAATATGGTTCAGACACACAGTGAGGCATTATAATAATGGTGTTAAAAAGAACAGGGTTCGTATGTGCTCTTAGGGAGAGACAATGGAGGCTGGTCAGTGTGAAACAGGTGCAAGAAGCTAAGGAGGAAGGAACAGTCCACATTAGCTTAGCCTTTAAAATTCAGACAGCTATCTCTATCAGTTCTTCAGTGTACAATACAGTTAGTGCTGGGTATTTTAAAGTGGTTACCAATGCCAGTCAGGAAAGGTTAAAGGCATAGCATAAATCAGGAAAAGTGATGACCAACAAAATGGACAGAGTGACTGCAGGGAACCCTATACCACAGCCTTGCTGGAAAAAAAAAACAAAAAACAAAAAAACCTTATATACAACATAGAGAAGCAGAATGGCTCCTTAGAACAAACCTTTCTTCAGGGGTTAGGATGGAGTTTGGCAGTTTTTTGAGACAGGGTCTCTATGTAGCCTAGGTTGGCCTTTAATTCATGGCAGCTCTCCTACCTCAGCCTCCCAAGAACTGGAATTATAGGTATGCACCACCATGCCCAGAGATAAGGGCTATTCCTTCTGCTCCCAGGTATTATACCTGTCCCAGGAGCTTGTTTAGGATTTAGTATCAACCCCCCAGAGCTCAGCATTTCGCTATGTGCCTGAGGTGCTATCCACCCTTAGCACATTTCTATGATGGACTGGCCATGTAACACCCACTCCTGGGATCCTCACACAGCGGCCCTAGGCGCTTTCCTCCAGATACTGCAGAGGACCGAGAGTCATTTCAAAGGAACATTAACTCTCTTATGGGTTCAAGAGCATGGGGGACAACCACATGCACAAGGGCAGAAGAAGGTTGGCCAGTGCCATGGATGGGCAGAGAGGGGAGGTACCTCCGGTGGCTGCTGTGAGTTCAGTCCTGCGGACGAACCCAAGGTATCCTGTTCGAGCCCAGAGCGTCTGAGCAGCATCGCCAAAGCTGAGGCGAGTGTTGAAGTGATCTGCTTGAAGAGTCTCACTGTCATAGATGGTGTAGTAGCCACTGGCTGTATGGGGACTGTTCACCCAAATCTGTAAGAAAAGGACAGTAGTCACACTACACCAGGAACTGACAGACTCTCTGAGAGTATGTTCACTTGGATTCTCACTGCTACATTAACAATATAACTGCAACAATGACGGCAGCCGGCAATTACTGTCTTTCCTATGTGCACAAACGAGGTGATAGGGACTTCACATGCTTAAACTCCAACTCCCTTAATACACATGATATGACAGTATGGCTCTCTCACTTTTTCTATATTTTTTTTATGAGCTAAATCCTTGGCTATATTTCTTTTACTATATTTCCTGCTGTCTTTTTTCGGAGGGGGATACCGGGAATTGAATTCACAACCTGGCGCTTGCCAAGTAGGCATTATGACTCTGAGCTACATTCCTGGCCTAAAACTCTTTTTGTTTGTTTTGCTTTTTTTTTGTCTTTTTCCTTTTTATCGGTACCGAGGATCGAACTCACGACTGCCTGCTTGCAAGGCAGGCGCTTATGCTGCGGAGCTAAATCCCCAGCCCCCTAAAACTCTTTGTTTAAGACAGGGTCTTGCTATATAGTTCAGGCCTACTTCGAACTCATTATGTAATTTAGACTGGCATCAAACTCACAGCAATCCTCCTGTTTCAGCCTCAGCCTCTCCAGTGCTGGGATAACAGCAGTGCACCACCTCTGGCTTTAGAGGATGTGTTTTTAATCACCAGGCTACCCTGTGTCTCTGGCTCATTTTTCATCTGCTTCTGGAGTTCCACAAAGTATGAAAAGGTCATCTCTGTGCTCTGTGATGTAACTACTGGTATGATACAAAGCCCTGGGAGGAATGCCACAGGCCATTTGAGTTTACAATGTTAATAGGGGTAATTGATAACAGTGTCAATGATGTGGTTAGTATCTGAGAACTTACTATGAGACAGGAATTCTTTGCAAATGAAGGTAGTAAGGTCTTTAACTATCAAAATTTTACTCTGTAGGTAAAGTAGAGGCTATTATTACTACTACTACTATTATTTGAAAGAGTGAGCCCTTAAACTCACTATGCAGGCCAGGCTGGCTTCAAACTGACTGGCTTTTTCCTGCTTCAGCCACTGAGAGCTAGGATTACAGGCCGCCATGCCTGGCTGAAGCTATTATTATTATTATTATTATTATTTTTGTCTTTTTCCTTTTTCTTGGTACCAGGGATCGAACTCACGACTGCCTGCTTGCAAGGCAGGCGCTTATGCCGCTGAGCTAAATCCCCAGCCCCGAAGCTATTATTATTAGTAGATGAGGAAATAAGCTAAGGAAAGTTAAGAAGCTGATCTAGAGTTAAGAAGCTGGTAACTGTGGGAGCCTAGCTCATCAGGTCTCCCATTAAAGTATGGGATCAAATATCAGGATCCTTCAAAGATTAGGGGGAAGAAAAATCATATATATATATATATATATATATATATATATTTTTTTTTTTTTTTTTTTTTTTTTAAATTTAATTTTATTTTTTGAGACAGGCTCTCGTAGCTCAGGCCAGCCTTGGGTTCATTGTGTAAACCCAGCTGGCCTTGCAGCTGTTTTTTTCACCTCAGCCTCCTGAGTGCTGAGGTTACAGGCACCACCATGCCTGGCTCAAGAATAATTTTATACTAATGCAAAAAGGGATACATTTTGAAATATAATTGCATGAATTTTAAAAATTTTATGTATGTGACTTCTTCTAGTTCCAGCTATCAAAGAGTGGATTTGCCCAAGTTCTTTTCCAGATAAGGGGATGGCAGTGAACAAATCTGAGGCTAATTTTAGTTTGGGAACCTAAACCTTCCCAGGACTCCAGACTCAATCTCTCCTTTTGTATCATTTCAGTCTCTTACCCTATAAAAAAGAATCCACAGTGAAGGAAAAGCTAAGTCCATCTGGCTGGCTTTCAGAATGTAAACCCTAAAGTCACTGACTTTTCAGAGTAAAACTGAAAATTATACCTACTTCACCCAGGTGAGAGTCTCCAACAGGCCCTTTGGTCTCAGGATTAACAATAACCACTTTCACTCCCGGTAAAATCTGAGAATCAAAAAGAAAACAAAGACTGAGTAGTAATGGCCTTTAGGAAATTAACCAATTAAATAAACCTCATGACCTCTACAAAAACCAAGCAGCCACTGGAGGAGATGGGGGAAAGGGAAGGGGAAATGGCTGTTACTAAGGCTGCCTTGAAGGAATAACTGCAGACATATGTTTTGCTCCCACTGAATCTTCCTCAGTTCAGTGGAGACTACAGGTCTTAAAAGATTTACCCTAAAAAATAAAATAGGGATCAGCTTAGTATCTTTAGAGTGAGAGGGCTGGTAACAGTCAGGTAACTTTCTTTTCTCACAGTCTATCTTGCTCAATGAACACCAACACAAAAGCCCTTCAAACAGAAAGGAAGGCTGAGCCTGAGAGACTCCACTGCAGCCATCAGCTTGAGGAACTGCAAGAGTAAGGTAAGTCAGCACAGAGGCGGCTTTGCAGGGGAACAGAAGATGACTGTGTCTTGGGACCATGAAAGACTTCACAAGCCCAGGATCTTCCTTTGGAAGATTGAAACCAGGCACAGCCTGAGATGGGCTCTGGGCCTACCAAGAGAAAAACCTCAGTGGCTCCCATTTACACCTGACCCAACTGGCAGATCTGATGAGGTCATACCCACCCACCTGGCTTCCTTGCAGCAGAAAACACTGAGCCAGCGCTCCCTGGAAATAGCAGGATCTCATTTCCCTTGTACGCCTGCTTCCAAATCTACTAGGGATCCTGAGGCAACACACACTTTCCGGTCAAGGGATAGGAAGGCCCCTCTGTTTTGACAGTGTAACACTCTGGCCAATATGCTTAGTGAGCTGCTCTTAGCCCAATCTCTCCTTTTAAAAATTTGGTACTGAAGTTTAAGCCCGTGACCTTCACAATGAGCTATATTGCCAGCCCCTTTTCAGTTTTTTACTTTGAGATGAAGTCTTGCTAAGGTGCACATGCTGGGCACCCATGCCTATGCTCAAACTCCTCATTCTCCCACCTCAGCCTCCTGAGTGTCACCACATACCTGTGGTCCTGGCACTCTATCTTTACTCTCTTGCCCATATTGACTTCTTTCAGTTTTAAATCTGCTATGTCTTCCCCTGGCCTTACATTATACCACCCCACATCTGTACCTCTAGCTTTCCCCATGTGACAGCTAACACTGGCTCTTTAAGTGCTGTTCAGCTACCACTTTGCATTGCATCTGCTGATTTCTCATTGCATTTGCTGATTTGCTGAGTTGAAAACTACAGAAGGTGGCCCAATCTAGTCTCCTTTAACAGGTACCCAAATGAATGTTAGAAGTATTAGTGATGCTGAAGCAGTTGAACGATCTCCAGATTTCCACTAAATTCTACTCTGGACACTAGTCTAGTGTTTGACCTGGCTTCTGCAGGGTCCCCCCCATAGTGCACAGACTGTACCTTTCCTGACTCCGACAGCAGCAGACTCTGAGGGGCTCCCCGCTCCACAAGACGAACCCTATTCAGGAAAAGAAGTTACTGGATATAAACCTTTCTTTCTTTCTTTTTTTGTATCAGTACCGGGGATCGAACTCATGACCACGCTCATGCCACTGAGCTAAAGCCCCAGCCTCTGACATAAACCTTTCTAAAAGTGACTTTACCACGCCTCCCATCTCTCCGAGACTCCTAACTGGTCTTTCCTCCTCCCTTGAGAGCAGGCTTTCTCAGACTGGGCGTGTGCATTTTGCCTCAGTCAGTCTTTTGTGGCAGGGTGTTCAGCAGCATCCTGCCCCTACCCACTAGATGTCAGTAGTGGCTTTCCTGATGTGATCACAAAAATATCTTCACACATTGTCAGTGTCCTTGGGGTGGGGGGCAAATCGCCTCAGAGTGGATTCAGGAGTGATATGACATGTCAGAGGACATTCCAGCAGTGTCTTGGCCAGTAATTACCAAGGACAATACTAAAATTTCCTTCTAAGTTGAGAAGGCAAGCTTATACCCAGGAATTCAAATAAAACTCTGCTCTGCTTCACAAATCTTGTTTGTCCTATCTTATTTTTTAAACTCTCACAAAAATGAGACTATCATTCTAATCTGTATCAAATGTCACAAAATAGTATTATATTTTTAGTACCATAGTGCAGGAACTGTGAGAAGAGTTAAAGCTTTTTTTTTTTTTTTTGTCTTTTTCCTTTTTATCAGTACTGGGGATCAAACTCAGGACTGCCTGCTTGCAAGGCAGGCGTTTATGCCACTGAGCTAAATCCCCAGCCCCAAAAACTTTCTTTTAATAAAGGCTCCTGTCCCCTTCCCAGATCCCTCTTAGAAGATGCAAACATGAAAGGAACAAGGGGAAACGGTGGCTTTTGAATTCTATGCTTAGGGATGCTAACAGGCAGTGGCATACCTGTCATGTCTTAATGATTTCAGGTCTACATACACAGTAGTGGGATCAGGCCCTGAGGTTCCCTAAAGAAAAACAAAGCAGTGAAATGGTTAAAATTTAAATAAGCTATCCTTTCCTACTTCACATGTTCGAATTAAGAAATAGGTATTTTACCTCTCTGCATGCACTATCCCCTCAATTTTGAAAGCTCACTTTCTTTTTAACCAAATGAGGCAGGGTGGAGTTAACAACCCACTTGCAAGTGACTCTGGCCTGACGATCTAATGTTTCCCCATTTCCTACCCTTCATCATAGTCTGTAGCAACACTGAAACATTACCAAACCAAGGAGGGCTTCCATTCCTAGCCCAGGGATGTTCTTTTTGTTGTTGTTTGAGGCAGGTTCCTACTCTGTAGTTTAGTCAGGCCTCAAACACAGAGACCCTTCTGCCTCAGCCTCAGAAATGCTGGGATTATATGTGTGTGCCACGATGCCCAGGGCTCGCCCAGATTTTCAAAATCAACACTAGCCCCAGCTGACAGCAAGAGGTCCTAGTGGGGTGCCACAGTGAAAGTCTAATGACACTTCCTAAAAATCACCTGACTATGGCCACCAAAGACCTGCAAGTACCTACCCACATATACCACCCTCTTTTACAGTCTCACCTATGTCTTCATCTGTTTTATTAGCTCTGAGCCTGCACAAAATCAGACTCAGTTCTAGTCCCTTTTCTGCTATTTACCCATAAAGAATAACATGGTGAACTTACCATCTGACTAGGAAAAAAGAATACAAGTTTACTTGTGCTTAGTTTGGAAGAAAAAAGGTATAAAATATACAAAGATGGAAAAATAGGTCAGATATAAATAAAGCCCAAATAGAATGTTCCAAATAGGACTCAGAGAGCTTTCTGGTTCACTGTCATGCATCACACCATCACTACTAAGAGGAAGTATTTACACTGGTGCCTTCGGTCAGCTTCTCATCTGTTCTGACCTCGTAACTTGGGATTCCGCAATCCACCATGGGAAGAATGGAACTATCATCTCTATTTTACAGACAAGCAAAATGAGGCACAGGGCAGGCAAAGTAAAAAGCCTCGGGTCCCACCAGAAGTGAGCTAGAGGTGGAGCTGTGTTAGCAAACAAGACTTGGTAGCATCACCTGTAAACATATTGCTACATTGACTCTGGATCCAAAAGTGGTGCTGACAGCCCGAGGGGACAGGCCAATATCTTTGAAGAGCTTGGAGAAGGACTGCTGCAAAGTGATTCGGGGTCGCTCTTCAGCCACCACTACACAGGTCCGGATGCAGGAGAGGTTGATTCCTCTTGTCTGTAAGACACGCAGCACACAGGCTGAGGCAGTAGGGTCAGCAGAAAACCAAACATGTAGCGCCACTGCTCTCAGCCAAGAAAAGCCAAGGAACTGTTTTTGTTTTTAAATTTTAAATTTCTTTCTTTTTTTAACTCCAGATATACAGGAAAAGCAGCTTTCAAAAAAGAAAACACAAGACACATTCCTTTAAAATTATTATCATAGGGCCTGGTGATTTAGCTTAGCGGCATAAGCGCCTGCCTTGCAAGCAGGCAGTCGTGAGTTCGATCCCTGGTACTGATAAAAATGAAAAAGACAAAAAAAGAAAATTATTATCATGGGTAGGTGTGCTTATTCTTTATTCCTTCCCTTTTTCATCTAAACATCTTGGATTTTAATAAAAATATATTTTTATTATTCTCCAGTTGTGAATCCTAGATTTCTCTCTATTTGAGAAAGTAAATACAGAACCTGGGTATCTAATCTATTGTTTTCTCCTTTTCCTTCTTAAAGTCATAGTTCTTTATTAAAGAAAATTCAGCATTTTTTCATTTTTTCATGTGACACAAATAGGATCCTTGTAGTATGTACATGAACCCATGACAAATATAATCATCATGTACTGTAAACATGTACTAATTAAAAAAAAATTCTTTTGGTCTTTTTGAAACAGGGTCTTGGTATGTAGTTCAGGCTGGCCTTTAACTTGCAACAATCCTCCTGTCTCAGCCTCCAAAGTGCTGGGATTTTTTTTTTATAGGCATGCATTACCATGCCTAGTAAAAACTTTAAAAAAAGAAATAGGACCCTTGGAGACAAACATTAGTGAACTGCCCTTATCTTTGGGACCATCTCCAGTCTGAAATGTTTTGAGATTTCAAATTCTATTGGGAAAATTCTACTGGAGGTCAGAGTTTCTTTTTATCTTTACATGAAGTCATTTCTGTTTCTTTAGTACTGGAAATCAAACTTGACCTTGCGCTTGCTAGGCAGGTGCTGTGCCACTGAGGTGCCTAGCCCATGAAGTCATTTCTGTTCAGGCTCTCAGTCTTATCTTCTTCATTACAATGCCAGAATCTGGTTAGATCCTGAAAGAGCACACTAGTAGACTGAAACTGGTAAAGCGAAGAGTTAAAACTTCCTCAGTTTATAAAACACCTATTTAAATGTCTGGCTGGACAAAGGCAGGTAAGTATTTCTGCTAAACTCTACTCTGTTATTATCATGCCTTGGCTCATATCTCTACAGGCTTTTATGACTTACTTAGCCTTAGTTTCTTTTTTTTTTTTTTTAAAGCCAGTCAAATTTAGCAGTGGGGGGGGGGTGGTATACCAACTTTAGTGACACTAATGTTAATAAGCTCTGATAACCCACTGCCATCGGACCAGCCTAGCCTTGGTTTCTTAGGTTATTTGTTGTGGCTGCAACTTACCTTTAGCACTTCCACTTGGTTACCCAGTCCTTTAGTGCAAAGCTCCATAACTGAATAGGAACAAAAGGTATCCCTTATTTTGTACTGGTTGACCGTGGCAAGCCAAAGGAAAAGATTGTTTTCTAACTCCATGGGAGGAATTAAGATGGACTGGTGACCTGAATAGACACTGCAATGAAGAAAGGCAAGAACTTACATTATTAATTCATCCTAGACACCTCGTTTTAGAACACCATCAATGTAACACATATTTACTACATGGGAAGGACAGTGGACAGTCATATCAGAATGGAAGGTCTAAGTATCAGCCTTGTTCCTATGCAATTCACAAGATGCAGTAACCACAAAATAAAGCGGACTATGGCAGGTGTGGTAACAACAGCTGTGAATAAAGGACACTGAGTTTGTAGAATAAAGAGCAATTTGTTCAAATGAGGAAGTTGGGGAAGTGGTTGTGTTTTACTGGGTAGGAGGCATTTCAGCTGGAGTCCGAAGAATGAGGAAGAATTTGAGTGGCTGTAAGAAGTGGGGAGGAAGGGGAGGGTATTCACGGCAGAGGAACAGCACATCCAAGGCAGGGATGTATGGGGTGTGCATGGTTAGGAATAGCATTCCAGTGAAAATCTACACTGGGAACAGTGGGGAGGAAGGCTAGAAAGGCTGGGTCTAAATTCTGAAAGGGCTTACCTAGCCTTGGTAGGTTAGATTATACCCTTCAAGGGTGGTTTTAGTTGAAGCAAAACCGGCAACTAGAGTAGAGATTACAGACATGAGCCACTGGAAGGTGAACACTGAGAAGAAAGGCTGTGACGATCTATTTGCAACAATACAGATGAGGGAAGGAAAGCATGAGATTGAACCCCAACAGAGCAACTAGGATCAAAACAAAGGAATGGCATAGTCATGTATCATACATGTGATCTGTAGCCATGCACCCTGTATAGATCAGAAACATGAGGAGCCCAGGAAGCCTGCATTTAGAAAATATTGGAGTTGTGGGTGCCTTCTCTACAAAACTAAGACAGTCTGTTAAATACTCTTTTCCACATTAGATGAAAAAGGTATCAACATTGTATCAAAATCTGAGGGAAGATGCTTCTCACACAATAGTGTGAAGACCAAGTCATCACACTTATGAACTACAAAAACATCTGTCTTCGTTTTGTTAACATTCACAATGTGTCTGCAATTTGTATGTCTTGTAGCTGACCAGCCTGAACCACCAGTGATACAAGTTATATGCTGATACTGTCACACATGTACCCCCAGTGGTTCGAGTTGGCAGAATGTGTTAAAGACAGTTGATTCTTATAGACAGGTAAGTACAGAACTGAGCCAAAGAACATAACATTTAATTACGTAGGCCAAGCAGATATAGACGCTGAAGATAATGCTTTGGACACCTTTCTAGATAATCCCAACCTAACAAAGTTGGGGTCAGAGGAGGAGAACACTGAGTCACAGTTATTTGTAAAGCATTCAGAATGTTCACAAGTAAGTGAAAATACAGGTCTGACATAAAGTCCCTGGGGAAAATGATGGAAGGAGCTAGAACCTGCTCTCCCTCAAGAAGCAATCTGGCCAGGACAAACGAACTACTTCCAGGCCACATGCTATCCTTGCATCCCAGCATGCAGTTCTTCCCTGCCAAGCTGAGAGAGTATATTCTGGCTGTCAAAGCACGTCATGTTTCACCCAAGTATCAGCCTACCATCTGGCTTTGCTTCTAAAACAAGGATTATAGGAAGATGTACAGAAAGGTAACCAAATAACTGCCCTCTTATATGAAGCATAAAATAGAGAAGAAAAGGGAATCCAGACAAAACCAGACATCTCAGACAAAGTCTTTTACTAAAAACCTTAGCAAATTAAGGGAGCAAAGGGAAGGATGAGAGCCCCAGGAATGCCCCATACATTCTGTTTCTTTGGCTTCTCCATTCTTACCTGCAGAGACACCAGAGTGCAAAGCCAAGTCCGCAGTAAGGGTCAAGGCAGATAGCGATCTGCCGAGAAGAATACAACTCACACTGGAGCTTGATGGCTCTACAAAGAGCATTAACTGCAGAGTGAGACATCTAAAAAGTAAGGAACATGGAACAGAATGGAACTGGCATCCCAAATATAGAGACGCAGATTTAAAAGTTATAGTGGGCTACATAGTGAGTTCAAGGTCAGCCTTCACTGTGCAATGAGACCCTGTTTCAAGCCCCCTCCCCCAAATGTTATATCAATCTATGATCACACAGTGACCTTAACTGGAACTCTTATTATTATCAGTTAGCTTCTACGCTAGGTTCAGATATTTGTAATACAGATTCCTTAGGATAACTTATTCTGGAAGAGCCAAGGCTTTATTTAAATATAGCAAGGATCCTTTATCCCCCCACCTACTGGCCTCCAGTTCAACCAGCTGGCCTCTGCATCACATGTCTCAGAAGCAGTGGTCATCTCTATTTATGGCAGCCTGGCATCTGACCAGCTTTTGGTGAGTTCATACATCCAAACTACTTTACCTTCACTCCTGTAAGCATGCCAGTTGTGGAGACGCTGAAATCAAGATATGCCAACATCTCAGGAGTGGGTGGTTTATACAGCTGAGGTAACCTTTTTCTGGGCAAATCATCTGCAAAGAAAAAGAAAAATCTCAGTGTTATCACACACACTAGAACATGGAAGCCACTGCTCTTCAACTGCTTTTCTGTGGCTCTGCTCTAACCAAATTTAGCTTCTGGGATTTGTGAAAGCTTGGCTCCTCATATTTAACCATGTAGTTCATGAATTTCACTCTGAGGCAGGAAGAGGGTTGAAGACACCACTAGAAAATATCAACAAGCAAATCTACATCTGATGAATTCATTTAGCAGGTTAGTTAAGGATTAATACAGCACAGTGATAAACAGGCGGCTGGTCTTTAAACCCCAGCATTATTGTATGAGGTATGTGACGATGCAGTTCTCTCACCTGTGTGTGTGTTACTGGGAATGGGCCTTTTTGAGACAATGTCTTGCCAAATCACTAAGTTGACCAAGATGGGCTTGAACTGAGAATCTTTTTGCTTCAGCTTCCCAGGTGCTGGGATTATAGGTATGTACCACACCTGGCTCTCCCTTTTTATGAGCATCACCTAAAATTCATACATGTTACAGTTTTGAAATCTTCTTATCATATGATAGATTTCCTCAATAAATATGGGAGTCAGGAGCCAGGGGTTTAGCTCAGCGTTGTAAGTGCCTGCCTGACAAGCGTGAAGTCATGAGTTCGATCCCCAGCACCAAAAAAAAAAAAAAAAAAAAAAAAAGCTGTGAACATGGGAGTCAGTTATAGAGGCAGCATTTAGAGAAGGTCGTTGCAGTCAAAGGTACAGGCAGTGAGCTCTAGTGACACATTCTGGTCTTCTAGTCCAATGTCTCAACTATGCTGGCTCTAGTAGTCAAGGGTCAGACTGTCTCAGTATTTCATATAGTTCTACATATATATATATGTGGTCACAGGTGGTATAATATCCTAATCACCAAAAGTGATAGCATAGTATTTTATTTTTTAAAATGTTTATGCATTTGGTTGATATGTATGTGTGTATATATATACACACATACATATATATACACACACACACACACATACACACATACATACATATTTGGGGGGGCATAGTCTCACTATGTAGTTCAGGCAGGCCATGAACTCCCCTTATAGCCCAAGATGACCTTAACTTGCAGTGATCCTCCTGCCTTAGCACCTCCAGTGCTGAGATTACAGGTATGTACAACCAGCACCCCACTTATTTGTTTTTGAGGCTGACACAGCAAGCAGAAACACTAAAATGACACCCAGGACTTGAAGGCATTTGTATTTACATCGACAGGCAGACTGGGATCATTTCCAGAATATCAGGTTCTGATCTCTGGTGGTCTAGAGTTTTTATATGATGCACAAGCAGGAGGTACAAAGGGGACAGAAAGGCAACATAGAATGGCCTACCAGTTCTTCTGATTAGTTAGCAGGGTGAGATCACTGGTTACAAAGATAGATTAATGGTAATCAGTTGATGAAGCCTCGTACAATGGTACAGTCAAGCCTATAGTTGGGTTACACCCTTGTGGTTACAGGGGTCAAGAAAGTAATTACAAAGTCATGAAGCAGTTACAGAGCCAGGCAATTTCAAAAGAATAAAGCTTTTTGGTTTTTTGGGTACTGGGGATAGAACTCACAACCATGAGCTTGCAAAGCACGTGCTTATGTCGCTGAGCAAAATTGCAAGCCCAAGAATAAAGTTTTAAAAAGAACAATTTCTCTTAAACAGTTTTTTCCTTTTAAGGTAAGGTCTCATTAAATTACTAAGCTTTCCAGGCAGGCTTGAACTTATGATTTTCCTGACTCAGTTTCCGAGAATAGAGATTAAAGGTGTGCACCATCATGCCTGGCTAAGTATTTTTTAAAAAGAGCTCTTAAGAGTACTATGAGCTGGTTCTTTGGATCTAATTACTGTACAGTCCTTTGGATGTACAGCTGAATGAATATGAACTTTTGTCTTCCTTTAAAAATGAAGAAATAAGATGGGTGTGGTGGTACACACTTGAATCCCAATACTTGGAAGGCTGAGGCGTGAGTATGGCTGTGAGTTCAGGGCCAGCCTGCACTACGAAGCAAGACCCTATTTCAAGAAAGAAGGAAGGAGGAGGGAGAAAAAGAGAGGAAAGAGGAGGTAGGAGGGCGAGGAGGGGGGAAGAGGAAGGAAGGAGGGGGAGGGGGAGGGGAGGAGGGGGAGGGGAGGAGGGGAAGGGGGAGGGGAGGAGGGGGAGGGGGAGGAAAAGGAGGAAGAGGAAGAAGAGGAAAAAATAAAAGACCTCCCAAGCATAAACTAAAATGTTCACAACCACTACGCCATCATTGCAGAAAATACTTTAAGGAATTCAATACACAGAAGGTGAAGAGCACATAGGCTACTAAGCATGAGAAATCAAGTATTAGAAAGACATAATGACAGGACCTAATGCATGCCTGTCTATAATGACTTTGAACATAAATAGTCTTAACTCTCTAAATAAAACACAGACTGGCAGACTGGATTAAAAAAAACAAGGCCCAATTCTGCTGCTTGCAAGATTTTCTCTCTTCTTTAGCAGCCGTAATGTGTTTCAACACAAAAGTTATACAAACATGTCTGACATAACAATGTAGAAAATCCCACATGACAAATATTCTTGCTTTTGCAACAGATCTGGAGATACAACACTTTCTCTCACCTGTATCGATGATGGTTGGCCAGGTTTTCACATCCACAGCTGCAGCTGCCTCCCGGGACCTTAGTAACCTCATTAGGGTCTGAGTGGTAAGAATACAGGCTGCTTTGCTGACCTAGAAATCAAACAGCAATCAACTCTGGCTACTGCTAAAAGCAACTTACATACCATACTGGGCAGGGTATTATTAACTTTTTAAATAGTTGCCTTGAGATTTTTACTGCTGTAAGTGTAAGTGTACAATACTTAATTCTCTTAGTATAATGGAATTTCTTCCCCAAGCAACAAGTTATAGCTTATGAAATCTTGGTACAAATCCTGCAATCCTGTATTTCTTGAAGCTCAGAATATGAGGACTTTTGCACGCTCAGGGAGTGAGAAGACAGCGACCAAGTGCACTGGTCTGGTGCAAGAGGTGATGCGGCCTGACCATTGCAGTGCTCATGGGACACCGACACAGAAGCCCTGACGGTCATGGAGCCCAGCCCAGGACTCTTGCAAATGAAAACCAACAGAAATTGAGTATCAACAGGAAGAAACTGCTCTCCCTGCTTTTCTGACCATAATAAGGGCATTCTACTGAGTTAAGCTGTGTAATAAAACCATTTATGATGAACTTTTATGCTGTTGACAGAACAGGAATTCTTAGATAAGCAAACATTAATTAGAATTTTGTAACCTTTCAGCCCATTGGTGAACACTGCCTTGTGCTTTAATGTACAGGAGAATATGATGTAAGACAGACGTATTCAATTCCTTAATTTGGTAAAAACTTTATATCTCATACTCCAGAATAAAATTTGGATGTCTCTTCCTTTTTTTCTTGCAGTACTAAGGATCAAATGAGGGCCTTGCACATGCTAGATGAGTGCTATACTACTGGGCCCTGAACATCTGTTTTTGTCTTTTTCTTTTGCAGTAGAGATTAAGCTCAGGGCCTTCACACTGAGCTATAGGCCTAGCTTTTTTTAAAGAGAGGGTCACTGAATCACTAAATGGCTCAGGATGGTCTCAAACATATCTTCCTGCTGTCTCAGCCTCCCAGGGTGCTGGGATTACATGCATGCATTACCACACCCAGCCCTGGACATCTTTTAATGCTATATTGACTGAATTTACAAAACTAAAAATAAAAGATAAAAGTGACCTGACATGAGGGAGAGAATCAGACATTGGTGTGGGAAATTACCCTTCTTACTGTACAGGGAAAGTATCAGACAGATAACATGTTTTATGAAGGAAGGACAAGTTTTAGGGGGAATTATTAATGAAGGTTTTATCTCCTTAATGTCCATGATAAATACCCACAATTCCACATCTCACTAATAACTACCTTTTTACAGTTCTTTTACTAAATAACAATGGTCAATGGCCAGATTAAAGAACAGGAGATAGGTGTTATGAGAAAAACTTATAATTTTCTTTTTCTGCAATAATGAGGACTGAACCCAGGCCCCTTGCACTCAGCTTGTTCCCAGCCCTTATTCTATTGTTTTTGTTTGTTGGTTTTTTTTTTTTTGTCTTTTTCCTTTTTATTGGTACCGGGGATCGAACTCACGACTGCCTGCTTGCAAGGTAGGCGCTTATGCTGCTGAGCTAAATCCCCAGTCCCGGTTTTGTTTTTTTTTTTTTTTTTTTTTTTTGGTTTTTTTTTTTTTTTAATATTTTATTTAAGAAGAAAAAAAAAGCAGAGAAAGGGTACAAGTTATACAGATTTGCAGAAAAAAAATGAACAGTAGGAAATCACAAGTTAATGGATTACATATTGTCATCTTAGAAATAATTGTTCAAGTCACAAAATTAAAGCTTGTAAAGTGGACATTCCAACAATGATACTGCAAACAGTTCTGTTCAATGATCTGATAAAATTCTGTGATATCATACTCTATCTTATACACTTAAATATACATGCAGTTATATAGTTTAGAGCACTTTCTTTTCCTCTCTTTTGTACAATGACTATTACACATTTTGGGTTTCATTGCTCTCACGGTTCTTATTACTTTTTTGGAAGAGAGTAAAACCAAATGTGACATAACAGAACAGAATCGGTCAAGTCAAAAGGGTGGACATAATAGATAATGTGAAAACATAATACAAGGTGATCAACAATGGTTACCATAATGCCTCCCGCTATCTCTAATAGAATTGCCTATACCATTAGTTATAATACAATTGAACAAAACAGTAAAGAACAAAACCAACAAAACCAAACCATTGGAGACATTGTAGGTCTTCAAAAGTAGATAAAAGTCAACGAGAATGGGCGTTATAATGAATCTCATTATCTTCACAGCTGATGCCTAAATTTTCGAACCTGATACTATCCAGCAAAACAGAATAGGGGAACATCAGTTAAAAACCAGATGGTGAGAGTAATACAGGGCTTTAAATCGAGGTAATGGAAAGTCAAAGTGGGTTACTATAATATATCCTGCTATTTTTTCCATTAATTAAAAGGATAAAAATTTTAAAAAAGTATTAAAAAAGTAAATAATGGAGTGGAGATTGAGATAAAAGAGGGCATAACAATGAAACAGCACAGATCAAAACATAACCATTTAAGCAGAATAGTGTTTCACCACCAGATAATCCTGACCTAAAAGTAGTTACCATATTGTCTCTTTCCTTGAAATCCTTGAGTACAACTTCGTATACTGTAGCATTAAGTATATCAAAACAATGTAAAACCATTTAAGAGAATGACAGCATTACAGAATATTTAGAACCGACTAACAGAAAATGAATAATGATTTCTGTATAATCTCCTTGTCTTTAAAAGGTTTTTGCTTATACTATCATACATAATAAAATCCAGTAAGATACAACCTATTTAGACCATTGGAGACAGAAGGACAAAAGCTAGATGAGACTTCAAAACAAGATGGTACTAAATCAGTATTACCTATTAAGATGTCATTTTCTCCAAAATAGCTGTTCCTATCATCCAATCTTCTCTGCCTCATTTCTGTTGAGCTCTTATTCTGTCAGTAGCTGTCAGTTTGTCTTCTTCACTTTGTTCTCTGCTCCATTAGTTGTGGCCTCCACTATTTCTGGATTCTTTGTATTTTTCTTTTTTAGAATATCCTGCAATACTCTCTGTAGAGTTGAATTGGTGGTTGCAAATTCCCCCAGTTCCTCTTTATCCTGGAAGCATCTTGTTTTTCCATCAATTTCCAGGGACAGTTGTGCAGGATATCTCAATCTTGGCTGGAGATTATTATCTTTCAAAGCTTGAATTATTTCCCCCCACGCTCTTCGTGATTTGATGGTTTGTGCAGAGAAATCTGCTGTAATTCTGATGGGTGCTCCCTTGTAAGTGGTCTGTTTCTTGTCTCTGACAGCTTTTAATATTCTGTTCTTGTACTGAATTTCTGGAATTTTTATTATTATATGCCTGGGTGTTGCTCTGTTTGGGTTGTAGGTAGCTGGGGTCCTGTATGCCTCATACATCTGAGTATCTTTACCTTTTGCTAAATTAGGAAAATTCTCCTGGATTATTTCTGTGAGTAGCTTTTGTAGTTCACTTGTTTGTGTCCCTACTTCTTCTTTTATGTTCTTAATCCTTAAGTTATGGATCCTCTTATCATCTTCTTGTCTTTGTATTATTGCTGTTTGTTTCTTTGTTATTTTTAAGAAGTTTTTCATTTCATTCTCCCATATTACAATTCTGCCCTCCAGTTCAGATAGTCTGTCCTTAGTTTCTTTCAAGCTGTTATGCCAGTCTTCGATAGACTTCTTAGTTTCTTGGTAGTCCCTTTGAACCTGCTTCACGTATTCTATGCTTTCCCTGTTTTCTCCATCAAACAATTCTCCCCTCTTTTTCTGTTCTTCCATTCCACCATCTGTTTTTTCTTGGGTGGGGCTTAGCATTTCTCTAACTATTTTGCATACTTCTAGCTTCAGGTCGTTGATAACTTCATTCCTGAATTGGTCTATGAGGCTCTCTATATGGTGCTTTATGTGTATTGGTGCGGTGTCTGCTATTGCCTGTTTCTCAGAATTGGGGGCCGAGGAGCCTTTCTTGTTGCTGCCTCTTCCCATATTCTCTGTTCGTTATATATGCAAGCTTATATGAGAGGCCCAGCTTCTCTCCCTGCCAGCCACAGCCTGATCGAATTGCGCCGGTTAGGTGTTCCCACTCACCGCTGCGCACCAGGCAGCCTACGCGGAGGCCCGCCCCTCCTGGCTTCCGGCAGGCTCTAGGATCTGGTTTGGGCCAGCCTACGGGGTCCGCCGGCAGCGTCACGCAGGCCAGGCACTTTTCACCAATCCCGCCCGAGAGGGGAATGTGTGGCTGGAGTCTCCACCGCGCCCTGCTCCCGCAGGACTGCTCGGGCCCAGAAAGTCCGCTGGAGTCAAACTGTGGTGGAGTGTCAGTTTCTCTCACTCACCTCGCCACAAGTCAGAACATGCCTCCCTGCCCGTCCTGTTTTCGACTCCGTTCGCAGATTCCCGTTCTCAGAGTTTCTGCGCGTCTCTCTCCTTGCCGAGCCGATGTAGAGGCAGCCAGCCGCCGCACGGCGAGAAACCCAAATCGTGGCTTCCAATGGCGCAGGGTCCAGCCTCAGCAGCGAGACTTTTCTGTTCCTGTTTTAGCACCAGGACTGCATTCCAAGTTGGTTTCTCTCAGCCGAGTTTGTTCCTGAGTCAGCAGAGCATAACTCCACCTGCTTATGTCTCTTTAGTCCGCACCATACCTGGCTTCTGAGCCTAGTTTTCCAGAGAGCCTCCGGTAGTTGCTGTTATCTGTCCGCCATGTTTTCCCGGAAGTTCGGTTTTGTTTTTTTTGAGACAACATCTCACTCTGTAGTGCAGGCTGATCTTGAACTCACTGTGTAGCTTACACTGGCCTCAAACTTGTGGCGGCCCTACTGCTTCAACCTCCCAAGTGCTGGGATTACATGTGTGTGCTACCACACTTGGTCCTTTTTCTACTTTGAGACAAGATTTTATTAAATTGCCCACACTGAGCTCAAACTTGCATCCTCCTGTGTCAACTTCCTTAAGTGCTAAAACTGTGGATATTTGCCACCATGCCCAGCTAAAATTTTACTTGAGGGGGAGTGGTTTGAGACAGGGTCTCACAATGTAGTCCAGGCTGGCCTTGAACTCCTGATGATCCTCCCCTCTCAGCTTCTTGAGTGCTGGGATTACAAATACACGCCATCACATTTAGTAAAATTTTACTTCTTCTAATTTTTTTTTTTTGTCTTTTTCGTTTTTTATCGGTACCAGGGATTGAACTCATGACTGCCTGCTTGCAAGGCAGGCGCTTATGCCGCTGAGCTAAATCCCCAGCCCGAAATTTGACTTCTTAACAAAACTAGAAAATTATTAAGGATCCTTAGTTGTTTGAATTTGGGCTTAATGAGATAAAGACAAAGCAAGGTACAGTTGATACTTACATCAACAATCATGCGGACAGTAGGCAATGTGGCAGTAAGGTTTTGAGCATGAGGAGGTCTGACGGTCACAGGTATACATCCTGCATATAGGCAGCCATAGAATGCAGCAATCAACTCAATGCCTGTAAGACAAAGGGCATGGTTAGGAGATCATTAACCACTAGTACCACTAAGAAGCTAGGTGTGGTGCTACACACCTGTGATCCCAGAATTTGGCTGAGGCAGGAGGATCTCTGTGAGTTTGACACCAGCCTGGGCTACACAGTGAGTTCAAGGCCAGCCCAAACTACATAACAAGATCCTGTCTCAAAAAAAGAAAAATAAAACAACAACAACAAAAAAACCCCAAATAAACAAACAAAACCACTCCCTAATATCACTAAGAAACTAAGTGCAGATCTTCTAAAATCAGTTTCTGACATGAGATATGTAGACTACAATTTAACAAGATATCAGAAGAAATTTTAAAAAGTAAAAGAAACTGAAAATGAAGAAGCATATAAAACAACTTAAAACTAAGAAGCCACAAATAAATAGCAAAGAAGAAACTCTTGACAGATGCTTGAAAGTAAGTTAATGTTATTAACCGACATTAATTAGAAAAAAAAAAAAAAAAAAACCTGCAAAATTCAGGGAAGCCTATGTAGGGAAGTGAAAGGATGGAAAACACAGAGACAGGAAGCCCAAGCTCTCGTTAAGTATCTTGAAGGCTGTACAAAAGCAACTGGACCCCTTGTTCTCACTGTAATTGGTGTGAGCTTCTGAGGGTTCCCCAAAGTCAGAAAGTTCAGGCATTCATTTACTGATTCACTCATGTATATTCAACATTTCCTGAGGGCCTTTGGTGCCAAGAACTGATAATGGAAGTCTAAGCACAGCAGATCTGGTTCTAGCAGAGCCATCCCATGGACAGCTCTGAGGGGCTGCATCTTAGCTCTTGAGCTGATATTCTTGGTGCCAGGAATGCAGTTTCCATGGCTGCTGACTTTGGCCCTGAATTCTGTACATGAGGGAGTAAGGGAACATGGGAGTCTAGTCTATCAGTAAACTGATACTTACCAGGTGGGTAGAGCAATACCACATTGTCTCCTGCATTTAAATGTCCTTTGTCACCCAGAACTGATGCAATCCTCTCTGCTCGCTTATGAAGCTGGAGGCAGCTGGCTGTGCACACAGTAGTTCCCTTTAAACAGAGAAAAGGATAAGCCAATCAAAGCTTAGTCAGGTGGTCGAATGTGGAGGCACACACTAATACCAGCACTCTGTGAGGCAGAGGCAAGAGGATCACAAGTTGTGGCCCAGCACAGGCAATTTAGTGAAAAGGGATAAGGTGGCAAGGTAGCTTAGTGGAACTTTCCCATGCCACAGAACAACTCCCAAACAAACATGAAGCTCAGTGAGGAAATAAATAGGGCAAATACAGTCACCATGACACACTGCCTAAAAGGCTCGCGCTTTGGCAAATTACCCTTTGTGAATCATTTGTAAAAATTTCCTAAGTATCAACAGCTAGGTGGGGCAACTGGGTATGGTGGTGCACACCTGTCATCTTAGCACTTGGGAGGCTGAGACAAAAAGATGATTGTAAGTTTGAGGCCAGCCTGAACTAGACAGCAGATCTTGTCTCAAAAACCAAAACAAACCAACAAAAAGCTTCGTGGGAGGCTCCCTTTTTCAGTGTCTGCAGGTACTCAGGATATATTAAAATTAACTTACATCAAATATTTAAAGTTTCTCTTGCTTAACGTGATTTTAAAAATACACAATTAAGAAAATTTTAAGTGAGGAAATAAGAGAAGAGGGAAATAAAAGAATTCAAAGTATAATAGAATGAGGACAGCAGGAAGAGTGAGGTCAAGATAGTAAATGTTCGGCCAGGGAGATGGCTTAGCAGCACAGCACTTGCCTGGTAAGCTCCCCATGAGTTCCCTAGTATCACAAACAAACAGAAAGACAGTGCTGATCCATTTGTTGTGCAAAAGCACAAATTTGGCTCTGAATTTACTAACAAAAATAGAGTCTACCAACTATTAGTAAAGATTAAGAGATGAGAAAGGGGTCAATTTTCTTTTTCTTTCTTTCTTTCGTCTCTTTGAGACAGGTCTCACTATGCAGTTCAGCCTAGCCTTGAATTCACTTTGTAGTGCAGGAAGACCTCGAACTCACAGTGATCCTAATGCCTCAGCCTCCCGAGTGCTCGGATAACAGGTGTGTATCACCATGCCCAGCAGGGGTCAATTTTCTTGATCTTGAGAATAATTGCTCCTGTGCACCTTCATAAAGTTTTACTGAGCTAGGCTTTTGAAGTCCCTCCTTGCAAAATATGGCATATGTAAGGAAAAGTACAAAACATACAGGTGGTTTATGAAAACCCAGTAAGCCAGCATCAGTGAGCCTGGCAGCTCAAATCACTTATAGGTCCCCCACTCACAGTCTTTTCTTTTGTTCCACAGATAACTATCATCTTGACTTTTTTAACTATTGATTTTCTTTCCTGTACATTTTTAGCATACATGAAATTTCTTGGAGGTATATCAATGAAACTGTATTGTATATACCCTTTTGTGCTATTTCTTTCTTTTTTTTGGTCTTTTTGAGACAGGGTCTCGCTATGTAGTTCAGGCTGGCCTTGAGCTCACTTTGTAGCCCAGGGTGGTCTCGAATTTATAAAGATCCTCTTGCCTCAGTCTCTGGATTACTAGGATTACAGGTGTGCACCATCATGCCCAGCTCCTTTGTGCTATTTTTTTCATTCAAATATAAGCATCATCTTGCTGCTGTATGTAGTCACAGTCCTATGTTTACTGCTATATAATATTTCATTGTGTGAAGATGTGACAATTTATCTATTTTACTATTGATGAACACTGTCATTTTTGGACATGTATTCAGATGGTTAAACACACTGAATTCTGATATGGTACAGGGCTCAAAATGTAACTTGGGGGTCAGCAGGTTGCCAAGCTTCAATCATACTGGACATGCCAAATGGTATTCTAGGTGGTTGTTCTCTATCATGCTAGTACAGACTGTCTCATACTATAATTTTAAAATGGATAAAAATCTCACAAGTTGTTTTTTTTTTTGGAGAAAGTGTCTTTTTGAGACAGGGTTTCACTGTGCTGTTAAGGCTGGTCCTTGAATTCACTTTGTAGCCCAGGTTGACATTGAAGCCACAGTGAATTTTCTGCCTGAGCTTTTCGAATGCTGGGATTACATATTCATGCTGTCTGACTACAAAATACAAGTTTTACAAAGCTATTTCTTTAAAAACTTTTAAATTTGATTAACATAAAACAGTACTAAAAACTAGTATACAATATAAGTAATTTTATATATAACAATTTAAAAGCAGCACCATTATACTATATGACCTGTCAAAGACTGTAGAGTGTGTTGGTTAAGAATATGTGCTTGGGGCTGGGAATTTAGCTCAGCAGCATAAGCACCTGCCTTGCAAGCAGGCAGTCGTGAGTTCGATCCCTGGTACTGAGGAAAAAGAAAAAGAAAAAGGAAAAAAAAAAAAAAAAATGTGTGCTCACAGCCTAAGTTCAAATGAATGGAAAGAGCTTATCTCTATTTGATTGGTGCATGCTGCGGGCATGTGCTGAAATAGCACACTGAACCCAAGGCTTAGATATCAAGGTATGTCTCCAGCCCTTTTTTTTATTTTGACATGGTCTAAGTTGCTAAGCTGCCCAGGCTGGGCAGGAACTTGTCCTAGAGCCCTGGGATGATGGGCATGCATCACTGTAACTGATAAAAAAAAAACTTTTTTAAAGAACTAATTTCTTAACCCTACTCCTTACTGTGTGATCTATACCCCTTGGTTTTTCTTTTTTCAATACTGGGAATTGAACTCAGGACCTCACACTTGCCAGGCAGATGCCGTGCTGCTGAGCTATATATATCCCTGGCCCTTGGCACCTTGGTTTCTTATATACTATGGAATGTACCTAGACTAGGATCTTCAGTATATACTCAATTATTAATGCTTTATATCCTATTTTCCTCTAATATGATTTTTTTTTGGATAACAAACATTCTTCTATGATACTGCACTGGATATACCCAGTACTTTATCATGCTTGTATGCCATAACTTATTTAGCTCTCTATTATTGGGCAGTAAGGTTATAACACTGAAATAAGTATCTTTTTGGCTAAAGTCAGGGATTAATAAAGCACAGCAGCAAATTAAAGTTCAGTAAAATGATGTTCTAGCCATAAGGAACACGTCGTTAGGACACTGCCAGCCTGGATAAATCTAACATAGAATATCAGGAAGTGTAGAAGAATGAAATACATGTCTGTTGGGCAGTCATTCACTTATATTATTTCTCTAACCAAGAAACAAAATTGAGTCTATGCCTAGAGAGTATCAATCTCATAGCATCCACAACTTTAACCATAGCCAGGTCTGGGAAGGAACTGGAGAATTGAGTATGCTAACAGCTTCTTAATGATGTGTAAGAATCTTTGTGAATCCGTGAGCTAAGAAGAAGCCCGCATAACAGAGATATAAGGAGCAAGAAGACCCATATTTTCTACCACAAAAGCATCGGTTCTCAATGTTTGTAATGACTCATCACAAGATATGTCATGGCTTGTATGCAGATATTCCCTCAAAGCCTCATGTGGTCATAGGTGGGGCTTTCTGCAGTGACTAGATTTATGGTGTGTGAATGTGGATTAAAGGTGTGGTACTGGGATTGGGAGTGCAGATGATGGAAGCTCTACCCTGGGGTTTATGGCCTGGCTACAACACAAAGTGACAGAGGGAAGGCAGGCCTGCCACTGCTGCCTGCTGCCTCCTGTTTGCCATGTCATGGATTGTTTGTATTGAGTAACACCTCTATGCCATGCTGCACTGCCTTGGAGCCTATCCTGCACAACCTATCCTCGTGTATAAAAACAAGGAGAAAGTACTAACTTCTTCAGAGGTGGTAACAATTTCTAATTAAAGGAAACCAAGAGCCCTAAATTACTCCCACAAGATGCAGCCAATCAGATGTGCAACTGAACTTTCCTACCTTGGCATTTAACAGCATGAAGAGGACATGGTCAGGTGTTGCCTGGGCACGCCACTGCAAAATCTCAGCCAGAAACTGATGCTGTAGTCAGAAAGCAGAAAAAGGCAAGCAATTTTCAAAAGTCATTATTATTCATCCTTCTTCTGTTCCCTGCAATATAAGTTATGCCCTTGACTCAGTTCAAAAGTCAGCACTTACCTTGCGTACTAAATCGTTCTCTTCAATTTGCCCCAGATCCCTTCCAGCTGCTTGTGCTATGCGTTTTCCAGCAACCAGATTCCCAACCATCACAGAAGCTGGACCAACACCTATAAGTACAGGCAGAAATTAACTCGCTGGAGACAATAATTCAAGCTTCACATTTCCAAAGCACTTCCAGACTAAAATTGGTCAAAACATTCACTCATCATCCATCCATTTATGGGAGACAGGTCTCACTATGTAGTTCAGGCTGGCCTTCAACTCATTGTATAACCCAGGCTGCCCCCAAACTCACTGTGATCCTCCTGCCTCAACCTCCCAGGTGCTAGAATTACAGGTGTGTGCCACTTCACCTGGCAATAACTTTTTTTTAATCTAGTGGCTTTCTATATCTGAACTATATTCCCATCCTATTTTACTTTTTAGAGGCAGGTCTTTCCAAGTTGCCCAGGCTGGCCCAGAACTTGAGATTCCTTCCTCAGCCTCTTGAGTACAGGTAGTGGAATTATAGGCAAGTACCGATGCTCAGCACTATAGAGAGGATTTTCAGTATTTCCAACACAAAGAGAGGATACATGAAGAGACACGCCAGTTATCCTGGTCCAATCATAATGTACATGCACTGAAATATATTACTATACCCCATATATACGTATAAGTATGTGTTACTAAAAAAATTAAAAATGCCTAAGTTTTGCTGGGTGTAGTGGCACACACTTGCAATAGCAGCTGTTCAGGGGTCCAAGAAAGAAAGACTGCGAGTTCAAGCCATCCTCAGCAACCAAGCAAGATCCAGTCCCAAAAAATGAATGAACAAACAAAGACAAGCGACTATAATCTCAGTACTTGGAAGTCCCAGCATTTCTTAATTCAGGAAAAACCTAAGTTTAAGTACTATCTGAGCAGCACATAAGGACCCTGTCTCAAAATTTAAAAAGTAAAATACCAAAAGCTCAGTGTGAAGGCTCTGAGTTTAGTCCTCAGTACCGGAAAACAAAAATCCATCAGTCAGTTTTTTAAAACGTTGGGGAGGTAGCTCATTATCCCAAAAATGTCAATCATAAACAAGTGGAGAAATTTTTTTAATTGGCTGATAGCATCAGATTACAGTTACCCCTCTCTTCCTTTTAGAGATGGTCTTTGGTATATCCTCCACGCTGGCCTTGAACTCAATATCCTCCTGTCTCAGCTTTCAAAGTGCTGGTATTACAGGCATTACAGAATCACAACTGGCTAAATTTTTCAACAGGATAATAATAGACTTCTGCTTGATTATAAGTATTTTATACTTGCTGAAATCCTTATGGGTGAAATGTCATGAGGTCTGCAAGCTACTTTCAGAGTTCAATGAAAAACAACATGTTAGCAACCAGTAAATCTAGGAGACGGAATATAGTTGTGCACTATGCTATCCTGTCTATGTTTCCATGGGTTTAACACTTCAGAATAAGTAAGGGGATCAGAATAAGTTTCCATGGGTTTAACACTTCAGAATAAGTACAGGGGTAGCTCTACAGGAGAAGGTGCTAGGATGCCTGTCTTGCTTGACAGTCACTTGAAGACTAAGACCTCAATTCAATGAACTGGGGAGATGGCAAAACGGTAACAAAACAAACTGACTGCCAACTGGGGTTTGACCAGCACTGATACTATACTGGATTAATATTAAATATTGCCCAAAAAATAAATATTGCCAAAATCTACAGATTCAGAATATAATGAAACAGATGAATGCCTGGCACAGTAGTACATGCCTTCAGTCCTGGCCCTCAGGAGGCTGAGGCAAGAGGATCATTGTGAGTTCAAGGCCAGCCTCGGCCACATACTGAATTTAAGGCTAGCATAAACTATGTAGTGAGACCCTGTCTCAAAACACCAAAATAAATACATTAAAACTTTAAAAAACAAAACAAAAGCACTTAGCTCATACAATCATTTTAAAAAGGATAAACATTTGGGAGAAACCAAATAAAGGTAGTAAGAGAAGTCTCTGTGCCATTTGGTAACTTTTTCTGAAAATGTGAAACTACGTAAAAAATTTTGTATTTATTTTTTATTTTTATTTTTGGGTTTTTGAGAGAGTCTCACTATGCAGCCTAGGCTGGCCTCAAACTCACAGTGATCCTCCAGCTTCTGCCTCCCTTTTTAAATTAAAAGGTTGAAAAAAAAAATAATGCAGTCCCTACACTCTTGACTATGAATCTACTTGCTACGAAGTATCTAGTGCAATTCTGAATATAATATGCAACATTTCTTAGGACAATGAATAACAGATTGCAGATATATCACTTCTGAAAGAGCCCTAAAGCAGAGACCTAGAATGTACTCGATTGTGGAAACTGTCCAATCCTGAATTCACACTATAAAAATAAATGCATGGCAAACTGTTTCTTTCTGGGTTTTGGTGACAGGGTCTTATTCTGTAATTCAGACTGGCCTTTAGCACACTATGTAGCCCACGATGGTCTTATACTCAGTGATCCTCCTTCCTCATCCTCTTGAGTGCTGGGATTATAGACATGCACTAACATGCTTGGCTCTAGCATGAGATTTTTTTTAAAGTAAATTTTGCACAGTAGTTTAAAACCGTAGGGCTGGGGATATATAGTTCAGTTGCACAGTGCCTGCCTGGCAAGTGAGTGTGAGGTTGTGAGTTTGATCCCCAGTACCATTTAAAAAACAAACAAAAAAGATAAAGCCACCAAAACTTCAGTGGCAATATCTTGAGATTTTTTTGTGTGCATTATTTTTTTCCTGGGTGCAATTCTCAAGTCTGTAGGTAAGTGAGAAAAGTACTAAAGCTAGTAACTCCAGAAAGATGCAGTGATGCACCTGTAAACATGTCTTTCTGAACAAAGCTCTGTAAGTTTCTTGTGGCAAAAGCCACTTATTAACCTAATACCTATTCTTTTCTTCCTTAATAACCCAGGCCCCAGTTTCCAGCTAGACACATGTCTGGAAAAAAACTGTATTCTTCAGCATGAAAGCAAAATATGCAAAGGGAAGTCATAGGTATAATTTCTAGAAAATATGTCAAGGAAAACGTTTCTCTTCTCAAGTTTTTCTCTCACCTACTAGGCAACCTAATGGACCTTGAGGCAGTCGAGCAAGAGGGTTGTGGCAGATCAGCTGATTTTTTCAGAATCCTTTCCTTCTTGTCCTAGTTGTGGTCACATGAGAAGAATCCACTTCTCTGATCTCTGATTTTGGGCACAGTCTAACTTGTTTTGGATAACGAAACTTTAGCAGACCATAATACAAGCTGAAAATTTAGCTTGTGTGGTTTGGCTGGTCTTCTTGCTTCTGCCATCTGCCCTGAGAGAAATACAGCTTTGGGAACTGTTGGTCCCATGAAGAGGAGCCGCATGAACAATTCTAAACTCAACTTGCAGCTGGAGGCAGAGTCCAGCCCAGCTAACCCAGTATTTCACAGTGAAAAACAACTGCTGTTATTTCAGGGCGCTGGATTCTTGGGGTATGTGGTATGTGGCATAACTATAATAATAACTGACTGATCAAACAGAGAGTAAAAAAGTCAGGTAGCTAGAATAGGAGTGACCATGGTAGCCCTGGGCTGCCTAATTCTGAACTCTTACCTGAAACAAACAAACTTGATTTTTGTTGAAGCTACTGTTAACGTTTTTTTTCTCTCTGATATTCTGTATTTTTCTCAAGTCCCCAATTCTACGCTATTCCCTTATTAACTCATGATTCTCCAACTACTTTGGCCTCACACATATGCTTCCAGCAGAAAGTAAAATACTGAATCTAAACATAGTGCTTTCATCAGAAGGAATGAAATGGACGCTACATATTTGGAGACTGAGCAATAAGTCTTTTATACACTTGAGGGTTTTTTTTTTTTTTTTTTTTTTTTTTTGAGGCAGGGTCTTGCTATGCTGTTCAGGCTGGCCTTGAGCTCACTTTGTAGCCCAGGCTGGTCTTGAACTCGAAATGATCCTCCCACCTCAGCCTCCGGAGTGCTGGGATTAGGCATGAGCCACCACGCCCAGCACAAAAACAAAATTTTGCCAAATGTTTCTGTAAACCAAACTGTTTGCAAACAAAAAAGTATTCATGAACCAAGGTACCATGTAGTTTGCCATATGGAAATATAAAAATTGAGTCATTTGTAGGAAAATTGATATATCTTTTTTTTTTATTTAAAGAGAAAAAAAAGTAAAATTAAAAAAACAAAGCAGTAAAAGGGTACAAATAATACAGAATGTCAAGGAAAAAAATACAGTAAGATATCACTAGTTAATAGGTTACATATTGTCATGTTTGAAATAGTTGTCCAAATTATAAAATTGAAGCATGTAAAGTGAACATTCATATAATGAGATTGCAGACAGTGCTGATCAATGATCCAACAAAAGTTCAGTAATATGGATTTCCATCCTACACACTCAAACATACACGCAGTTATACCCCCTAGACCATCTTCCTTTCCTCTCTTTTTAATAACAATTACACTTTTTGGGTTTTTTTACTGCCACAATTCTTACTATTTTTTTGGAGAATAAAACCTAACATGGCTAAACAAAACAGAGTCGGTTAGAACAAAAGGATGGGCATAGTACATGATGTAAAAATAGATTATCAGGTGATCTAAAATGGTTACCATTGTGCCTGTTGCTATTTTTTTTAAAAAGTTGCCTATATTGTCAGGTATAATAGAATTGATCAAAACAGTACAGAACAAGACCAATAAAACCTACACTGGAGACCTTACAGGATTTCAAAAGAAGATAATAGTCAAACCATAATGGGCATCTTAGTGAATCTTATTGCCTTCAAAGTGGTTGCCTATACCCTCAAACTTGATACTATCAAATAAAATAGAATATAGTAAAATCTGACAGAACAAGATGGGGAGAGCAATACTGGGGATCATATCAGGTTAATAGGAAAACAAAAAAGTTACTATAATATATCCCACTATTTTTTAATTTAGTTTTCCCTTAATTGAAAAAAAATGTAAGAAAAAAACAGCTTAATTTTAAAAAAGGATTGTATTAGACCAACACAGGTCAGAACCGAACAATTTAAGTATCACTGTGTTTCACCCTCAGATAATCTAACATAATAGTAGTCACCATAGTGCCTCTTTCCTTGAATTATTTGAGTGTAACTTCATATACTATAGCATCAAGCATATCAAATCAGTCTGAAGCTATTCAAGAGAATGAAGAAATTACAGGGTATTTAGAACCAGTTAACAGAAAACGAACAATGGTTTCTACATTATCTCTTTGCCTATAAAAAATTTTGTTTATACTGTCGCATATAGTAAGATACCACATGTTAAAACCAGTGGAAACAGGTGTACAACAGCTTGATGGGACTTCAAAACAAGATGATATTAAGTCAGCACTAGCTTTTATGATGTGTTGGAAATAGGGAGACAGACCTTGAAGGAGATCAAGAAATGAAAGGAGGACAGAAGAAACAGAGGGGAAGGGGATGAAAAAAAGAATTAAAATGTGTTGTATACATGCAGTCAAGTGTAGTGATGCCTGCTTGTAATCCCAGCATGGCGAAGGCTGAGACAGGAAGACTGTCACAATTTTGAGGCCAGTCTGGACTGTAAAACAAGACCCTGCCTTAAAAAACAAAACAGATGTGTAGGTATGTAGAGAGGCCACACTGACTCCATTTTGTCCCAGACACATCCAGTTGACAGTGTTTTGGTAGAAGGTACAGGCTTTGAAACATTCCCACCAAGGTAAAAACATGAGGTCCCGTAAGGAAAAGAAGCAAACAAGTTATACAATCTAAGCATGTGCAATATGAGTTTCTTTGTTCTTTATCTCAATAAAAGCTGCTTGTTTATGCTGGCCACGTGGCAGCCAGTTTGCTGACCCTTAAGTGTGTGGATCCCTTTATTTTCCCTTTGCTTGCACAACCCCTACATATGTACATGTACCAATTCCACAAAAGAAATAAACATAATGTACTACAAACATATACTAATACAGAAGAATTTTAGGTTTTCTGTTTTTAGATTTTTTTTTTCTCTTTTTGAGTTAAGGCTGGGAATCCTCTAGCTTTAGCCTTAAAGTTCTGAGACTACAGGCATATGCCACCACGTCTGGCTTTTTAAAAAATTTTTTTGGAGGCAGGGTCTTACTATACAGTTCAGGCTGGTCTTGAAGTCTCTATGTAGTCCAAGCTGGTCTCAAATTCACAGTGATCCTCCTATCTTAACTTTTTGTAGTTTTAGGTGGCGGGGGAAATACTGGGAATTGAACTCAGGACCTCATGCATGTCAAGAATTGCCTTGGCCTCCTGAGTACTGGGATACAGGGTTGTATCAGGTCTGGCTGTAACATCTTTTTTTTTTTTTTTTTTTTTTTTTTTTTTTTTTTTGTGCCGGGGATCGAACGCATGACCTTGTGCTTGCCAAGCAGACGCTTAAGCCACTGAGCTAAATCTCCAGCCCCCACCTGTAACATCTTTTATTACAACCTAAATGTTTTGTTGAAAGAATTCTACACTAAATAGTACTCAAAATAGGATTTTTCCATGTGATAGTAAGATAGAACTTCAACATAGCAGAATGTGGAACGTGGAGAGATCTGGGCAGACAGTGGAGACTTGGCACTACGATTAAACCGAGAGCCTCAAGGATATTAGGCATACATCCCATCATGCAGCAAAACTCTTAGTCCCACGTGCACATATGTGTATCTTCTGTGATAATGGTGATTGAACCCAGAGCCTTTGAGAATAAGCAGTGAGCTACATCCACAGCTCTTTTTTATTTTGAGACAGGGTTTTGCTAAGTCACTGAATTACCTAGAACAGGTTCAAATCTACAACCCTCCTGCTTTAGGATCCAACTCTCGTGTTGGGATTACCGGTGTGCACCACCACACTCAGCAACAATAGTGTTTTATTTATGTGTCATATGCCTAGATGGATAACTGCATGCATGGCCATCCTCCTGCCTCACTCTCCCAAGTGCTGGGAGTATAGGTGTGTGCCATTATACTTGGTTCTCTTTATGTATTTCTTGATCAGTAATGCAAACTTCTTGATTTTGAACAGCCCTTTAGAATATTAGCCTTAATAAACTCCTTTTTCCACTAGCAAAAGCTGATAAATATCACACATATTTTATAAATAATGGCTGTAAGAGATGGGTAATTGAAGCATGGTATGGTGGCACAAGTGTCTAATCTCAGCACTCTGAAAGACTGAGGCAGGATGAGTCCAGCCTAGGTAATTTAATGAGAACCTGTTTCAACAAGCACTGGAGATATAGTTTAGTGTGAAAGAAAGCCCTGGTTCAATCCCCATCCCAGCCAACAGGGTAACAACAGTTTTTATCTTTTTGAGAGAGGGTTTTGTAGGGAGCTGCCCACTAGGTCTGAGAATAAAGACTACCTGGGAAGAACTGCAAAAACCGTGACTCTGGGCCCCCAAAATCAGGCCCTTGGTCTGCCATTAGGGTAGATTACTAGGCAACAGGGTATCATGTGACATTAAATTGCTAAATGTATAAATAAATGCCCCTATAGTAAGGGGCAGTTCCTTCCCTCTCATCAGGAGAAAGAGGCCTCTACCTGACCCCAGTTTTTGTCTCTTTTTCTCATCCATCTGAGGTCCTTCACCCTGGGATCCCCAAAAGCTATGGTAGTTGCTGCACTGGTCATGGCAGGGTTTCACTCTCCAGTTCAGGCTGGCCTTGAACCCTCAGCGATACTCCAGCCTCAGTTTCCAGAGTGCTGGGATTACAAGTACATAGCAACAGCTGATGAGTTGCTAACAACACCTAGGTAAACCAGTGTGATGTGACCTTCAGCCAACAGGTCACTGCAGTAATCACTGAAGCATATCAACATCCTGATAGTCTGATAATATCCTAGGGTCTCGAGGCTTACCTTATACTTATTATGTATCATGTTTACCTCTCAGTAAAAAGCTAGCAGAAATAAAGTCATACCTTTCCTGCCTTTTCTCATCTTTCAACTTTCCTCTCCTTTTCCTGACACATTTGGAGGCTGATGTACACTATGTGTACCTGCATATGTGGCATGGCCTGGGAATGCCGGATTTTGGCTTTCATTTGCTGTCAGGCATATAAAAAACTAGGAGCCTCTCACTTCCAGCTCTAAAAATGAAAAGAATCAATAAAATCTAATGGTCACAGTTTGGATTTAATGGCAACTTTATCATGACTGATCCTGAACTAATTACTCCTGTTCTTAGCCTCCTACTTAGTCCTGTAATATTCATCGGGTCAGAATTTATGAAAAAAGTACAACTACTTGTTTTTTTTCTCTTTTCTATAAGAAAGTCACATATTGTTAGCTGCACCTTCCACTCACAGGGATACAACTAACACAAAGTAGGCTGATTATTTTTGCACTTATGATCCAAAAAATTTCTGAGCTAATTATCTTGCTTCCAGAGGTGTTTCAGGCCCAACTTGGAATCCCTACAGGTGACAAGGAATGAGAGGGGATGACTCTAGATAAGAGATTCCCAACTGAAAGGCCATACTATGTTAGTATGCAGGGTGGGTTTTAGAAACACTATGTAAATCTCATGACTTTGGACAGAATACTTAACTTTTCTGATCTTTAGTTTCCACAGATGAGAGCAAAAGTTTAGGATTGTATATGTAAGATGCTAATACCAGCTATTCTTGGTATCAGAATCTTCCCTTAAAGCACTTCTTTTTACCTAGTTCTACCAGTGGAATTCTGATTATCTTGACCCACACTTTATACGCAGAAAAATTAGAAGCATACTACTTGGAAGAGATAGTAACAAATACAATAAAGCCTATTCAGTAGGGTCTCGAGCCTTACCTTTTGTCAACCAATGCTATTCCTATGTCACTAGTCTTTGTAAAGTCAAATTCTAAACAAAAATCATGCCATTAGACATCAGCTTCTTAAAGTTCCAACTGTAATGTTATGCCCTGAAAGCCAATGCATTACCTGGTTGCTTTTGCCGAGGCTTTGGCAAATTCGTCACACACGTATGTGGGCACATAAGTATGTTGCAAGGATGCAGAGATCCCTCCAGAAAGAGCTGTTTGGTATGAGATATATGGATTCCTCCTAGTGGCGTTTTGGGCAGTGTGTTGGCAGGCACCAGAGCAAGACAATAGACCCCCACTTGATGAATGCTATCGATTGCCTAGAAAAATACAAAGAAAAGTATTGAGATTACTCTTACTACATTTGATATACTCCTGGCATAATCCATAGTTTTACTGTAGGATTTTATTTATCCACACTAGGGCTACAGTCCAGTAGATCACTGTGATATTCTGTATCATTTTGGTACTGGAAATCAAACTCAGGACCTTGCACTTGCCAGGCAGGCACTGTGCCACTAGCTATATCTCTGGTTGATCGCCTGTATCTTAAGATCTAAAGAAAATTATTAAGATACCACATATCTGTCAATTATGGCAGAGTTACAGCAGGAGGGTAACACACTCTAAATGGCTAAGGCTACATACTGATTTGTTAGCTTCAGCGTGTTCTCTTTCAAACAATAACCATCAAAATCTTTGAAATTCAATTTTTTAATGTTTTACCTGGCCAATATAACTCATTTAAACAGAGACAAAGTATTTGTCTTACAAAAACAAAGCAGCTTTCTTTCTTTTTTTTTTTTTTTTTTTTTTGTCTTTTTCATTTTTATCGGTACCGGGGATTGAACTCACGACCGCCTGCTTGCAAGGCAGGTGCTTATGCCGCTGAGCTAAATCCCCAGCCCCTCAAAGCAGCTTTCTAAATGGGTTCTCATTAAGTGATTTACCATGTTACCACTGCAAAACACCTCTGCAAAACACCAGCTAAGGCCTTGGGCTACACTGGGTGTAGACTGCTACCAGTGACGTCACCATATACTCACTCAGAGTCAACTGTGCTTGTTTCTACAATGCCCAAGATGGCTGTGTTTCACACAGTTTGAGTATTACATAAACAATACAATACAAACGCAAAAAGACTGAAACCAAAGATGATGCATTTGGCTACAATTTATAGAAGATTACCCAGAACTCAAACTGGATAATTTATAAATATATTACTCTAAGTTAGATGAATACACTTTTATTTTTTGTGTTCAAATTTAATATTTGAAGTTTTTTTCATTTTTATAAATTTCGGTTATATCTGTTTATCTATCTACTCATCTATTTATCTATCCATCTATCTGAGATAGGGTCTGTGTTGGTCAGGTTGCTCCTAAACTCCTGGGGCTCAAGTCACCCTCCTACCTGAGCTTCTTAAGTAGCTTGGACTACTGTGTGTAGCCAAGCCTAAATTCAACTGCCTCCTAAAACCAACCAAATACCCGTTCAAAACACACCTGTTAAGATTTTACTACACCACTCATAGGCCTTACTGAACTGCAACTACAAAGAACCTTAGAAAGACAATGGACTTACAGCCACAATAAAGTGAATCATAAGAGATGGATAAGGCTTTATTAAAAACTTTAAAAAACCAAGGAAACACATCTTCCTCAGTCTCTCCTAGGAACCAACACATACGACTGTGAAGTATGAAGTCTGCAAGAGTTATTGAGTCACTGTCTTTCAGAATACACAAAAAAGTAAAAACACAAAACAAAACAAAACAAAACAAAAGGGCAATCTACTTAGGACCTCTTCTGTCTCTCTCTCAGAAGCGTTCTTTCTCTCAATAAATATATTCTGCTCTTAACCTCCATTGTTTCTCAAATTCATTCTCTGATTTTAGAGAACATGAACTTGTACCAGACATCTAGTAGACTGGGAGTTTCATTTCCCTATATCATTTGGAGGTCTTCCACAGATATCACTTGATGGAGCTAAGAGTTTGATTCTGTTTCATAGACTCTGGCCTGGAACTCATTTAAGTAACAAATTTTTATGCTTCAAAGTTTGCTTTTTTTTCTTTGCCCATTGCTTATAATTATTTGTGATTTGTCTTTACCCACTATCTATAATTACCTTGTCTCTTACATAGTTTTGGTGAAATCATGATAAATCTAAGTTAAAACATGGGACAATTATAAGGTTAAGATATTTCTTTAATGGCACATTTTTATTATTTTGTTCTTGTACATGTTGCATTTAAACTAGTTACTTGCTGGGGATTTAGCTCAGTGGCATAAGTGCCTGCCTGGCAAGCACGAGGTCATGAGCTCGATTGCTGGTACCAAAAAACAAAACAAAACAAAATACTAGTTACTAAATTTACTGGTACTCCTTGCTTGATTTTATTTAGACAGTAATGCTAGAAAGAATATTAGAGGGTTGGGGATTTAACTCAGCAGCATGCGCCCCTGAGCTCCTAAGTTCGACCCCCAGTACCAAAAAAACAAACAACAACAACTACCCCCCAAATGGAGGTGCACCCTAGAAAATCGGAGAGCCAGCAAACTATGATGAAAATAAAAATTACCTATTTAAAAAAAAAAAAAAGAATATTAGAACACCTCTGGTAGACTTTTAATATAAACTTTTGTAAAATGGGTTTTAAATAAAATCTAGCTCAGACTTAAAAAATATACATGCCTATAATAAAACCAGGTCTGTGTCCACCATTTATATCCAAGTTGTCAACTAATCAAAATGACGCAGAGACTGGTTTTTACAAATATAGTATATATTGTTGTTCATATACAAAAACTTAAAAGAGTTTTTCATTGGTCATACATTATCAAAAATTTAGAGATAATTACGATGAAAGCTAGAGGCATTTATGACAAAATGTCATAAATGAAGGAACCTAAATATCAATGTGTTACAATTGCTATCCCTCAGAATCAGTTTCTAAACTTACCTATTAGGTAATGCGTGTGCTTTGACTATATATGCCTTTGTACACATACTTTGATTATATATGCTTTGATTAAAATTTGTTCGTGCCTAAAGGATGCCAAACCCAAGTAATCATATAGATAATACCACTAACAAATATGCTACATTCTTTTTTTTTTTGGTCTTTTTCATTTTTATCGGTACCGGGGATCGAACTCACGACCACCTGCTTGCAAGGCAGGTGCTTATGCCGCTGAGCTAAATCCCCAGCCCGCTACATTCTTTTTAGATTCCTTTTACTAGAATCCACCAGATCCTGTCCAGAGAGAAAGTTACATGATACATATTGAGGCCTTAACTAACTATACTCAGCAAGCCTTAAATGCACTGCACCTAATCTCTCTCTCCACTTAGTAAATGAAGAAGTAAAATTAATGAGACAGGCCATCCTCTACATTCATATGCAGTGCAGGACATACTTGTAAATTGTAAAAACTAAATGTGTGTACATTCCTGACCCTCCTGCTAATATCTCAGTAACTGTTCAAGATAGTAGATAACTGGGGATTTAGCTCAGCGGCATAAGTGCCTGCCTTGTAAGCAGACAGTCGTGAGTTCGATCCCTGGTACCGATAAAAAGGAAAAAGGCCAAAAAAAAAAAAAAAAAAAGATAGTAGATAACAAATCAACGACATATTAGATTCTAAAATTCCCTGAACCTTATCCTTATCCTTCTTATATGAAGCCATTACTAGTTCCTCCTGGTAGAAATCTTTGTTAATTATACTCATAATTACCCTGCTGATTTTATTATTTGGCCCATGAATGTTTAATTGTTTCTTTGGTTTTGTCTCCTTCAGACTTAAAGTTGTATGTCTACCTACGATGAAAATGCTTGGTGTCTGTTAAGGGCCTTTAGATAGAACCTCTGCAGAGTATTTCTGACTGCTGATCAACAACTACCACCCTCTTGATCCTGAAGAAGCCAAATCAGCCACTGCCCTTTACTCCCTTAAGGTAGTTTGGGTTACTTCTTCAGAGCGGGGAATGTTATAGGGAGCTAAGTTAGTTAGAAATATAGGCAGTCAGATAGGGCTGGACCCTGAAGACCAGATATCTTGCAACACTGGAGGAGACAGACACCTCCTTTTGTGGGTCAGACTTCAAGACAAAGACAACAAATGCAACCACACTCCCAGTATAAACATCAGGGACTGATATGTTAAACACGTATAGATCACCTTGAGGAAGCCAGGAGTCACCATCCCAGCCCCCTACAGAAAGATTCACTAATTTTTAAGCATGCCTGCTTACTATGTGACATGCTTCAGCATTTGTCCCTGATTTGGTCAATTTTACCTGAACAAATAAATTAATCTTACTAGTTGACCATAGTTCTGTTCCATCTCATGCCTGCCTACCTTGCGAGTTCCCATGTTTTCCCATTTTGGACCCATCTCATCTTTTAGTTTTGCTCTATAAAAGCTCCTAGGAAAGACAAAGTCTCTGGCAACCCACTCAGGACCATTTCTGTCTCCCAGACAGAAGCTTTCTTTCTCTCAATAAATATATTCTGCTCTAAAAAACAAAACAAAACAACCCAAACAAATAATAAACTACACAAAAAGTTATCAAATGTATTATAGGTAGCCTAGATTGTCTCCTGAAAACATAGCATCTGGTAAATCATTTTACTAGCCACTTTTCCTTGGAAAGTGCTGAGTTAGGTACCTATTTGAGACTTGCAATTAGCTATCCTCAGTCTTTAAACTACTACAACCTCATCCACATTCACATGGACCCAGTTGAAAGGTCACGAAGCCTAGGAAGATAATAGCATTAACTTCATGCCTATATCAGATACCAAATCCCACTTTTATAAGGCTTTGAATTGATAATTTCTATGGTTATTTTCCTGGGAAAAATCTTCAGGACTTCAAGTATATTTACTTCTTTGTAATAGGAAAAAAAAAAAAAATGTGTATTTTACCACAAGTTTCTATCACTATGTCCCAACATTCATTTTTTGTAAAACAAGCAGGTCTGCATTTGTTTGAAAATATGAATGATAGGAAAACTACTTTGCATGTCTGCTTTTTAGCCATCTTTCAGAGTTCAGGCTACTCCTACATTTTTTAGTTTACATTTAGTCATTTTCTTTCATTTCCCTTTCTTTGATTTTTTTACTACAATTAGCTTATGCTACATTAGCTAATAATTCAGGATGACAGACTCTGAGGATAAAAAACATAACTGATAAGTCAAGCTGTGCTCACACCTGTGGTCTTGACTTGAGAGGGTAAGGCAGAAGGATCACTGTGAATTTAAGGCCAGTCAGGGCTATATAGTGAACTCTTGTCTCAAAAACCACAAAAATATGCTAGACATGGTGGCATACATCTGCAATCCCAACACTCAGGATGCTGAGGCAGGAGAATTGCTGTGAGTTTAAGGTCAGCCTGAGCTACAAATTGAGTTTCACCTATGCCTGAACTGCAAAGTGAAACCTTGTCTCAAAGAGAAACAACAAACAAACAAAACAACAATAAAACCCCCCCAAAACTCACAAAAAACAAAAAAACACCACAGCCAGGTGTACTCTTATAAACCCAGCACTCAGGAGGCTGACGCAGTTCAAAGTGCCTTCCAAGCCAGCCTGGAGTAAAGAGCAAGACCCTATCTCAAAAAAACAAAACAAAACCCAAGAAAACCCTTGGAGGACTGGGTGGAAGAAATTTGAAGTCATCTAACGTTGTCACTCCTCTCAGGCTAGCTTGCATCATTTCTAATAAACACAAATGTCCCAGGAAAAAAAGTTACAGCACTTGGAACTTGTCAAGTAACATGGAAGTTATGGCAAAGGCTGCCTGCGCTTTCTTCAGACTATCCAGCTGGCCAACAAGTATTTACTATGGTAAGTGTAAGCATAGCTGGCAGGTCTGAAGCCTGACCAGTGACAGAAGAGACAGGGATATGTTGGCCTTTGTAGGTCTTACAATAAGGGTCAGAAATAGACAATAACCATGTATCTATTTATGGTGGTAAATGCTAAGTAGAAAAATAAAGAAGAGCTGGGGATTTAGCGCAGCGGCATAAGCGCCTGCCTGGCAAGTGTGAGGTCATGAGTTCGATCCCTGGTACAAAAAAAAAAAAAAAAAAAAAAAAAGAGAGAGAGAGAGAAAGAAAGAAAGAAAGAAAAAGAAGAGTGGGGACAGAGAATGTTATTTAAGATACAGTGAACTTCTCTCAATCTCCTTATTAGTCATAATGCTTACTATGATCATTATTTTTTAATTTTTTAAAAATTTTATTTAAGGAGAAAAAGAAAAAAAAAACAGAAAAAGGGTACAAGTTATACAGAATTTCAGAAAAAATAAACAGTAGGAAATCACTAGTTAATAGATTACATATTCTCATCTTAGAAATAGTCGTTCAAGTCACAAAATTAAGACATACAAAGTGGACATTCAAACAATGAGACTGCAAACAGTTCTGTTCAATGATCCAACAAAACTGAGTAATATGGTTACCTATCTTATACACTTAAATATACATGTAGTTATGTCCTTTAGAACACTTTTTTTTTCTCTCTTTTGTACAATGACAATTACACATTTTGGATTTTATTACTCCCACAATTCTTATTACTTTTTTTGAAGAGAGTAAAACCAAATGCGACATATCAGAACAGAGTCAGTCAAATCAAAAGGATGGACATAATAGATAATGTAAAAACAAAATACAAGGTGATCAACAATGGTTACCTTACTGCCTCTTGCTATTTTTTAATGTTAATAAGAGTCATGATCAAGTCTGTAATATAAGCTATCTGAAAGGATGAGGCAGGAAGATCACAAGTTCAAGGCCAGACTGGGCCACTTAATAAGATCCTTCCCCTGCCAAAAAAGGGGGCTCTAGAGTTGCAGCTGGAGAAGACTGATAGAATGTCCCCAGGTTCAATCCCTAGCAGTTAAAAAAAAGAAAAAAAAATCATCATCATCATTGAGTACAGAAACTATGTACTTTATTATCTCATTCACTTCTTCTAATAACTCTGTAAAATAGATAATTTATTTCTACTTACATGTTAGGAAATGAACTCACAGTTAAGTTTAGTGACTTGTCTAGGAGTAAGGAGATTCAAATTCAGCACTCTCTGTAAACTCCAGAATTTAACCTAAACTCTCTACCCTGCATTCTGCTCCCCACTAGAAACATATCCTGGATACTAAGTCCAAATCCCTTCTCACATGCTTTGTGTCCCTGCATCACCTCTGACTCTGCAGCAGCTCCTTCAGAACATTCACATCCTCTACTCTCTTGGGAGCCTCATCTACAAGGTGACACTTGGCAGCGTGAGCGACTGACTGACTGCTGCCAAGTGCACTCATCACAGTGCAGACCCACTCCGCACACGGATAGCAGAAACTGCCATAAGCACAGAACATTCAGGCATGAAATAATCTGCTGAGGCGATCCGTTCAATTGTTCTTAGCAAGTAGGTAGAAAAATATCATGTAGTCCACTAAGAGAAATGATGTTAGTTATCTGACTTTGATAGCAGTGCCCAGAATATCTAAGCAATGACTGGCAAGAAAAAATTAAGGTGGCATAAGTGGCCCATTAAAGCATGTGCCTCCGCCATGGCTGCAGCCCGATACACTCACCTGTAGCACGCGGCTCATCCACTGGAAGCTGTCTTCTTCGGAGGCATCAGGTCTTTGCTCTGCAACCACCACGATGCGCTCATCATAAAATACAGACACAGAAAACACAGCAATTCTAAGAGAGACAGATCGAACACATCAGACTCCCTTCACAACCAGTCCTACTTACTTTGTTTAACTGGAATTACAGAGAGGAGACAACCCCATCATACCACTCAGAAATGAGTAGTTTAGGAAAGAAAATGTGCAATCAAATCATTATCACCAAAATGAAGATGGATTCATTCAAACATGTATTAAGCACTACTGTCATGAATGTTAGGGACAAAGTGGAAAATAAAACACAGTTCCTGTCTACACGGAACTTACGTTTTAGAGACAGAACAAAACCAACAAGGGATAAAAGGGCCACACTGCCATGTGTGTGGGAAGCACACAGGGCAGGGCTGGGAGGACTGGGGGGTGGGTGGTTGGGGAGTGCCTCCCTGGGGAGTGGACACTGGAGCAGAGACCTGAATGAGGTGAGGACGCGAGCCACGTGAAGATCTGGAGGAAGAGGATTCCGGGCAGAAGGAACGGAAAGCGAAAAGGTTCTGAGGTAGGGACGAGCTTGGCAGGTTTGAGGAACAGCAAGAAGGCCAGTGTGCCTGGAGCAAAGTGGTGAAGCAGAGAGCAGGAGGGAGAGTCAGACACAGGCGAGGGTAGATCGCAGAGGCCTGGGAGGTCAGGGAGGAAGGATGGAGTTGGTTCTGAGTGAGGTCTCCGCTCAAATGTCCCCTTACTAGTGAGGCATTCCCAGACCATCTCATGTAAGCAAGCAAGCCCCTCCCCTCATGGAAATGCAGCCGGCATCAGCCTCTCACAAGATCTATTTCCCTGTCCCCTCTGATACTAATTCCCTCTCATGGATGTGCAAGACTTGGCTTGTTTTGTTCAAAGCCACAGCTGAAGCATCTAGAACAGTGGGATGTGGTTGGCATCTGACGAGGAGTTGCTTAATGAATGCATGAAAGCATAGGAAGCCATTGGAGCAGGACCTGCCAGCTTGCCACCTGTCTCCCTCACACCCACACAGGTTTAGGATTAGCTATGGCATGTAAAAGCCTTGTGCTGAGAGTTAGGGACATAACTGTGACAAAAGACAGGAGGTCCAGAGTCCCATGTGGTTTATATCTCAGAGGAAGCCACAATATTACAAAACTCCCCCCATTTCAGGAACCAGTTCTTTTTTGGTTTCATTGATTTATTTTAAAGAACTAAAAGGACACCAAAGTTGCTCTGAAGGTAGATATCCAGGACTGTAAACTGCTGACATTACCCAAATATGTAGCAAAAATCTTGTCTTGCAGTAATAAGAAAAAAGATGGCTGTTTCCATAGATTTTGAAATTATTAGTATTTATGGGCTATGTCAATCTACACACTAAAATGGTATAATAATTTAGTTAAAAACATGTACGAGAAATAATTCTTAGATATAAACTATTGCTTCTCGCCCTTCTGGCTAAGATCAGTTACACCCAAAGACCCAGACCCTATGAGGCTCACAGCTGTCATCCTGTGGGGACTTCTCAGGCTCCCTGGAAGCGCGGATACATGAACCGGTACCACTCACCTTCCTCTATACACAGTCTTTATTGACTCCACAGCCAGGCCAGTAGCAACGATGTCATCAGCATTATGTCTTCGCCCACTAACCATTAGTAATCCATCCATTTTTCCAACTACGAATACCAAGCTGCCCTGAAAGATAACAGTGACTTACCTTGGTTTCCCTGGTTTAAACAGGAAAACACAAGAGCTGGGATTATAGGCGTGTGCCACTACTTACTTCCTGTTTTAAAATAAATCTTATAAAAAACATGAAAAATGGCTACTTTGAAGAGAACAAGAGACATTTGGATAGACATGGTTGATTTTCCTGTTGTCTGGTTTTAAAGGCCGGTAATGCTTTCATTCTTTTGTTTTGATCAGTTTATACTGTTTTGTTTTGTATGAATTAAGTATATGTGAAGATATGGACAACTGTATCAGGGAGAATAGGAGACACTGTGTGGTATCCACAGTTCATTTCCTGTTGTCTTGTTCAGAAATCCTGTGTTGCTTGCATTATTTTGTTCTGATCTGCTTCATTGTTCTGTTCTGTTGTATACTCTTAAAAAAACATGACATGCTTGCCTACCATGTTTGTGGCTCTGAGTTTTATGTGATAAAAAATTTAAAAATGTGTGCATATATATGAATAAACAACATCACAGTTTAGGAATTTTAAAGAAGTTTTTCACATCCTGACATCTCTGAAATCAATGGGGAAATCAGTGACGTCCTATAGCCAATCACATTCACAATATATAAAGAAATAATTGACTCATTCTTATTTTTAGAGAAGAATTTTGTAAGAAAGCAACTAGGATTCCACACAAGTATGGTTTTTTTTTTCCTGGCCATGAATACGCATTACTTTATCTCCTATAACTAGTCATAGGTTAAATGCAGAGAAAAATGTTAATTAATTTACTACTAGAATTAGGAAGGGATTAAAATAGCTTGAGCACAAGATTCATCATTTTAGGTTTCTAAGGATAAAGCTGTTTCCATTTGGCAAGACTAGAAACAGCCTAATAAAAAAAGGTCTGGCTGGGAATGTGGTAGTACACACTTGTGATCTCAGCACTCAGGAAGCTGAGGCAGGATAATCACAGTGAATTTAAGGCCAGCCTGAACTACAAGGTAAGACCCTGTCTCAAAAAACCAAAAAAAGTCTCAGGAACATTAGAGAAGGCTTTCTTTTGCAGGAAGAACACAGCACTGCAGGAAACTGCTATCACAGTCCTCGAGCATCATTGAGTAAGTACTTTTCCCAGATCCATGTGCAATGAATTAACTTTTTTCATTTCTTACAGAATCTTAAATACTGCCAGGCACACTAGTGCATGATTATAATTCCAGCTAGTCAGAAGGCTGAGGCAGGAGGATCATAATTTTAATGCCAATTTGGGCAACTCAGTGAGTCCTGTCTCAAAATAAAGAGGGCTGGGGATATAACTTAGCACTCTCTAGGTCAATGATGGTGAACCTTTTGGAGGCTAAGTGCCCAAACTGCAACCCAAAACCCACTTACTCACTGTTAAGTGTTAAAACTACAACTAAAAGCAAATACTGAGGTTTCATTTTATTTTTATTTTCTGTCTTTTTGAGACGGTCTTGCTATGCAGTTCAGGCTAGTCTTTGGCTCACTTTGTAGTCCAGGCTATTCTTGAACTTGCAATGATCTTCCTGCCTCAGGCTCTTGAGTGCTGGGTTTACATGTGTGTGCCACCATGCCCAACTGAGGTTTTAGTTTCGCAAAAACATCGTTGCCCAATACTTGGCTGCTGCGGTGACTTGGCTTGACTGCTGACAGAGGGTTGTGTGTGCCCACTGCAGCACATGTGCCACAGGTTTGCCATCACTGCTCTACATTTGATCCTTAGTACTGGAAAAACAAACAAAAAAAAAAAAACCCAAAAAACATCCTGAAAAATCTCAGGCCACTTACACACATTCAGTGACCTAGAGTTAATCACCAACGAACTCACCCACTGACTTCCTGGTTTTTGGAACATGTGCTGCCGATAGAAGCCCACTTAGCAACACACTAAGCACAATGCAGAGGTGGCAGTGACTGGACAAAGTGAGTAAGACAGTCATACCTAGCACAGTTTGAAACTCTGCTGGTGTAGGTAAGCAAAGGGATTGAGACAGTCACTGCCTCCCTGCCAATGTGTTTGTCCTTTTTTTTTTTTCCCTCTTTTTGAAATACTGTTTCATTGGCGTAGAACTCACTATGTAGCCCAGAGTGGCCTCAAAATCATGGCAATTCTACAGTCTGAGCCTCTCAGTGCTAGATTACAGGTGTGTGCCACCATACCTAGATTTCATTTTTTCTTAGTGGGGCACAGCTAACCAAAATAAGATTGCATTGCAGCATCCTTTGAAGCTAGGTGTGCTGTAGGACTAGTTCAGACCAATGAGACACAGCTGCACAGCACTTCAGGGACTCTTGAGAGAGGGGAAGCCCAGGTGGGATAAGCCTAGTGCCAATAAATACACACTATCTGCTGAATGAAAAAAGTCACCTTCATTCAAAACTTTACTAATACACAGGGTGTACTATACTGATAATCTGTATGAAAATGCTTTGTACTTTATGTATTTTAAAAACAAAACACAAGCATGCTGTGCCTGCTCATGAGCCAGTGGCAGTCTCAGGCCAGGTCAGAACCAAGAGGCCAAGCCCTGCCCTTCGATGAGCCAACTGGCAAGCAGGCCAAGAGAGAAGCGGCATCCTTCCCATGCCAAGCTGATTTGGAGGAACACAGGTTGAGATGATAGCAACTGTGCAGGCCTAAAGCCAGTAGTCTGAGCATCTATACAGAGTACAATAACATGCAATATAGCAACTACTGGGGATTTCCTACTGTTTTGCTTCTGAAATCCAATACTGTTCTCATTGTTTTGTTTTATTCCCTTTAAAAATAAAAATAAATAAATAAAATAAAAACAAAACAAATAGTCAGTCTAAAGGAGTCAGGTAAACTTGGGTAACAGAAATAATAAAAAGTAACTTGGGGCTGGGGATTCAGCTCAGTGGCATAAGCGCCTGCCTTGCAAGTAGGCAGTCATGAATTCGATTCCTGGTACCGATAAAAAAAAAAAAGAATAAATAAATAAATAGTAACTCATTTCATGATATTCTTTTTTTGTTTTGAGATACAGTTTTTCCCTATGTAGTTGATGTGACCCTCCTGCCTCAGCCTCCTGAGTGCTGGGATATTCTTTTTTTGTTTTGAGATACAGTTTCCCTATGTAGTTGAGTTGACCCTCCTGCCTTAGCCTCTCGAGTGCTGGGTATGTCACCAAGCCAGGCATCATTTTATGATATTCTTATTAAAGAACTGCAACTAAGTAAATAGAAGCTAAGAGGCACTGTAACATCCTTAGGCTAGTCAGAATTTGTACTGTTCTATAAAGTCCAAATATTTAGAACAGATGTAAAGATTAAATATTAGTATTAAATCAATATGAAAGCATCACTTACTGGACCTACAAACCCCAACAATCCTGATCGAATGAAGGGCACGTCTCCAACAGGAGAGCCTGCAGAATTCATTGGAATCACCTGAAAGATAAAAGAAACAAAGTAAAAACCTTGGCTTTTTCTCAATGTGTTTGACTTTTTAAAAGATCTTACTACAAAATCATAGTAATAGAAGCTTTTATAATTATAATAATATAAGCTCTGAAATTTTATAATATAATTTTATAATAAGCTTTGAATTAAAAAAAATCCATGTATTAATACAGTAATTTTTAAAAAAGAGGTATTATATACATCCATTTGAGACAGGTTCTTGGTATGTAGTTCAGGTTATTTTTTTAACTCACTGTGTAGCCAAGACTAGCCTTGAACTAATAGCAAGTCTCCTGCCTCAGCCTCCTGAATCCTGGGATTCCAGGCATGCATCATCACATTTGGCTTTTTTAATTTTTAAAATTTTGTTTTTAGTATGAGAAACCCAAGGAAGAAAATTACAGGTATTGAAAAAACATGTAGCCCAATCACTTAAAATATGAGAAATAAACTTGGTGTGGTTGTACAGGCCTGTAATCCCAGCACTTGAGAGGCTGAGGATTACTGCAAATTCAAGACTAGCCTGGGCTAGAAAGTGAACCCAAGGCCAGCCAAAACTGCATAGTGAGACTCTCTCTGTCTCTCTGTCTCTGTCTCTGTCTCTCTCTCTCACACACACATGAGAGAGAGAGAGAGAGAGAGAGAGAGAGAGAAAACAGAGAGAGAGAGAAAACAAGAGAGAGAGACAGAGAGACAGACAGACAGACAGAGAGACAGACAAATAAGGGCTGGAGATGTAGGTCAACGTTAAACACATGCTTAGTGTGCCCACAGCCATGGGTTTAATCCCTCCCCTGCCCCCAAAAAGGCGGAGAACTAATGTGAGATTTAAAATGGCTAAATGTGTATATCTAAAGAAACTTATACATATTTAAAAGAGGTAATCACCTATGAAAATAATCCAAGGAAATGGTGATAAACACAAGCCTGATGAGTTTCTGAATGCCCACTCCTGTTGAGACATTCACTGATTCCCAGTAAAGGATTTCAGGTTACACAAAGAGCAAGATGATGGTCAGTCCAAGAATCTTAACTCTTTTCAAGGCGCCACACCACAGGTAACACAGATATGCTATCACACGGATGGCACTCCCTTTCTAGTAACATCTGTCAGTGTATAGTCACATGCATTCATTTTCAAATGTGAAGGTAGACACTGATATCCTGTTATTTTTGAGAATCACTAGTCTACATTATAGAGAAAAAAGCTCAAAGAACTGAAAATTGGCAACGTTCATAAAACTCTGCTAAGTGTGAAGGAGACTATTTATCAAATGAATTTCTTTGGTCCCTAAAGCTATACAATCCTATTCACAAAAATTCCTGTTTCTATTTCCAGGTTCACTAGGCAAACTTCTCATAATGGCTTGACTTCACGGACAGAGCTTCCTGCAGGAAAGCAATGTGCTGTCTCATTAGAAAGTGCAGGGTCTATCAGAAGCATTGATTTCTCATGTAGTGCAAGCCATCTAAAACTTGGCCAAACCCTCAGAAAAGATGCTCAAAAAATCTGACAGCAACTCCAAAAAATGTAAGTAATCTGAACCCTGTAATAAGATAGTTCTTCAAACCCAGGCATGGTAATGAGTCCCTATAACCTCAGCATTTGGGAGGCTAGAACAGGAGGATCTACTATGAATTTGAGGCCAGCCTGGGCTATAGAATGAGGTCAAGTTCAGCCTGCACTATGTAGCAAGACCTATTTCAAAAAATCAAAAATGTTTTTACAACAAACAAACAAAAAATCAGTTCTTTAATTTTACTTACTGATCTAGCATAACCTAAGCCACTGTTACAGTATTCTCAAAATTCAATTTTTAAGGGCCAGGGATGCAGTTCAGTAATGAGTACTTGCCTAGCATAAAATGGCCCTATGTTCTATGCAGACTGTGAAAAAGGAAAAATAAAATTTTTTTGAGCTTATAAAGCTTAAACTATGGCAAACACAAGACTTTTATGAGGGCCTCTTATCTAACATATACATAACAGTATACCTGTGTCAGGAGATGTTTTAAGTGCTTTATAAAACTTTAACTCATTTAACCTGAAAACAGACCTGTGAGGTAGTAATTGTTGTTACCACGTTTTAAGTTAAAGAACATGAGGAGTAGCAACCCACACAAGATCAGCCAGTGCGTGGGAGAGGCGGGATTTGATCTTAATCCTCTATTCCAGAGAGCAAGCTCTTAACACCATGTAGTGTATCCATGAGCCAGCAGATCTGCCTGCTTATACTTCCTCCATGAAATATATAACAAATATGTACCTCAAATGTGTTTTTTGTCACACCAGCAAGCCCAAAGTACATCATGCCTCCAGTTCTGGAGCTAACACAAATTTCTCCAATTTCATCTGTTTTGCAGAGCTGGGGAGGTCCATCTGGCTTCACAATGCACATCATCCCTGATGCACAGAAAACACAAGTAAGAGACAAATCCTGGAAAACCTTGGCAAAAAACAGCTTTATTCTGAAAACCTTGAAAAATTCACATTTACTGAGTGGCATTAAGAATACTAAACAGATATACTAATATCCCACAATCAATGTAATCATTATGTACTGCAAACATACACTAATGAAAAATTTTTTTAAAAGAATGCTAAAGAGAGGGTAGGGGTACAGCTCAGTGGTAGAGTGCTTGGTTAGTACGTGCAAAGCCCTGTGTCTGATCCCTAGCAAGACAGACAGACAGACAGATACACACACACCCCAAACAGAAATACTAAAAATAAAGCTGAAGCTACCTTAAGTACAGCATATGTGAAATTTAAAGCTTTTTGAAGGGCTAGGGAATGTAACTCAGTGGTACAATGGTTACCTAGCATGTGCAACGCCCTGAGTTCAAACACTCCTATTGCAAAAAAAGATTAATTTAAATCTGTTTGAGACTGTGATGTATTAAAAAAAATAATCAGAAAGTACAAAGAAGCAGGTTAAATGAATTGGGATATTCCACTAGGCAGGTCAAATTCAAACACTCACAGTAGTAGTACATTTTTCCTGTTAGTCTCAATGCTTTGGCAACACAGTGAAAACCAGGTAACCTGGGTATTGCTCAAATACTTTCCACAAGAAGAAATACATCTGAAGTCTTCCTGATTGATCAATCACACAATACTCCTGAACAGTCAACATAATTCTACTTAATTATTAGAGAGGCTTGGAGAAATTTTGTGATTACTGGACTTAGGATTCCTGGCTTTGGACTTCCTATTTTCTTAGGCCCTACCTCTGACAATGCATCGTTATGACAATCCCAACAGTGAGCCCCCTGACTCACCCCCAGGCATCACATGTCCCACATCCTGGACAGTCAGTGCTGAATTCTTATCCTCAGTATTGACTCGGATAACTCCATAGCTCAACCCATTCATTGAGAGAATGGCTCTTCCTGGCAGAGGAGCCCCTGGAACTCCAGGCCTAGAAAAATAAAATAAAACCCATTAACTTTGGCAAATTAAATTATGTCAAGAGAAAAATATGGACATAATGTATGAACTTTCCTCTGGTTACCAAGTAAATCTCTATTTTCTCTAACAAAACTATGCCAAATAATCAAATTTCCATGTACAAAAACTTTCAATTGAGGAAAATTCTAATCATTTATTAAAAATATACTGGTAGGGCCAGGGAAATAGCTTAGTGGCAAGGCGCCTGCCTGACAAACACAAGGTCCTGAGTTGATTCCTGGTTCAAAAAAACCAAACCACACTGAAAGTACTCTTAAAAATATACTGGTATGGGCATTTTTCATGAACACTGTAATCCCAGTCCTCAGGAGGCTGAGTTAAGAAGATTGCAGTAAGTTTGGGACCAGCTTGGGCTACCCTAGGATGTGCCACAGAGTGTATGTGTGTGTGTAAAGTACTGCAATATAAATACATATATAAAATACATTATAAATATGTAATATTTATAATATAAATTTAATACTCAAGCAATAATCACAAACATGTAGTTTTGGTCTAAAATGCCAAGAATTCTAAAGAGCAAAATAACAGAAAAATATTTCACAAATGAAGGAACTGGCAAGAAATATTTAACAAATATAAAATCAAAACAATTAAATTTTCAGTGCACTACTTATACTTTGGAAAGAATGTGAAACATAAATGAGATATTTCAATCTACTTTACAAAGTAATTTTCACTTTTAGGCTTTTAGGTTTGCCGCTTATGAAGCAGAATATTTGTTAGCACCCCTTTCTCACTCACTGGTAAAAGCTGCACATTTCACTCAAACTGAAGCACACATCACGAGAAGTGGCATCTGCACAGTACCTTCGGATTGCTACGGTCATGGCTTCAGCAGATGTCGCACATGGACAGATGGCCTCAGGTTTCAGCCCATGGCTTTGGAACAGACTCAAGAAGGCATCACAAGATGACACAGACCCTAAAGAGTTGGAGCAGATCAACTTGACAGCTGAAATTGTTAATTTTCATTGCTACATGAAACTGGTAAAGAGTGGAGAGCTGATATATAGTTGTTTCTCGACAGAACTCATATGTCTACTATTCATTTCATCCAAGTATTTTACTGAGCCTGTGAGGGTGTCTAACACCATTTCAAAGACAAATTAATGTTCATCCAACCTGCAAGGTCACTGACACTAAAATTATAATCTGGAATATGACTCTGCCTGACAAAATCAATATTAGAGTCAACAATGTAGGTGGTATGTAGCTGGTTCATAATTGAGCAGCCCTTCCTGAAATAACTAGCATAGCCAATGAAATGCAGTCTTGGCTTAGGTCCATCTTCTGTGTGATCTTTTCAAATGTTTTATTAAGGCCCATCCCATGTACTTTAAAGTTCACACTTGGTTATAGTAAATTACCTTCCATTTCTCTAAGGAATACTCATAGCTGTATAATAGACTGAGATAGGAAAATCATAAGCCTGGGCTACATAGTGAAATCAAGACTAGTTTGGACTACACATTGAGGGCCTGTCTCAACCAAACCAAACCTAATCTTATAGAAAAGGGTATGTGAGAGGCTTTAATCCACAAAGGAATGGCTATCTCTAGGCTCATGCTGCAGAAGTACTCACAGGGATTAGCTCCGTCAGTCACAATTAACATGCGTAGAGAACTTAGGCTTACATCCCTCTGGTCCCGATGTGCCATCATAGCCCAGTGCAAGTCTCGACATTTTACCAAAGCTACTTTGGCTATAAATCAAAGGGGATAAAGTTAACATTACAGACACACTAAAAATCTGGCAAATATGCGATATGCTATTTGTGTGTTAATTTATTTTGGGGATCTTAATTCTCACTTGAAGAAAACAACAAAGGTTTCAAAAAGACTACTCCAGCTATCTGAGGAAGAAAACATCACATTTAGATGACTCACTAGACATATAACTGGCTGCTTACTGTGCCAGGTAGGACATAGTATCCCAGCCAAGAAAACTCTGCATAACATAACTCTCAATCAATCTCATTCTGGGCTCAGTTTCAGGAGAATTCATCCCAGTTCTTAGGAAAGGATATCACTGAGAAGAAATAGACAACATACAATACCAAAGACCACAATAACAACTCTAAAATTTGTTAAGGTACCAAGACACGGAATAATGTGTCTGTAGAAGGGCAGTTTGAAAACCCCTTGTCATGATTTATGTCAGTGGCCCCCAGGCCTCATGAGTTTGCACTGTGCATTTGTGATTGGTTCTTTGTCTAGCACTTAGATTGATGGTGTCAGTGCTACACCCGCCTCAGGGTGGAGCCAGCATAGAATGTAATGGCAAGAAGAAGGTGTGTGTCTCTCTCTCTTGCTGGTTTCCACCTTGCTGTTTGCAGCTGCCATGAATTGTGGCCCCACCATGCCATCTTGCCTTGGAGCCAACTGAGTATGGACTGAAACCTCCAAAAATTTTAAGAAATAAACTTTTCCTTTCCCAACTTTGGGCATCAGGTATTTTATCTCAGCGGTGAGTAAAAAGTAACTAAGACACCCCTAAAATCTTAATTCAAACATCTACATAACTAAAGTTTAGATGTGTGTGACTACCTTTGTGGGCATGTACTCTTTGGACCCAAGAAAGAGGACATGTCTTCATAACAGAGTAGGGTACGCTAATTGTATGCATCTTATTCATTACATTCTGAAAAGCAAAGAAACAAAAAGCAATCAATATCAATACATAGCATTTCCAAACTAAGTTGACATTTTATCAATCTTAATTATAGAAATATTACTCAAATACACATTCTTAAAAAAAAAAATCTTGAGTCATTAATGATAGAGTTGAAGTTCCTTAATACCTACTCTCTATTCTAGATCCCTCCTCTGTCCCTCAGAGATGATCACAACCTCAAATTTGATACATCTGCACAGAAATACACAGCAAAGCAGTACAGCTGGATCCCAGGGCAGATGGTTTAAAAATGCTAACAGGTGCAGCGAAACTGCCCTCCAATTGTCAAGTGCTATGCTGGGGTGTGTTACAAGGTAAATCAAGCTGCCCCATCTCTTGCAGGCGTTTCTGCCTAGATGGTAAAGTGTGTGATCAGGAGGCAGAGGGAATGACACTGGATTGTGCAGTCTGGTTTCTGTCCTGCCTCGCAGATGGAATACACCAGGATGTGCTGTTCCCAGAGACCGAGGCAGGCAGAGTAAACATGGGCCAGTATTCAGACTGGTCACTTCACTCACCACCCAAGTGGCCCACAGAAACCAGGATACCATCCCTTCCTCAAGTTTCTATCTCTAGTGAGAAACTTTTGGTTTCAGGATTAAAAGTGCTTTTATAGTCAATTCTTCATACAGGTGAAGATGGACTAGATGTTTTCTAAGGTCCTTTTCAACAACAGTATTCTGTATTTCTTTTCTCTCCAAAACACCACATTTATATAAAAAAATGAAATGTCTTCTCTTCTACCTCTATCCCACTCTGCAAATGTCTTTATGGCTAAAGCTTAAGTGTTTTCCAAAGACCACAGAAAAACTGTCTTGATGTCCAGAGCCAAGAGGAAGTCATCTTTCTCTAATACCCACAACGTGTCACAGTTCCTCTATTATGGAAAATATACAACTGCCTTGTGACTCTCTTTAGATGCAGCACAAAGCTTAAACAGGGCAGTCTTTCAATATAGTAGGTCCAATGGAATGGCTAAATACGTTCTAGAAAATATCATTCTTTTGGGAGCTTAAACGTCAAATAGGCACCGAGAGATGCTCAATTTTACACAGCATGCTACCCTTAACCTTAAACACAACTTGTATCAAAGGCCTTAATTTTCTGAGTTGCTTACCGAAAACATGCCATGCCACAGCCCAGCATCCTTCTTAAAGTCTAAAACATTTACTACTGTTTCTCCTAAAAAAAAAAACAAAAAAAAAAGTAGAAAAAAGGAAATCATCTTTAGTATTAAGCAGCAAAATTGTGTCCTTTACCACTACTAAACAAATGATTTAATGTTTTTTACGAAATGACTAAGAGTTCTCAAAATCTTTTAGTTGCTTGAGGTAACTGCCCACTGGCTTTAGGATCAACAGGATTGTATTGTCAGAACAGAGACAATGTATAGAAAACTCCTTATCAGTAAGTATTTTTTCAAGAGTTTTGTTTCTTTTGGATTTTTTGGAGACAGGGTCTTGCTGTGTAGTTCTGGCTGACCTGAAAGTCACTATATAGCCCTGGCTGGCCTTGAACTCATGGCAATCCTCCTTTTTGCCTCCTAAGTGCTGAGATTACTGGCTGTATCATCATGCCCCGCTGTTGTTTTTAGGCAGGGTGTCCCTATTCCAGGCTGGCCTCAAACACGAGGTAATCTTAATGTTTCAGTCTCTGGAATGCTTGGATTACAGGTGTGTATCGCCATGCCTGGCTACAGGAATATTTTTCCTCCTACCATAAGAAGCACCATTCATTCATTCATTCATTCATACATGTTATTTGAGACAAGGTCTCATTGTGTAATTCATACTGGCCTTGAATTCACTTTGTACCAGGCTGACCTCATATTTGCAGTGATCCTCCTGCCTCAGACTTATAACTGCTAGAATCATAGGTGTGTATCACCATGCTTGCCTAAGAACACATTTTAGAAATTTTGTAATTTTTACAAATATATAAAAATTATGTTTCTTACAGAAATTATATCTGTATATGCATATAGAAGTATACTGTATCAAACAAAATTGGTACATAGATCTGTGAAAATTTTTTTTTTTTTTTGCATTTAAAGATACATTTATTGACCCAGGTATGGTGGTACATACATATAATCCTAGCACTCTAGAGGCTGAGGCAGGATTGCTGAGAGTTCAAGGGCAACCTGGGTCATATAGTGAGTTCAAGGCTACTTTGAACTATACAGTAAGGCCATGTCTTAAAAATGGGGCGGGGGTGGGGCGCGCAGCACAGAGGAAGATACTGAAATCATTTCTCCCTACTTTAATTTTTAAAAACTTGATTTTTAGTGCCCCAAGGTATTATCTATCATATGAACACATTATAATTAAATCAATTTCCATTTTTGGACATATTAATTGCTTTATTATATATACATTATGATATATATTTTTATCAAGTAATTCTGCTCTAAAATGAAAACATATTAACTAGTTTCATTTTGCAAAAGAAAACTGAAACTCCAAAACATTAGTATTTCACAGAACATTCCAAAGCAAATAGTCTGACACTACAAAACACTTTTTTGTGTTTTAATTTATACTTCCTGGTAACTAAATTTATTTAAGTCTGGCAGCTCCATATACTCAGAAAAATGCAGATACCTGAGATTCCACAGCTAGTAAATACATGATTTTAATTATGATTGTATATTTATGTCCTTTAGAAATCATGCTTTACATATTTGGTTCACTCAGAACTTTAGTTCCTTTAAATTACATGAAATTATTTGTGAAAAAGAAGAAAAAAGCAAGCCAAGAATGTGTCTTAGAGCATTTCCTTCTGAATTTGGTCATTAAATGGAATCCAATCACTGAAGGGCCTGCTTGGAATCACATGGAAAATGAAGACAATGGTGTAGTCATGAAATGAGGCCTGACCTTCAGAGTAATTGCAGGCCTGGGACAGAGCTTGGCAGTGAGACAACATGGCAAGTCGGGACACGGTAACTCCCATTACACTTCCTTCTTTGCTGGTTTTATACTAGAAAAATAAAACAAAAACAAAACATAAGAAATGTGACAAAATGGGTTAATTTAGATGACAAAATTAGAATCCAAAAATAAAACTGAGACAAACCATCATGAGCAGAATTTAACTTTTTGAATATAAATACTTATTAAGGCTATGCACTCATAATAAAGAAGTAGAGGATGACAAAGCTCAAAAAAGTATGTGAGAAAAGACTTAAAAACAACTTCCTACAGACTTCCTATCTCTATGTTTGTCACAATACCTACTACAAAGTAAACGCTAAGTAAACAGTTGTATTACTGAGGGGATAATGACAAGAAAGAAGCTTGTATATGGTCAGTACATATACAATTTTTTTCTAAATGTATTTGAGGTTGAATCCTCGTGTAGAATCCACAAATATAGAGTGAGACATGTCAAACAACATGTCAAGCACAAGACTGTAGAGTTAGAGATGAGATATGGTCCCTATCCATTAGAAGCATCTAGTTTGAAGGTGAAGATCTAGAAATGGATAGCCCATCCACTCCTTTGCCTTTATCTCACTGCTCCATTCTTGTTGCTTTTTAGAAAGGTCACCAAGGAGATCTACTGCTCCTGGAAGCACTGCTATTCCATCCAGGTCCCTGCACAGAGTGGAGCTAGTTCCTATTCCAGTCTCCCAGCTCCAAAACTCCATTTCCTATGCTGTCCTTGAGAGAAGGCACATCTGACATTAAATTGGTAAGAACAGATGCTGCCCTTGATCTTTGCCAAAAGGCTAAGAAGAGATGGTCATAAGCTTTCTGATTGTTAACTCTGAAAGACACTTTACATACTTTTCTAAAATATTTCCCTACATTTTTGTTAAGTTTATTGGTACAACTTAGATACACAGAATGATCATATTCATCATAGAAAATCTGTGCCTCTATATATCTTGATTTTTTTTGAGACCGGGTTTTGCTGTGAAGTTCAGGCTGGCCTCAAACTCACTGTGATCCTCCTGCCTCAGTCCCCCGTGTGTGCACCTCCACACCCAGCTTTCACTAGTCTTTCTTGATACTTTCTTCTTGTCTTTTCTTTTTTTTCTTTTTTGTATTTCTTCTCTTTCTCAGCAGTCTCTATTGGCGATCACTCCCTTTTTTTTTTTTTTTTTTATTGGTACTGGGGATCAAACTCACGACTGTGTGCTTGCAAGGAAGGCGCTTATGACACTGAGCTAAGTCCCCAGCCCCCTTAGCGATCACTTCTATATTGGAGCTCCCTGAGAGTTCTGTTCTCCTTTCTATTCTTTTCATCCATTGGTACTGCAATAGTGACAATTCCCAGGTCTTTCTCTCCCACCCAGGCCTCTCTTTCAGAGACCTAGGTACACAATGTTTAGTGTTCCTCAGTAACTTCAGTGCTATGAAACCAAATATATCTCCTCTCCCCACTTCATCACCTCTCCTCTACCTATGCGGACTCTTGCTATATTTGCCATCATCGACCCAGGTGCTCAAGTAAAAACCTGAGATTTTTTTTTTAACCTTCTCCTTCTTCACTGTCATTCAACTAAGTCCTGCCTGTTCTACTTCCTTCCTAATTACCCATTTGTGCTTTCCTCTATTCCTACTACCCTGAGTTTGCACTCTTTGGATAACTGTAAAAGGAAGACAGACCTTTTTGTAACAGATTCATTCTCATTACTCTCCTCCTGACAAGTTGCTCCCTTTACCTACAGTCTATTTTAAACTCACTGAAAGAGTCCTGTGCATAGTAGGCAGTCCTAAAATAAGAATTCTCAATTAATTCAGAATAGCAGAAGCCCAGAAATATAGAGCACAGCAGGTTCTAGATGAGGCCAGAGAGCTGTGCAATGGCTCGTCGCCTTTTAGGAAGAAATCAATGACTGGTGGCTAGAATTTCAGGGAATGGAATGAGGAACTGTGTCAGCACTGACAGATGATAGAGATGGGAATGTGATTACTAATCCTTGCATGTGATACTACTCTACTGCCTCTCAGTTAATGTCATAGTTGTCTATACTTGTCATCACCATAGTGCTCAAGGAGGTGATTTTTCCCATCTTTAAAAAAAATTGATTTTCTTATTAATTCAGCAATCAACTGATAAGCATATATCTCAAGCCAGACACAGAAAGGTAGAGGGTACAGCTTCAGAATCAGAGAACTTGAGTTTGTGTGACCTTTTGTTATTTATAGTTTGTAAATCTTAAGTTCCTCCTCATCTATAAAACAGGTTTCATAAAACTCTGAGCCTCACAGGGTACACTTGGAAGGACTAAATGAGATAATGCACCAAGAGCACTTAGCCTGATTCCTAGTGCAGTAAGACTTAATCCTGCAATTACATCATTCAGTCAATCAAGCTGCTACATTAACATTCAATATCAAAAACTCTAGCAACTGTTTCTTCTTGTTCCTATATTCCATCTGTCTAACTTGTCTTCAACCAAAGATGTTTTCCCTCATTTCTCCATTCCATTGTTCCCAACTCCCTATAAAATAACAGCAATTTCTCAGCCAGTAAATCATTTAAGTCTTTATATTTCTTGAAAGTCTTCTGTCACTTTCTTATATGGAAAATCAACTTTTGGTACTTTTTTTGAGCATTTATGATCAAAGTAACTAGAAAAGAAAATTTACTACAGGCATTTTCTAAGTTATAACATGGAAATCTCACAAAACAAGAAGATCATCTAATGTTAAAACTGTGACCAAAGCAAAAGGAAAGCCAGAAAACATGTTTCCAGCCTCATGACTTACCTCAATGTATGCTGGTTCTGTACCAGCAGGTGATATGTGGGGCTGCCAGTCTTTTGGTGGCTTGGAAAGGTACTTGGAATCTGTTACAACCCACTTGAGTCGGGGCCAACCTAAATCAACCCAAAGTAAAAACTGAATTGCCTCATTGATAAGGAAAGAGTTCACACTGGATTGGTCATATTACACATGAAGAAATCAAATTAATGTAATTGAGCAACAAATATTTTTATATGTTTTTAATTATAAATCACCAATTATACCTTCTTTCAAAAGTACAATAGTTCCATATGCTAATGCCAGGCCTTGACATTATTTCAACAAGTAGGAGGTCTATTTGGCAATGGGAAGTCCCCCAAGCTTAGTGGTCTATCCTCTGTCTGTCTATGTAGCTTTAAGGTACAAAGTGGTAGCTTTTTTCAACCATCAGCATAAAGATTAAGGGTGAACTGTGGAATTAAGACAGATTTGGGGGGGGCTGGGGATTTAGCTCAGCGGCATAAACACCTGCCTTGCAAGCAGGCAGTCGTGAGTTCGATCCCAGGTACCAATAAAAAGGAAAAAGACAAAAAAAAAAAAAAAAAAAGAAGAAGACAGATTTGGGTTCAATTGTTGTTCTGCCATTTATTAGGTATGAGTTTTCTCACCTGTAGAGTGGGGATAATGGAACCTACCTTCATCAGATTGTGACAATATATAAAGTACCTAACTTAGCTGGACTAAGTTAAAATGCTAATTAAGGAACTAAATTTTAACTTTTTTTTTAAATCGGTACCAGGGATCGAACTCACGACTGCCTGCTTTCAAGGCAGGCGTTTATGCCGCTGAGCTAAACCCCCAGCCCCATAAATTTTAACTTTTAATTGTTCATCTCCATACAAGTATTAATCACCTTTAAACTGTACAATTTCTCCATTCTGGGTTTTTGGCAGTCCCTTCAGACAAACTTCACTGGTAAGAGCTAAGGCAATACCACAGCTTCCTAGCAAGAAGCCAATCTGTTGACCTCCAGCATCCTGTGGAGAAAAGATAATGAGCATGGCAGGGGAGAGAAAGTGAGCACACCCAGGCCACAAATCCAGCACTTCCTAATGCTCTGGCATTTGTGCGACAACATTCAGGGAGTCCCACCAATAGCTGGCAAAAGTCGAATCCAGTGATAATGCACTCTTTTGAATAATTTCTACAATATGATGACTTCCAAAGTATAAAGTACATTATTTTATTAATTTATCAGGGCTAACTTTGAATTCTACTGGCGAACGTGACCCTTTTATTCAAGAGTTAGCAATTATTCTCTTTTAAAACTAGTTTTAGGCAAATGAAATAAATGCTGACATTTCCCTTAACCTTACCCCCACATCCAAGAGAAACCAATTCAGATCAGAACAAAATAAATAATGCCAACAGATGCAATATGTCCAAATTTACAATGAAAGTCAGTGGACAGAAATATTGAATCCATTTATTCCTTTTATTTTTCAACTTTAAGACAGTATTAGAAGCAAGGGGTAAGCTTTAAAATAACAGCAGCAAAAGACAACAAACAATACAATCTAAAGTATTTCCATTAAAATGGCATCCTAAAAGTAAACTTATGAAACCTCACAAATACTGCCAACTTAAATATTTAAGAACCCCAAGATTTCCTGACTAACTAAAGAATACTGTATCTTATTAGGAATGTCACCAATGTGTTTAATTCTTTTCAAAAAGTAATTTTTTTCTTATAAATCTACTGTCTTCCCCATATTCATCACTAACACCAACTCTCAGTAATAAATTCCCTAAAAAAAAATTAGTATAAGGGCTGGGGATTTAGCTCAGTGGCATAAGCACCTGCCTTGCAAGCACCTGGTCATGAGTTCAATCCCCGATACAAAAAAAAAACAAAACCCAAGTATAAATAATTTGAGAGACATAATTCAGTCAAACACGGAACTGTCATATACTCTTCATTCAATAGGGCAGATATGTTGTTAAAGTAGAATCCTATAATTCCAGTGTAAGAACACACCAACCCTGAATCACCCTCCCACTTAATGGAAAACCTATAACCTGTAACATGGTTAAAGGACATTCCTTTATAAAGGCCTCTGAAACAAGAGCAGGATTCTTTATGAATAGAAATTATTGACAAGTACGATTGTTGAAGTGATACACAATACATTATATACAAAAAATATATTAAGGTACAGAACATTCTCTTTGATAGAAATATTATTTGTATGATATTTGTAATTATTAAATAATTTTTCTCTAAACTTTGTAACTTTAAAAAGTGAAGCTATTTCAGAAAGTGGTGAGATTGTTTTTAAATGTCATGGTGGTGACAAATAAATCCAACAAAAATCAAAGGCCTGTCATATCACACTCGGCTTCAGTTTAGCAATGTTGGCAGTAATGGTGGCACAAACCTGTAATCCCAGTATTTGGGGGTCTGAAGTAGTGGGATTATTGCAAATTCAAGGCCTGCCTGAACTGCATAGGAAGACTCTGTCTCAAAAAACAAAACAATCCCCGCCCTCACCCCCCCCCATTTAACAATGTTACCTTTCTGGTAAGTGGTACCTCTATAGGCACTGGAATCACTTCTGCGAGAAGACATCCATAAAAAGCTACCATAAACATGACTGGATCATTGTTAGGATAAACCAGGGCTACCTAAAATTCATAAAGACATTCAATAATAGAGAAATATTAACTCTTTTTATGCCACTTTTTCCAAAAGCAAAATAAATCAAACTATTTAATAGGAATTTGTTCTAATGAAAATTAAGTTACTGGTAACACAAAAATCAAAAGTATCTCCATCATTTCCATGATATTATAGATTTTGAAAAATAAAAATATAATTAATTGCCATATCATATTTATTTATCAGTAAGCAATTTGCCTTATATGGTACTTAAGAAACTTAGCACAATTTACTTTAGTGCACTGCTAAAGCAACAAAATACACATAATGGATTTCTCTAGAGAAAATAGCATATTAAAGAATAAGCTTTACATTGCAGAGGCAGCCTACAAGTGTTGACTGACTCAATCACCACTTTAGGGCCAACATAAGGCCTCTTGCTCTTTAATTCATTGCATTAATCAATAACCACCCAACAAAGCAAGTGTTCTGGCATGAAGGTACTTTGTAAGAAATGCAAAAAAGGGCTGAGGATTTAGCTCAGTGGCATAAGCACCTGCCTGGTAAGCACATGGTCATGAGTTCGATCTCTGGTACCAAAAAAAAAAAAGAAGTGCAAATAATACGGAGAAAGCATTATGGATAAGAAGTTAATTCATTAACAGAACAAACAGTGAAGCCAGGTGTGGAGGCATGCATCTGTAATTTCAGCACTCTAGGAGGTTAAGGCAAAAGAATCACAAGTTCAGGCCCAGCCTAGACAATTTGTGAAACCCTGTCTCAAAATTTGAAATGCATCCAGGTATGGTGGTACACACTTATAATCCTAGCTTTCCAGAAGCTGAGGCAAGAGGATTGCAGTGAGTTCCAGGTCAGTCTAGGCCACATAGTGACTTCAAGGTCAGCCTGAACTACACTTGTGTCGTAAAATCGAATGAATGAAACAATAAGTTATTTATTTGTAAATAAAGGACTGGGGATATAGCTTGGTGTAAAGGCCCTGAATTCAATGTCCAAACTCCTGTACCATTAAAAAAACTGCCAGCTGTGGTGGCATATGCCAGTAATTATCAGCACTCAGGTGGCTGAGGCAGAAGGATCACAATGAGTTGGAGGCCAACTGGAGCTACACAGTGAATTCAAGACCAGTCTGGACTACACAGCAAGGCCCTGTTTACAAACAAACAAGCCAGTGGAACAGAAACTCTGTAACGGGTTCAAACTTGTGATTTCACTTGCTCCATGTCAGCAGAATTACTGAGGTTTCAAAATTTACTCAATGAATGCAAAGACACAGAAGCTATTATCACTATGGAATTTGTTACCTGGTTTGAGATTCATAGATTAACATTATGCCTATCACTAGGTTCTTGTTTTCCCTTCTGCTTTCAATTTCTCTCTTACTTTTTTTCCTCTTCTTTTTGGTTTTTTGAGACAGGGTCTTGCTACAATGATCCTTCTGCCTCAGCCTCCAAAGTGTGGGATTACATGCATTTGCCATCATACAAGACTTCAGAGTCTTTTAGCTTACTTCTAAAATAAGTTCAGTTTGAACTTGTAAACTTTCCTAAAGATACAACATCCTCATTCCATAGGCTTTCAGGCAATTTCCTTTGTATGCACAATGTCCATGGGACACTCAGATGGATACATCACCTTCTTATAAGAGTTTAATGAGGCACAGGAAATACTTGAGTGTTACATCTATAACTGAAAACCATATTGCCAAAATGTAGAAAGTATTTTACCAGGGTAGTTTACTTGGTCATGTACTCTTAAAGCTGCTAAAAACTTTGTTATGTAGTTGGTATTTCATTCCACAAATTCTAAATGAAAAGTAATGCATGATATGTGTAAATAATCGTACTGTCTCCTAGTGTAAACAACAACAACTAAGTAAATCAAATCTAAAATATACAATAGATATTGTGAAAATGAAAGGGAAAGAAAGTGCTCAAAAGGAAAGAACCACTGGGATAAGCAAAAGGTTAAAAAAGAAAGGCGGGAAAAGATTTTATATATATACATATATATGTGTGTGTGTGTGTGTGTGTGTGTGTGTGTGTGTGTGTGTGTGTGTGTGTGTTTGTAAATATATACAAAATAGATAACTATACTAATCTCTTTTCATCAAAAAGAACAGTTTGTGTTTTCATTATCTGATTGATCATTTTTTCATGCCTAAATCTTGTAATCTGAACAACTAATTTCAAGATAACAATATGCAATATATTAACTAGGGTTAATTTCCTATTTTTTAAAAAATTCTGAATTATTTTTATCCTTTTTTTGCTTTTAAAATACAAAAAGAAAAGTAATGCATGATAATAAGAAGTAATCGTATCTAGGAAGTTATGAATAGGAAAATATCTTCAAAAACATTTTTTAAAATTTAACTTAATGGGGGCTGGGGACTTAGCTCAGCGGCATAAGTGCCTGCCTTGCAAGCAGGCAGTCGTGAGTTCGATCCCTGGTACCAATAAAAATAAAAAAGACCAAAAAAAAAAAAAAACCAACAAAAAAATTTTAACTTAATGTCACTTTTTTTTTTTAAACATAACAAAGTTTTATTAAAGGTAGAAAAAGTTTTATTACAGGATCTGCAAAGCGAGTTGGGCCCAAGTGAAAGCAGGGAAAGCAGCAACCCTGCACTGAGGGTTGCCACCAGGCAAAAGTGAACACAGTGCCTTGTCACTTTTAATTAAATTAAATATCAATTCATTTTTCTGAGCAGCAACATAAATCTCTTTCCTTTTCTATAGAAAACAAGAGAAAACTGCTGAAAAAGTTTTATGAGGCACTTTGTAAAGAATTCAGTGTTAATTTTTTTTATTTAAAGAGAAAAAAGAAAGGAAATAAAAAACAAAGCAGTAAAAGGGTACAAATAATACAGAATTAAGAAAAAAATACAGTAAGAAATCACTAGTTAATAGGTTACATATCGTCATCTTAGAAACAGTTGTCCAAATTATAAAATTAAAGCATATAAAGTGGATATCCATACAGCGAGATTGCAGACAGTTCCATTCAATGATCCAACAAAAGTTCAGTAATATGGTTTTCCATCCTACACACTCAAACATACATGCAGTTATATCCCTTAGACCACCTTTCTTTCCTCTCTTTTTTACAATAACAATTACACTTTTTGGGTTTTTTTACTCTCACAGTTCTTATTACTTTTTTTGAAGAGAATAAAACCTAACGTGACTAAACAAAACAGAGTCGGTTAGAACAGAAGGATGGGCATAGTACGTGATGCAAAAATAGAATATCAGGTGATCGAAAATGGTTACCATTGTACTTCAGTGTTAATTTTACTTTTATTGTTTAAATATTGAAGTATTTATTCCCAGAAAGATTTATATTTGTCTCTTCTTAGACCTTGAGAGCTTACAAACTGAACAGCTTCAGAAAAGGGAATGTGAACTGCTTTCAGTCTCTGACTAGAAAAACTATCACCTAGTATTGGGCTAACATGGGGTGGAACTAAATAATTTAAATTTCCTACTATTTTGTGGTACTAGAAATTGAACTGAAGGGCAGTATGCCAATGAGCTACATCTCTAGCCTTTTTAGTTTTTCTTTCATTTTGAGACAAATTCTCACTAAGTTGCCCAGGCTGGAGTAGAATCATTATCCTCCTGCATCAAGTCTCCCAAGCACTTAGGATTACAGATGTGTGCCACTGCACCCAGACACCATTTTTATTTTGAAACAGTTGTGTAAAATCTCCTGTGGTACATTAAAGCCCCAGAATGTACACATTAGAAAATGATAAATGTCACCTTTCTTAAACCAAAACACAGCAGGGTGAAGTTATACACACACACACACACACACACACACACACACACACACATATAAATCCCAAGACTCAAAAGGCTGAGGCATAAGGATTGAAGCAAGTTCAAGACCAGGCTAGGATACACAGTAGTCTAAGGCAGCCTGAGCTACATAGCAAAACTCTGCCTCAAGAAACCCAAAAAGATAAAAAAATTTAAATAAAATAAAACCAAAAATACTAATTACCCTGTCTCCAGGTTTTAACACAGGTTCATTTTTGGTCCCCAGCTTATTAAGCAGTGTGTAGGCTAACTTTAAACTTCTGCTCCACAATTTTCCTGGAAAAAGAAAAAAAAAGTCATAAAAATACAGGCTGATTTCAGCAACACGGTATTCAGCTTCCTCAGAAGTTCAAGACCCAGGCTACTTGCAGGTGATAAGTGCTGCCCCTCCCCAACACAGAAGCAGCCCTCTTCCCAAGAGAGCTTTCCACTCATCCCAGTTTCTAAAGGCCATTCCTGTCTTAAAACAAAAATAAATTATCCTGGTTTATATAATATTTTAATGTTTTCTGATTTCCTGACTATCCTTAGAAATAATTTGTTGTGAGTCAATCACATTTAAAGAAAGAAAAATAATTTCCCCCTCCACAGAACTGAAAAACAGAGTACTAGTTTTGTCCTAAGCATTTCCTACAGAATTCAATAGATTCTGTCAGATACTTCAGGGAACTGAAAAGCAAAAAGCTAGTCTCAAAATGATTCAATACCCAGCACAAGGTGAGATATGAAGATCGTTCATTGCAAGTTTGAGACCAGCTTGGGTTACAAAGTGAGCCCAACCTCAGCCTGAACTACCTCATGAAACCCTGTCTCAAAATGACCAAAAAAAAGATTCAACATTCCATACCACTGTAATTCACTAAAAATGGATAATGAAATGGAAATGCACTGTTTGAGACACATGGATATATTCACAGATGTTAAACATGCAAGATCCGGCTGATTTAAGGGTTACAGAGACAAAATTAATATTCAACATCTAAGATGAATGCTAAACTCTTTTGGCCAAAAAAAAAAAAAAAAAAAAAAAAATCAATCTTTTTCTTTCCTTCTTACCTCCACACCCCGCTACTCTTAGACTAAGAAAAAAAAAAAAATCATGCTGTTTTAAATAGCTACTATTTTTATCTATCAATTACTTAACAGGGGTATTCAAGGCTTAAACTAGGTCAGTCTGCCACATTTTTTAAATAAAAACTTATTTTTTTCTCAAAAACTATTTTCAATCTAGTATTAGAGACAATCAACAGGAAAGAATCTACTTGAAAAAACTAGTTAGTATAAGATCTCATGCTGGACATGGTAGCACATGCTTATAATCCAAGCGCTCAGGAGGCTGAGAAAGGAGGATTGCCACGAGTTCAAAGCCAATCTGAACTACATACTGAGACCCTGTCTCAAAAAACAAACAATGAACAAACAAACAAATGTCTCATCAACCAGGAGTGACTCCATTTTTCTTGACGAGATTTCAAAAAGAAAAAAACCTTCAGGGCTTGGAATGTAGCTTAGCCACAGAATTTGTTTAGTATACACTAGGCACTGGGACTGATCTAATACAACATAACATATCGGATGCAAACTGAAATAAAAAGTATTGATTCTTTGTTCACTACTGAATTTGTGCCTATCATGAACAAAATGGATGAAGTTTTTTAAAAAAGCATTCGGTTTCAACTTTTAGATAAAAGAAGATTTTCTCCATACATCATACTAACCATTTTTTTTATAAATCCTCTTCCAACAATACAGCATCAATAGATCTAGTCTCTTTCTTTTTTGTAGTCTTTAAATATTAGTGGCTTGTGCGTGTCACATTATCAAATAAAAACATTTGACAAAAGCTTTAACTTAGAACTTAGGCTCATATTAAATAATTGGAAAGATCCTCTGAAGCGTAATGACAAACAACTGCTAAGTATCAAGACAAAAATACAACCCACGACACTCTGAGGAACTGTTAGCAAACAGAAGAATTTGGACTCTGGTACACTCACCATATGTGAGCGTGTAAACAGGTTTCCCTGTCACATCCAGTGCAGTCAGGCAGGGGCACTTGGCTTGAGTGGAGCCCCAGCGCTGCAGGGCAGATTCTAGAGCAGGTGGCCAGTTACAGATGACGCCCAGGGGCTCTCCCTTCACAGGTGTCATCTGTCGCCCCTCAGGCTTGGGCTGGTTGGGGTCTGGCTGAGGTACTATTACCAAAAAGAAATGAGATGAAATAAGACCAAGCACCAACAAACAATCCTATAGCAAACATATCTTCCTTTTCTTTTTGTATTTATCTGATGTAAACTTAAAAAACAATACATAGTTACAAACAGTAATCTATAAACTGGGCCTTAATTCAATTTTCTGTTTAATGGTAAAATCATATACAACATGTTTCATGCAATAAAAAAAATCCTGATCCTGCACACAGAAAAACACAAAATATAAATTTCTTTCTAGCTATTTCACAATCATTAGTAACTCTTTTCCTGGTGCTTTAAACTGTATATCCAGAGTTACAGAGCCAGGCCCCATAGTACCAGGTTATGTTTAATGAAAAAGCATTAAATTGTAGTCAGAAAATCCAATTTTATATATTATTTTACTAGTATAACCCTAAGCAAATTCATTTGCCTAACGTCTGCTTTCATCTGTAAAATGGGGACAGTGATAGTTGTACTACAGGGTCATTGTTAGATTCAAGCAGATAATGGGCAACAAGCCTTCTGTGTTTCCACGTGTGTATACGTTTCTCACAATGCTATCTGCCTCCTGGTAAACTCTTACTGATCCTCTGCACTGGCTCCAAAAGCACATCCCCTAGGAACCATTCTCAACCACTCCTCGAGGGGACTGTTCCTTCCTGAGGGCTCCCACTGTGCAGTCCCTGGCCCTCATCAAATCACTAAAGATCAGCGGCTTCCACTGTGTGCCAGCCCCGACCAGGGACTGGGAGCTTCCTGAGGGAAGAAATGGTTCTTCCTCCTCTCACTGCCTCGTGTGCTTAGGACACAGAAGTGGCTCAACAGTGTTAAGTTGATTTCAACTGAATTAAAAAAAACACACACAAATAAAAGCTAGATTATTAACGTGGTTATTCCAAGATGGAGGTCTGGAGGTGAATAACGCTTCATATTCTTTGATATAGATAAAACAAAAATTTTCTTAATTTTTCTATGATGAATGTTATTCAAATAATTTTTTTAAATCCCACATTTTCCTAAGTGGGAAGACAATGTATATATGGAACAAATGGTCAAGTATGTGCTAATCATGTACACAGAATGTGATAAACACTGAGAAAATAAATTCTTTGGATATCATACTCTGAACAAACATTTATATGCCTAATATGCACTTGGCCCAAGCATCAAGCATGCAGGTGGGGACCTACACACTCTGAGCTAAGGCCAGGACAATGTGAATGGTGCGCAAAGGCAAGTCTGGGAGAGGAAGGACACAGCACTCACTAGGAGGGAGTAAAGAGTGAGCTAAGTATTGAAGGGTAGACAGAAAATTTGCCAGGTAAAAGGGACATACATAACCAAAAAAAGGGGAAGGAAAAGACAGAGGCACGAAAGGTTACATGGGCAAAATAAATAGGAAATAAGTAGTGTTTTACAGTTGAATATAATGAAAGATTTGGGAAGCTTAAAGTGTCTTGATTCAGTCTTCTACTGATATCAAACTTGAGAAAAAGTTTTACTCTCTAATTCACTGCTCCAGATAAAGTCTCTGTTACCTTTCTATTTTGTATAGTAGTTTAATTCATTTAAATTTTAAAAAACCATGGTGGTTCTCGATAACAGGTAGACTATACATGGTAGGCATGGCTTTCTGACTATAAGTGTCTGCATTAAAGCCATCTTGCACCAGAGCTCAACGCAGGCTCTGGACACATTTTATGAAACTTGCATTTTTCTTTTCCAAAAGTAGCAACCAATCAAATAAGCAAGTGTTGTGTTAATTACTAGAATGCTGTTAGGTTTATTCTGCCAATGCAAATTGTTCAAGTATAATCTGATTAACCTCCACCTTCCTTTGCCAGGTCAATAAACAGTGCTAGGAAGACTAGAAAGGCTAATACTAATAAGAGAACTTGGGCATCAGGACATCATGAAGGACGTCATTTAGTGACTCCTAAGAGACACAATCTCATCTTAAACTGGTATTTCAGGAGAATCACCATGAGTTTGAGACAGCCTGGGATACACGGAGTTCAAAGCCAGCCTAAATTACACAGTGATACCCTGTCTTGAAAAGTCAAAAAAGAAAAAAACCAAAACATGTCAGCTTGCTTTTTGCTTCTGCTGCATGAACTGAACTGCTCAATTCCATTACCTGTCTAATGTGATCAAAGGTACTATTAAACCAGGTGTCATGATACACATATTTAATCCCAGTACTCTGAGGCTGAGGCAGAAGGGTTGCAAGTTTGAACACAGCCTGGACAATTTAGCGATGTTGGTGAGACCTTGTCTCAAAATAAAAAATGAAAAGGGATGGGGATGTAGCTCAGTGTGAAGGCCCTTAATTCAACCTCCAGCACTGCGGGGGGAAATATGGGTGTGGTGGCCGATGGATATACTTCTAACACCGCAGGAGGCTATAGCAGGAGGATCAAATATTTAAAGCCAGCCTGGGAACCTGGTAACTCAGTGAGACCCTGTCTAAAAATAAAAACAAATTTCAAAAGAGCTGAGGATATAGTTCACTCCCCGAATTCAACCTCTAGTATGGAGATGAGACTGGGAGGTGCTATTATTTGACTCAGGACATGAAAATGAACTACAAAGATACCAAGGCGTGGTTCTATCAACAAAAATTTCCCTTTTGGGGCTGGGGATTTAGCTCAGCGGCATAAGTGCCTGCCTTGCAAGTGTGTGGTCATGAGTTCAATCCCCAGTACCAATAAAAAAGAAAAAGACACACACACACACACACACACAAAAACCCCTTTTTCTTGACAAAAGCTTTTATTAAGTAGAACTAATCATTATTTAGCTTCAGTAATTATTAAATAGGTGCCTCAATTTATCTATACTGACACACCTCTCACCTCCCATTTTTCCCTGATCTTAGAAATCATGACTTCACTTGTAAATAATTTTTAAAATATTAAATAAAGCTCTAATGATTATAACTTCTTTTGAGAAGCCTTCTCTAACCACACAGATGGAACTGCTGCCTTCCCTTTTCCCAATTGCCTGTATCTGCTGAAAAACTTATTGGCCACACTGTTCTAAATGTATATATTTCAGTATATATTTAGCATATATTTGGTATAAATCATAACCACAAAAGAAGTAATTTCCTAGTAAGTCTCTGGACCCTTTTCATCTACCACACTATCTTATAGAAGGCAAATGTGACCGGCTGATTTAATGAAAGGACTGTGTTAAACGAATAAAAAAAGACTAGGTAGACAGACATTTCAGATTGAACCTGATGTCCACATCCTAGAGAAATGTCAAGTATAAATATAAAATAGACACCTGTGGTAGCCCTAAATTCAAGAGCACATTAACAAAGAGTTCTGTGCTTCTTAGTTGCCTCATCTCTTCTTTCCCTTCCCGCCTTCCTTACATCTTTCATCTGAGATCGAATATATAAATGTCTCTGGGGTAAAAGAGCAGAGAACTGCGAAGCCTTTGAACCAAGAATCTCTCTCATCCTATATATCTAATGTCTAGTAACTGCTTAAGAAATATCTGCTTAATCAATACATGTTTTTGGTTTTTTTACTACTACCTTCCACAATTTCTTCAGAGTCATCCACAAAAAATTCTTTTAATGGAGGTCTTTTGGGTCGTTTCAGAGTATTGAGAAGCTGCTGGATTTTTGTGGATACTCTACTATTGACAGGAACACCTGTAAGGGAAAACAATGGTAACAATTAAAATTCATGACTTGAAGGCATTTTAGTCTCAGCTTCCTCATGAGCTTTATTTCTAATGTCCTTTGTTTGGGCCTTGACCATAGTCTCACATTCTATTTTAATCAGGTCACACAGGTATAAATATATAAATAACAAGTCTCATGATAACAGAGAATAAATACAATGTTATTATTAATATGACACTTAAGGATTTCACTTAAGATCTCTTATTTCCTGTAGCACTTTGTGCTTTTGCTGCTTTGGATTTTAGTTTGAAGCATGTCTTAGAAGCACCGACTAAGTGTGACAGAGTATGGAAAGGGGCACTCTGGACAAACTGCCCTGAGCTGGCTAACATGATGTCGTTCTGCAGGGGCTGAACTACTACAGCTTACAATTTGAATTTTTCGATTCAATTTATACTCCCTATTTAGCTACCAGAAACAATCCCCTACCATCAGCTGTATCCATAAGGCTGGACCTGTTGGCTCCTTTGTGCATGCCTTTAACTATTCCCGAGGGTGGCAGATCAATATTTGCTGGGCGTACTGAGGATGAGGAGGAGGAAGAGGTAGTTGTGGTGACATCAGGGGGAGCAGAGAAACTCTCTAAGAGAGGAGAAAACAAAACAGAATTATATGGCATTATTAGCAAAAATGAGAAACCTCTAATTTGGTTTAATAACTATGTAAACAGGTCATTCTTTAGCTATTATCAATTAAGATTTTGAATCAAATTTTACCAGTGGTTATAGCGAGAAAACAAGAGGTTAAGTCAGAATATATGAAGATCCTAAAATCGTTATTTTTATATTTGGGTAGTTTGAGATCAAATCACAGAGTCAATGTTTCTCAAAAACATTATTTTCTCGCAGGCATGGTGGCACACACCAGTAATCCCAGCACTCAAGAGGTAGAGGCAGGAGAATCACTGTCACTTGGAGGCCACATATTGAGTTCAAGGGCAGCCTGAACTGCATAGCGAAACCTCAAAAAAACAAAAGAACCAAAACCAAGACAAAACATTTTCTACAGAGAATGCAAGTAGAACACGTCACAAAGACAATCAAAACTAAAAAGTTGTATCTGAAATCAATAAAAGTTGATTTCAAAATGAAACTAAAGTAAGATATTAATTGGCTATTAATATCATAGTCTGCTGAACATTTCTTCATGATCACAGAAGACCAAAACAGTGTCTGAGGGTGGGTTAGACCATTCAGGTTTGCTGGCATAGGAAAACCAGGTAAAGAACAGACAACTGCTTTTCTTGCTTTAAGTAAAAAAAGGACTCAATATAGGGAAAGTGAGTAATGTAAGTTACAAGAGATAAATTCAACAGAGATGTGTAACAAAAAACTCAGATAAAGAAGGATTGTGAATTTGAGGCCAGTCTGAGATATAAAGGAGTCCCTATCTCAAAAAAAAAAAAAAAAAAAACTAAAAACACATCAGAAGAAATAAGAAAAAGAGAATCAGAGGAAATAAAATATATGACATAAAATAATTAAAACTATTGAAAAGGGGAAAAGATATAAATCAACTTCTAAAATCAATTTGGGCTAGACATGGTAGCCTATAATCCCAGCTCTTGGAAGGCTGAGGCAGGAGGATCACAGCAAGTTCAAGGCCAATCTGAGCTACAAAGTGAGTTCAAGTCACCCTGAACTGCATAGTGAGACTCTGTCTCAAAAAGAACAAAAAAATCAAATCAAATCAAATCAGGGGCCAGCTATGGTGGTGTACACCAATAGTAATACCATTATTCAGGAGACTGAGGTAGGAGATTTGCTGCAAGTTCAAGACCAGCCTACACCATTAAAGCTACATAGTGAATTCAAGGGCAAAAGTATAAAGTTAAGATCCTAACTAAAAAACTAAATTAAAAAGTTTTTAAATTTAACTTTTTAAAAATCAGTTTGGGGTATGGTTTCTATGCCTGCCAGGTCTGTTAATTACTGGTTTAATATTTTTTAAAAGTTTGATATGTATTAGCACAGGGAAATACACGGATTGATTTTTTAAAAAAATTTTTTAAAAATTTGTTTTTTGAGACAGGGCCTCACTAAGTAATTTAAATTCACTAGATAGCTCAGGCTGGCCTCAAACTCCTGATGATTCTCCTGCCTTGGCCTCCTGAGTGCTGGGATTACAGATATACCACTATGCCTGGCAAACACAAGTATAATGCAGTGTAACTTTCTGTAGGATAATTTGACAACAGAAAGCATTAAAGATGCACATTTTAACCAGGTGTGGTGGCATATTCTTGCAATCCCAGCTACTTGGAAGGCTGAGGTAAAAGAATCACAAGTTCAAGGCCAGTTTGGACAACAAAATAAAATAAAACACCACAAAAACAAAAACAAAACAGACAAGGGATGTAACTTAGCACTCCTTGAGTTCAATTCCCAGTTTATAAAAAAGAGAGAGTGAGAAATTTTAATCTAGCAAGTTGATTTATAGCTAACAGTAATATATCCTAAAAAAATAAACAGATAAACACAAAAAGTTGTATGTTCAGTCATGTTTAGTCCAACATCTACATAATGGCAAAAAACTCGATACTTCTCTTGTCATTGTTCCTGTTTTTTGTTTTTTTGAGATAGGGTCTCACTATGTAGTAGTTCAGGCTGACATTAAACTCACTGTGTAGCCCAGACTGGCCTCAAACTCATGATGATCCTCCTGCTGCACAGCCTCCCAAGAACTGGAATTACAGGTGTGAACCACTACACTTGATTTAGCTATATTAGATATCAAAATAGGGACTGGAGAAATAAATCACGGTATAGTCATACAATGGTATATTTTTAAAAAAAGTATACAATGAAATCATTTCCAGAATAATTATAATGATGAAAAAAGATCTTGTGATATAATGCTAAGAAAAGATGTAATGAAAATTATGTCCAAGACAATTTCATTTTTGTAAACTCAAAACCAAAGCCTTACATATTCATATGTAAATAAAACCCAAAATACAGTTCAAAGAGGTAACACTAATGTGTTATTCATAGGAAGTGGGATTGTAGATTATTTTTCTTTCATTATGTTTTTGAATTTTCCTTATCAGGAACATGAATTACTTCTCTAGCGCAAACATCCAAAAGGCAATAATATTGAATAAGAGTCTGTGTAATTTAAACCAGTAACTTCTCACAAAGTCATGAAAGCCACAGAAAAACAGGTCAGATAAAATCTTGTTAACAAAAATGCAAATAATATTAGTTGGATATTTGGGTAACACTTTTTACAAGTAAAACTGGTGTCTTTTTAAGACAGATAAGGAAACAAAAGCACATCAACCATGACCCTTAAAGAAGAGCACCGAGGATGTATAATTTACATGTAGCTTCTCTCCAGGCTCAATGAACTTCAGGGCAGAGCCAAGAGCAAAGGGCAAATCATCTACAACTGGAACACAGCTTTTACTATGGGTAATCACAGTGGCTATTTTACTTAAAAATTGCTATCCTAAATTAAAAACATTTCTAACTCTTTCTTTTCAGAAATTACTTAATAAATAAAAAAAGTCACTAAAGAGGAAAATTAAGATAAAGTTGGACAAGAAAAAAGATACCACAGATGTATAGTTCAATTTGTACTAACCAATGAGGCGAAAACAAAGATCTGTATCATACCTGCAGATGTCACAGTTCTTTAAAGAACAACAACAACAACAATAACAAAACATAAAGCAGAGCCAAGCAAAAGCTATACTCCATACGGTCCCATCAGCAGCAGGCAGTAGTTCATGCGTACCAACAGCCTCAGCCTGCACATTCCAGGTGTAGCAATATCACAGCTGCAAGGATAATAAAACCAGTCTTTATGTGAAGACAAAAGGCTTCCCCAACACTGGCTGGTATAGGACTGCTCAGTTCAATGTTGTGTTTTGGTTTTTTTGCTGGACAGACCATATATAATAAATCCTGGGAAAATCTAAGGTATCATATATTTTAATAACTTTTATATAAGGAATATTCTTCAACTGGGCTAAGCCCATATTCAGACCGGCATTATATCCTGCAGCTTGAGTATTGCTTATGGAAATAGATATGGCTTCAGGTGGGCAACACTAGGCACCAATAATGTAGATAATATCTATCATTTCTGCAAAAATGTATTGCTGGTGTTTCCTTCTTTGCCTCATTAACCATCATGTTCTTTCTGATTATATTTTCTCAGATCACATAAAATACCTAACACAAATAATATACTGTTTTGTGGATACTGGGTGCCAAATGTAACAGAATTTGGACTTCTTGAGTAGATCCAGCTCCTACCTATTCGAGTATTGGCAAATACGTCAGCTAGAGACCCACTGGTTCCTTTGACCTCTCCGTGGGACAGCGTAGAAGATGCGGAGGAGGAGGTGGACGATCCCTGAATTGAACGGTTGATCCAGGACTCAGCATTCTGTAAGCTCTGCTGCAAGGCGGCAGAGAGCGCAGCTTGGCGTCTCAGAGAGCCCTCATCCTCCGAAGCCGAAGACGTGTCTGTGTGGAATTAGAAAAAAAGAAGTTCTCCATCCTGCCGCCTACAACAGCTTCTCAGTTCTTGTTCACTGATTATGCATTTGATGTTGACACCAGCAAAACATTCGCATTCTCAAGAAACTCAAGGAAAGATCTGTACTGGGGCAAAGCTTGTAAAAATAAAACAGCCTAACTTGGGAGCTATTTTTTTTAAGTTTTGGGTTTTGTTTTTGTTTTTTAAGACAAATCCCTTTAGTAACCTTTAGTTTCATCATTTTTGTTCTAAACTTAATTAGTACACAAATTCTAGTTTATCCATTTATGTTCAAGTAACACTGAAGTGCCTGTGGATCTTTCTTCATCTCTTAATTAGTACACCTCGTGAGAGATGGCCAACACTGATTTTTACAATTACTTTTTAGACTCTACCTAAAAGGAAATGATCTTGATCTTGTTAAAAACTTGTGTACCAAGCAATAAGTAACGTGACAGGGACACTGTGTAAACAGAACAGGGGAGGGCACAGCATCTGGATTTCTTTTAATTTTCAGAGAAAAACTGTAAAAAAAATTCACTAACATCTTTATTTAGCCTGGTCTGACTTCAGGAAAATAAGGCTTAAATTAGAAATGCATGGATTGGGGGTGCTTCAATCAAGCATAGGGAAGCCAAAGCTGAGGGAAACAGCAGTCAAGAATTATTCTAAACTCAAAGCTTATAAGGCACAAAAGGCTTTAAAAAAAAAAAAAAAAAAAAAAAAACAAGCCATTTGGTCTGAGATGGAACAAATCCTTCTACATGATTTGGGGAGCTTTGTTTTGTGATCTGTGAAGTGAATGAATCTATTCAAGCGTTTTTTTTTTTTTATTTCCCCCTTTTTCTTTTTTCTGGACACAGGGTCTCACTATGTAGTTTAGGCTGGCCCTTAAATCACTATGTAGCCCAGGCTAACCTTAAAACTCGCAGTGATCCTCCTGAGTGCTGCCATTACACGCGTGCACTACTACGTCCAGCTATCCAGGTCTTTAAAGGTAAAAACTTTTTTTTTTTCTTTTTTTTTTTTGTCTTTTTCCTTTTTATCGGTACCAGGGATCGAACTCACGACTGCCTGCTTGCAAGGCAGGCGCTTATACCGCTGAGCTAAATCCCTAGCCCCAAGTTAAAAACTTTATAGGGCTAGATATACAGGCTCAGTGGCATAATGCCTGCCTATCACAGTAAGACCCTGGGTTCAATTCTTACTCTCCCAGCACTGAAACAGAGATTGAGAGAGGGAGGGAGAAAGAGAGGAGAGGAGGGAGTAAAAGGAGGAGGAAGGGAGGGACAGTGGGATTCAGATTGGGACTGATTAATTCGGCAGAACACTTTCCTTTAATTCAGGTAAAACCATGAATCCACAACCGACGTTAGTTCAAAGAATTGAAGAGAGGACTTAGGGATGACAATGCCCAATGTATGTACCGCTGGTGCCCCTGATTGATGCGTTTTGAAATTAGTTTTCTTTTTCTCTCTTTGAAATAAAATGTATTTGAAGGAAGGAAGGAGGGACGGAGGGAGGGACAGAAGGAGGGAGGGAAGGAAGAACTAACCAGCCTGGAAAACTGCAAGCACCATGAAACAGTAACCTAAACAGAAGTCCAATTCTGCAGGCTCAGAGCAAGAAAATTAAAAATAACTATTGTATACTTGCTTCTTGCTCTGTACCATCAATTTATTATTTCATATTGAGTAACATCTGAGGCCCAAGCCTGCTGTTTCAGCCTTTAAAACATGTCCTACACAACCACAGTATGTGCTGTGAACTATGTTAGCCCAGTGACTCTGATGTATATATGAGAGGGCCTATAAGGCATTCAGTGTTCTAAAAAGGCTTACAGTCTGGTGCAAGGGACATGACCCAGACTAGAACAAGCTTAGAAATGAGGCAAGCAGGGGCTGGGATTTAGCTCAGCAACCTGCCTTACAAGCAGGCGGTCGTGAGTTCGATCCTTGGTACCGATAAAAATGAAAATGAAAAAGACAAAAAAAAAGAAATGAGGCAAGCAAAACGTTTCACAGAGGAGCAACCAGTCCAAAACTGCACATATTTCTATGCAAATGATAAAGATTTGAGGAGATAAAGAGGGGAAGGGAAAGACGCTAAAGAGATAATGACGGGGCTGGAGGTTTAGTTCAGTAGCATAAGCACCTGCCTTGCAAGCAGGCAGTCGTGAGTTTGATCCCCGGTACTGATAAAAAGGAAAAAGACAAAAAAAAAAAAAAAAAGAGAGATAATGACCAGGTCTCAAAGGGATGAAATTCCTTGAAAGAGAAAAAGGATATATAATTCCACTGGATTTTCCAGCTGCCATTTTCAATAGCACCATTTACTTTAATTTGGGTAAGTCTAAAATTAAAATAATCCGATTTTTAAAAGAAAGTAAAAACATATTCTTATGATTAGGTTTATGGAAAACTGGTTTCATTATGTTCCTATATTGAATCAATTAACTGGGTACATTATTCCAATTCAGTTATCTAATCTGCCTGGCAATCCTCCTCAGTGTTTAATGATTATAGCTACAAAGAGGCATAGGGTAGGGAAAACATGGATTGCATATTAGTCTTTCATTTGAACTGTGGAGTCCACCTCTTAAACTAGCTGTGTGGTGTGGGGATAAAATTATCTGTTTGCAAACGCTGCTTGTTCATCCATTTGCCAAGTATAACCATGCTCTATGTTAGTTGCAAGGATAATAGGTTGAGCAGAAAGGCACAGTACTGACTCTCACAGATTGGAGTCTTACAAGAGTTCAGAGCGGGTACCCAAGGAACTGACACCTAAACCAAAGCCTGCAGGGTAAGGAGGACTTTCTTAAAGAACATGGGGATGCGGAGAAGGCAGTGTCAGGTAGAGAGGAATAATATCTAAGAAAGCTGGAGGGAACAAAAACAAGGCACACTTGGACATCTTAAAGAATTGGAGATAAGTCAAAGCATAGGATGCGAAACTGCAGTGATGAAAGATGCAGCCAGATGAGCAGGTTGCCTGGGTTGTTAAGGCCTCATAAGAAAGACAATGTTCAAAAAGCACTACAGCTGTATCAGCACAGAGCAGCAGCTGGTCACTGTATGTCAGGTCCCCTTCTTATCCCCAGGAGGATAATCAAAAGGGGTGAAATGGGCATCGTGGTGCACACCTATAATCCGAGCACTGGGGAAGCTGAGGCAGAAGAACTGCAGTGAGTTTGAGACCAGCCTGGGATACAAAATGAGTTCAAGGAAGCCTGAACCATAGTGTAACTCTGTCTCTAAAAGAGGGGGTGGGGGTGGGGGACAAAACCCCCAAACAAATAAAAATGGTTTCTATTTAGTTTGCAACAACATCTTAATTTTCCATGAGAGTAATTTAAATAACTAGTTCTTCCCTATAAATAGGAAGGTAAATTAATAGGCACTGAATAAAACATACCACGTTAATCATGCAAACTAGTAAGAAAGTTACACTAATGGTTTCTCTGAGCTCACTGATGGTTTCTTTTCTTTTTCTTTCTTTCTTTTTTTTTGGTACCAGGGATTGAACTCATGACCTCACGTTTGCCAAGCAGGCACTTTGCCACTGAGCTAAACCCCTAGCTTCTTTTTCTCTTTGAAATAAAATGGATTTGGAGGGAAAAAAAAAAAGGCAAACAAAATGTACTTCAGGGGGTTGGGGATTTAGCTCAGCGGCATAAGCACCTGCCTTGCAAGCAGGCAGTCGTGAGTTCGATCCCCGGTACCAATAAAAATGAAAAAGACAAAAAAAAAAAAAGTACTTCAGTAAGTGAATGGATAAATAATCTGTGACATATCCACAAAATGGGACTATTATTCAGTACTAAAAGGAAATGAAAAAAAAATCATGCAAACTAGGAAATGGGGTTGGGGCTAGGAATAAGATTCCCTGAATGAGTTCACAAATGCAAACCTGGCTGGCAAGGCTTAGAGCTGCTGTGTGTTCAGTGCACATAAAATGTGAGCACTGCCTCAAAGCAGCATCTTCTTAAAAAGCAAAATGAGCCTAACCCTTAAAAAATTATTTAGGTAATGAATTCAAACCCCAGTACCAACAAAAAATTTACTGTTACTTTTTTTTTTTGGAAAGTAATCACCTACAAAACTGCTATGGATTGATAGCAATTTTGGCAAGACTAAATAAACACTAATAGAAATAAAGTTACCAATTTTCTACTGAATCTGTGCTAGCTGACCAGGAACTCACAACTGTTACCCATCATAACTAATGAACTCAACTGTTACAGGATAAATTTTTCACTCTCCTGTTCTCTCTCTCCACAGAGGGTGCAATACACTCTCTTTTTATTTACAAACCTTAAATTTTACAAGCAGCTATTGAAGTACATAATTTCAACCTAGGTAAGAATGGTTTTGTTTCTCTTTTTTGGTGGTACGAGAGATTAAATCTAGGCATGCTCTACCACTGAATTACACCCCAGCCCTCTTTAAAAAAATTTTTTTTTGACACAAGGTCTTTCCAAATTGTGCAAACTAATTTTGAGCTTGTGTTTCTCCTGCCTCGGCCTCCTGAGTACCTCAGATTATAGGTGTGTGGCACCACACATTGCAGAATTGGCTTCTTTTTGTACTTCCACTTAGAGTACTGAATATTAGTTCTCACAAGCAATTATAGATCACTGTTCATAATCCATACCAATAATGAAAGTGGGCTATTAAAACAATGTCAATTAATTAGAGAACATTTACAAAGGTATGTGTTTTGAGATTTAAATTCCCAAAAGGAAATGGCTATTTTGTTGGGAATATTATCCATTCCAGTACCCTACATACTTGTGCACTTAGCAGGTAAGTACTTTCTATACAAGACCTTTTTTTTCAGTACTAGGAAGTGAATCTATTTGATTTTTCATTTTGAGACAAACTCTCAGTAGTAGAATGCTAAATTACCTAGACTAGAATTGAATTTGCAATCCTCCTGCCTCAGCATCCCAGAGTGCTGGGATTAGAAGTACGTACCACCATAGCCAGCTACACATGACATTTGAGTAGAGCAATATACACAATCAAGAAGACTTCAAGTCTAATACTTAAAGAATTTTCCTGGGGTAAATCACATAGTGACCATGAATGAAACCTGCTAGCTGCCTCATCTCTTAACAGAGTATTTAAGATGAGTAAGAGAGGGAGGACAGTCACTAATATGTGAAAGTACTCGGCACATAAGGCATAAAATTCCACAAAGCACTGGTGAAGTATGTTGAAGATATAACAATGTCCATGGACAGCATTTTCAATACAGAAATACAGAGGGGTGAATTTATAGCCTTAAGAATTACTACAGTCACTGTAGTAGGGCCCTAGGTGAGATAGGTATTTACTTTTAAGCTTCTTTCTACATAAGCCAGTTGAATGGCTCAGTGTGCTTTGGGTCATTATGTAGTCTATACCTATCTATCCTCAGGCTGCAGTGAAGGGCCGGTCCATGAGAGTGCAGAAAACGCTCAGAGGAAAAAAAAAAATAAATGCTTGTTTTTGTATTGTGTTCTTCTGTATGAATGAGTAATAGTGCTACACAAAGAACTCCTACAAAGACGGAGCTGAGGTAATTGCCTTGTGACATTAGTCAATGATTTCAGCACATAAAGGGAACTGGATGGCAGGGATTCAAATAGTCTACGGGCTCTGAAAAAAGCCATGAGCATTAAAAGAATCATAGACTATTACCATCTAAGAGAACTTAAATATTTCAAATCATAGCAGAAATGAGTGCACATATCAATAAGCAAGTTTTAGGTTGACTGACATCTTATTATTTGAGAGATTTACGAACAAAAGATAAATTATTTCCTATGCCAACTATTTACCTTCCAGACTATAGGAAGCTATAAATGAAGACTTAAGACATTTTACTCTTCAATTCTTTTTACTAAGTCCCTCCAAAAGAAGCTCTACTTTTCATCAAATGAGTAATTCGACCAGTTATATATGTATCAAGTCTCTCCCAAAGAAGGGAAAGAAAACCAACAAATTCTAAGAGTCATCCCAGAGACCAAGTTTATCACGACAGCAGTAGGCAGAGTACGTACAGGCTGTGATCTGGAGTATGCTCTGGGATATGTGCTGTGACAACTCAAACAGCGTGCAAAGGAAGATGTCTAAAATATTGTGAAGCATCATCACGTTATCTCTTTCGTGCAAAATGGTGTATCTTTTTACGTTATTAATAGCTGATCTGAAGCTGATTTTTAAAAAAAAAGACCAATACAAGAAATGTCAACTCTCTTCCCTCACACTCTCCATTCCTTGAAAGCAACAGTAGTATTTTTCTAAACTTGGATGTTTCCAGGACTACCAGAATATATGCAAGAGAAAATCTATTTGCCAGCTCTGGGTCAGGTGTAACACATCATGGGAGATGCTGATAATAGGCTTGAACTACAAGAGAACAGTGGGAAAATTTTTTTGTTGTTGTCACAAAGATGATTTATTTGGCAGTCAGAAAAATACAAAACACTCACAAATTTGGGTGTTATCCTTATGCAGAGGCCACAGTAATCTCTGCATCACTCCCATTTTAGTGTATGTGCTGCTAAAGTGAGCACAGCACCCAATTCTCCTAACTGTGGCTCTGAGAAGCTTGGAAAGAGAGTAGAATTTGAAATTCTAACGTGAGAAAGCAAATTACACTTGCTAAAATGGAAGGTGCTAACAGAAGCCTTTGGACACACAATGCTTCTTTCTACATTCCCTCGCCACAGCAAAGTATTTGTCCTAGGCATGTGTATGATTGCTGAATGAGAGCTTCAAGATCTGTTCCATGTGGGGACTGTATGAGAAATCATGATTTCCTCTTGCTTAGGAGATCATTCTAATAAGCAACATGTATACCACTAGCACACTGAGGCTTCTCAGACGCTATTCAGAAATTCCCAAAACAGAAGATTAATGGATAGGGAACCACTTTATTACGCTTCTCTGCAGAATACAGATCTTAAGAGAGAGGACTACATCTCTGCACTCATGAAATTAATATATGCAGAGTGATCAAGAACATTATGACCCTTGGCATGGTGGCACATGCCTATAATCCCAGAAGGCTAAGGCAGGAGGATCACTGTAAATTTGAGGCCAGCCTGGGATACGTAGTGAATTCAAAGTTGGTTTGAACTACATAGTGAGACCCTGTCTCAAAAATAAAAAACAAATAAAAATAAATTTTAGGGCTGGAGGTTTAGCTCAGCGGCGTGTATGTGCCTGCCTGGCAAGCGTGCGGTCATGAATTCGATTCCCAGCACCAATCAATCAATCCATCAATCAATTTATTTATTTATCTTAAAAAGCAGCAACCAAAAAAACCCCCAAAAAGCTATGTTTTACCTTCAAGGGTTCATACAGAGCAGAACATTAGTGTTTAGAAACACAGAAGCCTATATTAAATTCCAAAAGACTATGGTCCCATTCAGCAACAAACAGCTAAGATTTGTTTCTAGAGCTAATAAATTCCCGTCGGGCTGTAGAAGATTAGAAAGGTTTCCACTCTATCTCCACTTTCTCAAGATCCTTTGCTACACTCTCACACTTAACCCAAGGCCTTGAGAGAAACCTATTTACTGTGAAACTGCATTGCTTTAACACAGCCTTGGAGAGGACTGTTTCTAAAAACCTCCCATCACGCTGCTCCCTACCCTTTGCTATTTACTGTAAATGAACCCTCAGCTGCTCTGCAGTGGAATCTGCCAACAAGAAACGGCTACCAAACTAAGAGCCCCCTTTGTCTGTGAGGACCCACTGTACTGTACTAATGTGGAATGGAACCCATCCAAGATTCTGAATGAGTAGGTTTGAAGTATGCATCAGTACAGACACAAAACGCCTTATTGTGATGGTAAGCTAGAGGTATCCTGTGTTACATTCAGAGAAACACTTGAAGCCACAGAGCTATTTCTCTTTCAAACATATTGATACTACAGATGTAAAGAAAAAGAGTACACACAGTTAATAAGCCCACAGCAAACCCAAATGCTCTGAAAAGTTAGCCAAAATCTAGGCAAAAGCTTTTAATACTGAGTCTGAATCTGTGAATAGGATCAATGTAAATAGCTCAACAATATGACAGCTGTGAATAAAAATCAGTAACAACACTATGACTTCCTAGGAATCTCCCCAAAGTAGGCCACAACTGTATGGGCAAAAATTTCCTCCAAAGACTTGATTAGCAGTAACAGTAACAATAGACAGACACTGCACTGAGGATCCAATGTAGATTTTATAACATTTATTCTGAGAGGCCTCTATCAAAATCTTGTCTGGGATTTCATGCAAAAAATTTTTTTTGAGGTTTGTGAAAAACTTTGAAGAAAACTCTGAATAAATAAGACAGCTTAAAGCCGTTTCAGTTGTTCTCCAAAAATGAAGTTGTAACTATTTTCTTTTTCAGCGTTGTAACTCTTAAATCTGTGAGGAGGAATAAAGATTGCAAGTCTGGTGACTAAGTATGGGGTAAAGATGCCTAGTTCCCATTAATCTCAGATTTTAAGGATATACAAATGGACATTAAATACATTCATACTACAAACATGTCTTTAGATCTATTACAAATATGTATGAATGATCTCCCATAATTTTTAAAGACACATAAAATTCTGTACCAAGTCCATCCACTTCTATGCCTGCAACAGAGATGAAGCCTCAATTTTAGGAACACAAATGAATTTAATGTATGATCTTGGGTCTTTTGTTTTAAGACAGGCTATACAGTTCAGATTGTACCTGAACTTGGTACGTAGCCCAGGCTGGCTTTGATATTGCGGCAGTCTTCCTGCCTCAGCCTCTCGAGTGCAGGGTTACAGGCATGCAACATCACACCTGGCTTAGGTCATATTATAGGTGTCCATGAAAACACTATTGATTTAGAGCAGTCCTGGTCTACATTTATTTGTGACTACATGAGTTTGGAGACTGCAAAGGAAATAGTGAGCTGTTAGAAGGAAAGGTTTTTATTTTGTTTCAAGTAGCTTTATCCTCAAGGCTTGTTTTTGAGTGTTGTTTACATGTGGTTAACAATCAAAATCTGCCACCTTCTTATATACTTCTAAATGTGCAGAGCATTCCAGTTCTACCTCAGAGAGAAAAGGCAGACTTCATTTCAGGAAAATCACAACAGTAACTGTCAGGGTAGAAAGGTTTTCACAAACCTACCAGGAGGTGTGCAGGCTTCCGCAGGAGACTGGACAAATGTGGACCGCCTTTTGGTGGGCATGGGCAAAGCCATCTTCTGTTCTTTATGCTTTGCCAGGGCAGCTTGAACTGCTTCTGTGTGGATATCTGAAAAGTCAAACAGTTGCACTTATTCACATTTATCTTGGCTCATCAAATATTTACTACTGGGGACTGAACCATTCCTCTTAAATGTTGAGAAATGTAAAGTAGGTACACAGGTGATCTTTTGACTTAGACTAATTATAATTAAATAAATAAAAACAAAAAACCAGAAAGAGTAAGTCAAGGATAATTCCACACAGGAGGGAAATGAAGTCCAGATGGTAGAGACCAACACACCAAATGCAGAGGTGACAAGCAGGGCAGGCAGTGCAGTCAGACACGCATCTGTGCCGGGAGGGACTCCTACCACTAAGTGAAGTGCAGGCTGTGACGGTGCCTAGAGAAGACACGCCATTTTTCCAAAAAAGCAGCTTAGGGGTTGCTTAATGATCTGAAAGAAAACTTGGTTGAGACTTCTTAGTTCTCTGCCACAGGAACAGAAGGGATAACTTTGATATAGAAAAATATAAGAGATGTTATTTGTTTGCCACTCTGGCCGCAAAACAATTCACTTCTCTACTTGTATGTCTAATAGGAATTTCAAAATTACCATATCCAAACAGAACTTTTGATTCTTTTGTGTTTTTGAGACAGGGTCTTGCTATGCAGTTCAGGCTGGCCTTGAGTTCATTTTGTAGCCCAGACTGGTCTCCAACTTGCAATGATCTTCCTACCTCAGCCTTCTGAGTGCTAGAATTACAGGTGTGAGCCACCATGATCGGCAGTACACACATTTTTTTTTAAAAACTCTTTTCCATCCTTCAGGCCTTACTGTGCTAGAAGAGCTGGACAAACCAGATAATTGTTGAAGGAATCTAAAGCCACTATAAGGACAGTACCCAGAAAGAAAACTTGACAGTGAGATCCCAAATTCTCTCTCCCTGTGCTGGGATTCTCAGCTGTCCCACTTACTTCTGTGACCTACCACAGTTATTTAAAAGGGTCAAAGTAGAAAAAAAAAAAGTAATGGTCAAAGTTGGCATCTCTTTCCTGGAAACAAGAAAACCTTCACTAATAAGACTAGAAACATCTTATTTTCTAAATACAAATATACAATAACCTTAACTTTAAAGGACTCCATTTCCTGTACCAAAATCAAAGCAACCCTGTAATATCAGATATTAGGTTGCTTCTAGATTTTTCTACCAAGTGAATTAAGCACATACTTTCCCTTAAGATTAACTCCAACAATTGTTGAGATCAAAGTATATTTTATTCTGGAAATACTGCAATATGTATTTCCTTAGAACAAGGATACACGAATTTTTCTCTAACATAACCATAGTATATTTTGTCAAAATACAGAAATTCAATACTGATTGTTATGGCTTGTATCAATATGCACCCCCACCCACCCAAAGCCTCATGTGGCCACAGGTGGGGCTTTTTCAGAGATGGCTGGATCTAGAAAGTGTGATGCCGCAATTAAAGGTGTGTGATCAGTCCACTGATTGGTTTGGCATCTTCCCTAAGCTCGGTAGCCTAGGCAGAATATAAGAGGGGCAGAAAGACAGTGCTACTGTTGCTGCTGGTTGCTTGCTGTTTTTGCTGTCTTCTGCCTGCCATGAACTGTTTTTTCTCTGTGATGTCCCTCTGCAATGCCACCCTACCTTGGACTACTACTGGCCTAGACTATCCAATGATTCTAAGGTTGGTCTAAGCTACACCCTACTTGGAGCCTGCCATTACGGAAATCTCTACAAACTGTGAGCTAAATAAATCCTTCCTCCGACTACTCTGTCTCAGCAATAAGAAAAGTAACTAAGACACTGATTATCTCATCTATAATCCATTCTGATTCTGATTTAGCCAATTGTCCCAATAGTATCCTAGTTTTTCCTTTCTCCTGATTCAGAAATATAGGATTATATATTGTATTTAGCCGTCCTGTCTCTTTATCCTCCTGTAATCAGCTTTTCTGTCTTTTATTACACCGACATTTTTGTGCATGCTAATCATTTTGTAAAATATTCCTTTTTTTTTTTTTTTTGGACCGATTTTGATAGATTTTGGCAGAGCTATGACAAGAAATATGTTTTTCTCAAAACATGTCAGGAAGCATTTGCTGTAATACTGATAATGATAACTTTGATTACTCAGTTCTTCTGTATGAATAAGTAATTTGTAACTTATTTGTAGGGAGATACTTTTGGAACTATATAAAAATAGCACAATGGTTATTATATGATGATTTTATGACTTTATTATTGGCATTTTAATGAAAGTTTTCCTTTTGCTCATTTATTTATTTATTTATTTTTGGTGTCGGCAGTCAAACTCACAACCTCGTGTCTGCCAGGTAGGTGCTGTGCTGCTGAGCTACATCCCCAGCTCTCCTCACTTTTTTTATATCAAGTTGGTCTTGGTGAATGATTATCATTTCACTCCATTACTGTTCTGTTACTGTAACTTATCTTGATGCTCTTATCAGCCCAGATATGGTACCCAGGAATCCTTTGACTGGTTCTTATAGCCATTGTATAATAAGTGATAGGCAACTCTATCACTCTAGGTAATTTTATTTTCTGGTACAAGACGTGCTGGGGGCTCATCTGGTTCTTTTCCTGCTCTAGCCTCAAAATTATACTTTTCTTCCAGAAGTTCTAGCTCCTTTTACTAGAGAATAAATGGTATTTAGTTTATATCTTGAAATTAGAGGTACTCAGTATTATTAGGGCACTTTTAAAAATATCTTTCAGAGGATAGAGAAGTGAAGATATAAACATTTACATACATATCTATAGTGATTTCTATCTATATTGAAACACTGAGTTCATACTACTGCCCTAATTTCAATTCCACACTGCAGAATTCATCCTAATTCCTTTTCCATTTTTAATGTCTTTCCCTAACACCAAGAAATATAGTTCATGGTATTTTCAATTTTTTACTCACTGACTTAATACTACATGACACCTACTTTCAAAATGCCAGATGTGGTGGTGCATGCTTGTAGTTCCAGCACCAAGAGGCTAAGGCAAAAGATCAGCTTAGACCAGTGGTGGGAGACCTATGATACCCTGCACTGTACCAGGCTTTTTGAAAGGCTCTGAAAGATTCAGGATGACTGGCCTAGACTATCCAGTGATTCTAAGGTTGGTCTGAGCTACATAGTGAGATCCTGTCTCAAAAAACAAAAACAAAAAATTTGCCTATCACTTACAAAGTCCTGAGTTCAGTCCTCAATATTGCTTTTAAAAAAAACTGAATGAACAAACCTGCTATCTCACACCATTATAAAAGCTAAGTGGATAAATTCTCACCATTCCCTGCCTTGGTGGTCACATTATTTATTTAAATAATACAATTTAGGTCTTTCCTATCCTCACTGATTAACTTGGTGTGAAATTCAAAATAATGCCACAAAGTAAACAAAGTTATGCCAATGCTAACAACAATTATTTCTAGAGGCAATCAGTCTCCCTAAGTGACATAACTTTCTTGTACTTCTTTCTGTAAAAATAACCAGACACATGTATATTGTCTTACTTGCCCATCTTTCACACAGAGAATGAGTGTGTGTGTATGTATATATATATATATATACACATATATATGTACACATGTACACACACACACACACACACACACACACACATCATGTTCCTTTCTTTACCCAATAGTAGATCCTGGATATATTCTATATTAGCTGTTAAGAGTTTCTACATTCCCTTTTACAGCTACACAGGACCCTTCAGTATATCACAGTTTATTAAACTACTAACCCTATCTAGGCATATAGGCTCTCCCATATTTTATACTAATGAATAATGTTGCAACTTGAAAATACATGTATTAGTGTTATGGAACTAGACATGCTGGGATGTGCTGTCACCCCAGCAGTTGGGAGGCTGAGCCAGTTGAGGAGCACAGTTAAGTCTGAGGTCAGCCTGGGCCACATACACTGAGTTCAAGGCCAGTCTGCACTACACAGTGATACCCTGTCTCAAAAACAAAACAATACAAAAGCTTTCTGCAAACTTATTTTGATACTGATAAGGGTATAACTTCAAAACAAATTCTTGTAAGTCCTACATTGAGTTTTTTAAATCTTGAAAAATTCTCCTTTTCTACCACACTGCATTCCTGCCACAGTTTAGACATACTTGTAATCCCATGGCCCCATGTTCAGTGTATGCTAGTTAGCTTTCTGATTGTTGCCAACTCAATAGCTGAGAAATGGTGTATCTCTAGGTAGCCTTAATTTGCATTTCTTTTATCCTAGGTAAGATTAAATGTCTGTATAGAGGATTTAAGGACTGCGGTACAGTGTTTGTTTTACTGTTTTAAAAAAAATGGCACTGAAGGCCAAACCCGGGGCTACTCATAAAACAATGCATAAAACAAACCAACAAAAATGTCAAAATTGAGCATGAAACAGTAATTAAGCACTCACTTTTGGGAAGAGGGTTTTGGACTGAACCCAAGGCATTGCATATGTTAGTCACCTAGCTGCACCTAAGTGGTTTTTTTAAATTTTAATTTGAGCAGGATCTCATTCTGTTTCCCAGGCTGATTTCAAACTTGTGATCCTCTTGACTCAGCTACTCAACTAGTTAGGTTTACACACATGTGTCACCATGTCCAGCTTCTTGCTTATTTTTAAGTGAAATAAATGTCCATGTCATGTGATCGTTTGCCACTGAGCTTCAGACTTTATGTTCCATGAATTTTCCCTCACGTGTAAGGAATAAGTTAAAATATTTTCTTGCTGGTGGTCATTTGTCTTCTGTCATTGTCAGTGGCATTGCTTTGTTGTTTCTTTGCAGTGTAGTTTTTATTCAAAAAATTTTTATGGGCTGGGCATGATGGTGCATGCCTATGATTCCAGCACTCTGGAGGTTGAGGTAGGAGGAGAAGCAGAAGTTTGAGACCAGCTTGGGCTACAAAGTGAGTTCAAGGCCAGTCCAAATTGCAAAGATCAAAAAAAAAAAAAAAAAAAAAAGGTATCTCTCTGTTCCGCTCCCCTCCCTACAGGAGTTCCAGCCAACCTCACCCTCCCT